TTTATGATGGGCATTATTGGGTCTGACATGGTCACCACAAACACTAAAAGACATAACAAGCCTAGACAAGCTTAGCAAAGTAACAGAGAATAGTCTATAACAATCTCTGTTATTAATGCTGATAGTTAGGTGGTCCCGCTGTTCATTATTCTATAGGGCAAAACCCACCTCGTATTATGGTAAAAAAACAGCCGTATCTGATAACAGGATAGACTACAGATAAGATTGATTTGAAATGGATTTAGCATTTTGATAAATATACCAGACCGTGTATGACCGACGGTAAATGCCTCCTCATCCTAGATGGCCACAAAAGCCACCATTCCCAGGCCTTTGAGAATTATTGTCAGAATAATGGTATTATTATTTTTTGTATGCCTGCCCACTCATCATACAGGCTCCAGTCTTTAGATATCAGCTATTTTAGCCCGCTTAAACAAGCTTATGGTCGCTTAATTAAGGATCTCATCCGGCGTCATATAACCCATGTTTCAAATGAGGACTTCCTCACAGCGTTTTATGAAGCACATAATGCTGCAATGACACCAGGAAACATCCGAACAGGTTTCAGTGTTACTAGGCTTGTTTCTTTTGACCTAGAAAGTGTCATTTTAAAGCTGGATGCTGTCGCTATTGTACGAACACCATCGCCAGACCCCAATCTGCCACCCACTACTTGGACTTCAAAGACGCCTACCACCATTAGTGAAGTGGTAAACCAATCAGTTTATATCCAAAATTGAGTCAGAAATCACCAGGGAAGCTCACCTACATCAATAATTGATACGTTAAGCTCATTTCAACGGCTATATACGGTCTTATACACAAATTTATTTTGGTTGATTACTAGGTTTATGAACTAAAAGAGGCTAATTATTTATTAAATAAATAAATAAAATAAATAAATTTTAATAAAAAGAGGAATATTTTCTGTTAAAGATCCAGTAGGTCTTCAGGTTATAAAGGATGGTATTGAGCTAACAAGACAGGAAATGGATGAAAGTAATCGTCGTCCAAAGAGGACGGCAGCGCGTGAGCGACGGTGTGGCGTTTGCGACAATACTGGTCATAATGCGCGAACTTGTATAATAGAGATAGAAACCTCTGAGAAAGAGGAATCTGATTGATTGAATTGAATTGAATGCCTTGTGGTGAAGTTATTTCACATGGCAGTTAGGAGGTTGGTAAGAAGTTGCCGTTCGCTTGCAATTGCCGCTCGCTTGTTATCTACGTTATTGTCTTAAATATTGAGATTTTTAATCGTTAAAAAAACCTTTTTTTACTTTTAAAAAAAATAATTTTTTATACTCGTTTATATTTATTAAAACATATCATAGTTTACTAAACTTTCTCTTTAAAAAAATCTGGTTATTAAAAAGTCGCAAAAGGCTATATATTACTAATCGTTACAAGGAAATTTCAATCATATAAACTTACAAATATATAAAGCTTATTTTTTAATATTTATAATTTTTACATTCTTTATATTATAAATAAATGCTTTTAAAACATTTCCCTCAAAATGTTCCAACTTTAAATATTAAAGCTTTTTAAAATCCGTTTGAAAGCATAAATAATATATGAGAAGTTTCTATGCTTTTACTCTTTTTATTTTTTTAAATTATGGAAAGTATTATAGTCTTCAGCACGTTTATTCATATTCTTTTCAAAAGGTTTGAATGGGAAAAAGACCTTATATTATTTTTAAAATGGTAAATATATGATATAAAAAATTTATTGAAGTGGCGTTTTAAGCGTACTATGTTAAAGTAAAGAATTTAAACCATAATATCAATGTGTCGCTTTATGTAAAGTAAATTTCGAAAATAATATTAATATAAAACCTTTCAATAAGCTTTATGTTATATAAAGTTTTTAAAAAAAAACCCTATTTTTTTCGATATATATATAACCTTTTCCATTATTTAAATGCAATTTTTAAAAATAAAACCCACAATAATACTGGCCTTCTTAATTAAACCTTTTTAAAGTATTCAATTTTTAGATTTTAGAATACATAACATTAAATATAAAATGTTAATCTTTTATTAATTAAAGTATTGTTAGTTAAAACCCTTTTCATAAAATTAAATAATTAATAATTTCCGAAGTTTAACTTGATATTTATTAAGTTTAAAACGATTACTACGCTATTATATTTAACAAGTTACATAACGGTTTTAAAAAACTTGAATATTTACTTAAAAATCTAAAAACTTTTATTTTATAACTTGGAGCTTAAAATAAAAAACATTTTGATGTAAGAAATAAGGTCGATTATAAGTCTTTCAATAATAAAAATTGCTAAGCTACTTTTTATAAAACTTATAATCATTCCTTTTGATAATAATACATTTTAAAACAAAACAAATCTTAAATTCTTAATCATATTGTTATTTTACGCCCTTATAGTAAACACAATTATATTTATTAATCTTAATGAGGGTTTTATTTTTAGGGCCGTTTATTATTAATACTTGGCTTTAATTTACTGTCGTTTAATACTTAGCTTTGAAAAGTTTTTAAAAAAATTATTATCTAAAAACTTAAGCTTTTGTTATAATAAATAACGTTGAATATATCTTCATATTATTATAAGTTTAATATTAAAGGTTTAAAGGGTTCTTATTTTACAATCTTGAAAAAAAAAAGTCTTTATTTATATAAAGATTAACTCTTTACTTACCATAAAAATTTTCTTTCACATTAAATGCTCCGTTGATTTATAAAATGTTATGAATTCATGCTTAGAATTAAGCCTTAAATTATTTATTAAATTAAATTTTAAAAGCAACCTTTTGGGCTCAAATGTTTTATAACACCGTAAAATAATTTAAATAAGCAGGTTTTTCTCGCATTTAAATTGATAAAATTAAATCTTCGTTGACATTTTGTAATAAAGCTTTTTTAAAAATATTTTTTATTTATACCTCGTTAAAAATATCTTATTTGATTAAGTTATAAATTCAAATAATTACTACTTAATATTAAAACGCTCGTTATAAATTATATGCTACGCACGTAAAAAAAGCCTTAACCTATAAATTAAGCTTAAAGCCGCTTAAATCTTTTGGATTGTTAAGATTTATTTAATAATCATAAAAAACGCGATTTAAAAAAAGTTTAAATTGAAAAATCTTTTAGCTTTATTTTATGAAAACGCGATATTTAAGTTAAAATAACTACGTTACAAATATAAGTTTTATTATAAGGCTTTCTTAAGCTTAGATTCGAGAAATATCATTTTAATTAATTAATAAATAAAAAATTTAACTTTTAAAGATTAATAATATTCAGTATGTTTAAATTAATATAGTTTTAATAGTAAATTACGTAATAAACTAATGTTTAAAATACTTCAAACTTATAACTATTACGTATAGCTAATTAAAAAAGATAACGTAGGTCACAAGCGAGCGGGACACACCAGCGAGCGGGACACTCTTACCAACCTCCTAACTGCCATGTCAAATAACTTAATCACAGCGCATTCAATTCAATTCAATCAATCTGATTCCTCTTCCTCCGAGGTTTCTATCTCTATTATACAAGTTTGTGCATTATGGCCAGTATTGCCACAAACGCCACACCGTTACTCACGCGCTGCCGCCCTCCTTAGATAACGATTATCTTTATATATTTCCTGTCTTGTTAGCTAAGTACTATCCTTTGTAGTCTGAAGACCTATTATATCTTTAATAAAAAATCTTTCTCTTTTTATTAGGTATTTATTTTTTGTTTTCTGATATTTATTTAATAAGTGATTGGCCTCTTTTAATTCGCGGACCCGGGAATTAATCAAAATGATCTTGTGCATAAGACCGTATGTAGCCTTTGAATATGAGCTCAACGCATTAATTATTGATGTAGGTGAGCTTCCCTGGTGGTTTCTGACTCGATTTTGGATATAAACTGATTGGTTTACCGCTTCATTAATGGTGGTAGGCGTCTTTGAAGTCCAAGTAGTGGGTGACAGATTGGGGTCTGGCGACGGTGTTCGTATCTTGGATACCATGTTTCGTGACTGCCCGAAACCACGCGCGATACGCGTCTAGATCTTTGTTCAAGACCCTCTGGTAGTCCATCCTCCGAAAAAAACGCGTCCGGAGGCCTGGTGTGCGTTTGATGAACTTCAAGTTCGCCGTCCAGTTCTTCCCGACGCGTCCAGTCCCACGTGCCGCCAACAATTGATTCGCCATATCTTTTAACATAAGTGTACTAGGGCAGAAATGCTCACGCATCCAGGTCAAGTATGAAGGAGCAAATGGCATTCTCTTTAGAAACTGTAAGTTTCAAAGAATTGGGCATGCTATCGCGTCGTAATGATCGGCCAGTGATTCTATGAGCCAGTATAGAGATTGATAGGTAAAAAGTTTTGACAAGTTTTTAAACAGAAATATAAGGGTCTCGTTTTTTAGCCTGGATAGCTAGCTGCATGTCTGATTCGTTATAACGCGGTGCCATTGTCGTGGGTGGAGGAATACTGGTTGGAAGTTGAAAGTTTGAGAGGCTCATGAAAGTGTCCTGCTCGCTTGTATGTCCCGCTCGCTTGTGACCTACGTTACAAAAAGAAGTATTATTCATTTTAAATCTATAAAATAGAGCTAACAAGCTCTCCCTTAAATATAAAAAGCTGGCTAGAAACGAACCCCTGTACCTGGCCACGTATATACCACTCCCGTAGATACCACCTTGCGACAATATTCGAAGATTTCGCCCAGCCCAGTCACCTCAACCAAGGGAACTGGAATGTCACCCCCTTTATTCAGAAGGCCGCAATAAGGTACCTATAAGTACACCTTGGTCGACAGCCAACGCCAATTTGGCTATGAGGTATTATCGAATTATGACGCACTAAATCGTGGTCGTATTCATTACATGCACGTACGATACGGCTAGCTCTATCCTATGCTCACGTGCGTATGGTCTTGATGATGTCTATTTATTTTTATCCGGATTTGCAGGTCAGGCTAACTTACTTGTGCCATCTATCTGTTGGTCTAGAATTGCGCATGGTCACTCGGACCCCTGGCAGGTCCCTTTTGCTGTTGCACCTCCTTGGTGATGGCGTCTAGCATACCTGCACTAGCTGCCACGAGGCCCAAAAAGGGCGGGGAACACTGCGTCACCTTGCTGGTGTATTCGGGATGGGCTTGCAGTCTGTATCCTCCAAATCAGCAACACGGCCTGTGGAGCTCCCAGAAATCACTTACCCAACGTAGTACGGGTGGTCTTTGAGCTCGAAGGCCTCCATTCGCCTGCCCGTCTCGTCCTTGCCAACGAAGCAGAAGCCGGCCTTCTCGAGTTCTTCGATGTGGTCCGGGTTGACCTCGTAGCGGTGTCGGTGGCGCTCTTCCACAACCGATACACCGCCATAGAGGGCTCGCAACTTGCTCCATTCGCTGCCGGGCTGGAAGTATGTTGCTCGCGTGCCGAGTCTCATGGTGCCACCCAACTGCCTAGATGTTGCGCGTCAGTATAGGGCCACGGCCGGTCCAAAGTATAGGGGTGACACACTCCTTGGATGATTCGGGCATAAACACGACTGCCCAGTTATGTGGATCCATCGACGAAGCATTGTCAAACTCCTCCGATGTTGCCTTGGGACGGCCACAGAGAGATCGGGAAATCTCAATGGTGGCGATCTGCATGCCCAAGCAGATACCCAGGTAGTTACGCTTGTTCTCCCGGGCCCACCGAGCGCAAGCTATCATCCCTTCTGTACCCCGCGTACCAAAGCCGCCGGGGATGATGATGCCTTGCGATTTCTTGACCGAGCTCCAGGCCTGCTCGTACTTGGCCGGATCCTCCCTTTGCGTAGCCTCGTCCAGGTGGTCCGAGTCCACTACTATCAGGTTCAGCTTTCGGTTACATCGCATGGCCGCATGCTCCAGCGCTTTGACCTGGGCGGGTTAGTTCCATGAGGAAAAGGCAGTGGGTGCACAACGCGTAGACGTACGACCGAGAGATACGAATCCATCAGCTGCGTATACTTTCCTACCAAGGCAATCTCCACGGGAGCATAGTCTGTGGGGATGATGACCGTCTTTTTCCACAGCTCCCACAGAGACTTGCCCTTGGTGATGTTCTCAGAAGCCAGCGTGAGTTTGTCAAGTTCCAGTCCCCTTCGGAGTAGCTGCAGCAGTCCCTGTTCGTGTAGGAGGAGCGGGACTTGGTAGATAGTCTCCATGTCGTGCACGCCAATCACCTGCTCGTAGTCGACCTGGCAGCTCGACGCGATCTTGCGGATAGTGGAGTCATCGAGAGTGCTGTCGCACCGGCAAGCGATCTGCCAAGCCTGGTCAGCCAGCGCGGGGAGTTCTGGGGTCTGGGAAACTGACCAGGTCCGGGATCATGCCAGCACTTCGCATTTGCTTGATCGCGTGCTGAGTAGGCTTGGTCTTCTCCTCTCCGTGGATGCTACATGCTTGAGTTTCAGCCAGGGGCGTGGACATATGGATCCATGGTTGCAGATTTGCCGTCGGGCGCCTCAACAGAGCCAGCCAGGAGGAAGTACTAACAGTGGCACGAATGAGACATGGATATTGAAGAAGGACGAATCAGGCTCTCTGGCCAGTCTGTGCCTGAGCTGCACTAAGGCTTCGACGAAGGGTCCGGATTCGAGGTCACTGGAGGTTCGAGTCAGTCGTGGGAATGCTGGGGTGGCAGCGATTGGCACAGTAGGGCAGAAAAGGGGGGTGGGGTGGCAGCGGTCAGTGGCACAAATGTTGCAATATAGCACGCACCCAATCGTACCACCCTACAATATGGAGCGGTAGTCAGCATGTAAGAAAGTCAGTTGGATATAGATGGGAGACAACGTACCAACTCGACTAGAGGAAGGGTCAGTCCAAGTGTTCGGAATCTTCAGGCTCCCCGGAGGCTGTGAACATACTAATGCAGACATCTGGGGCTTCGCCAGAGTCATCGACGGGTATCTTGGCGACCCTGGTTATCCATTCCTGGACGGCGTCTGTGATGTGAGGGACGACCTGCACGGTGCGGCCCAGGTAGTCTCCTCGTCGTTCCCTCTCCTGACAACAGTATCAGCACCGATAGTCGGCGAAGACAAAGAGGAAGGAGGCAGGGGGCTTCTGTACAATGACGGACTGGTAGATCTTGCCGGTCGTGATATTGCTCTCGCGGGTCAGCGTGATACCGAGATACCTGGCAGGCGGCTGTCAGCTCAGGCGCAGTGCTACGGACTCGGGCCACGTGACAAACCGTTCGTAGTTGCCCAGGTCAAGGTCGGACTCTCCGCCGTCAGCGAGCACAAAGCACTCCCCATGCCTGGTATGAGGCTGTCAGTACTGGGGTCGACTGTACATATGGGGTGGGCGTACTCGAGGGGACCCAGGGTGCCGGCGTCGACATTGAGATACGGGTCGATCTTAATAGCCTGCAGCAGCACGGTATAAGTCGCAGGGCGTCTGGGAGTGCAGTTCTCGATGGCATACCGTGACCTTGAGACCAGCCGTCTTGAGCAGGAGACCGGCCGAAGAAGCTGGGAGGGAGCGCGGTGGTTAGCCGACCCGAAGAGGGCTATCGGTGGGTGCGATTGCCATACCGATGATTCCTGTGGAGGAGCCGAGTCAGCTCATGTTGCCCGTCGTATGTGAGGCCTTGTCGAGTCTCGAGTCTCGAGTCTCAACGTCGACCAGGCACGGGCGGTGAGACCGAGACTGCAAGACAAGGCGCATAGAGGTAGACAGGCAGTCAGGCAGGTGTGGAAAAGGGCACTGACCTTTTCCAATGCCAGAGATGACACCGCCGCTGACAAGGACCACACGCATCTTGCCGGTTCTGTGTCTGGCGCGTCGCGTCGCGAGAGTATAAATCTCACGAGGTGAATACGATGGGAGGAAATGCTTTTTTTTGTCGCCCTTTCCAGAGCAAAATCTCTAGCATGTGCTCACCCAGCTTCTCTGCCATTTTTTGGAGGGGTGGAGGGGTAGTGGGGCACCTAGTTCGAGGGCTCGAGGAACGGTCTTCAGCCTCAGTGGGGAACCCCTCCACTATGGCCTGCATGCAGGTGGCTTCTAATAGGGGCACACCCCTCACACCCCTACCATGCGATACCCCTATGTAACTCCTAGATGCATAAGCGAATTCGTATAACTTTGAACCCGTGGTGTCAAGACACTCACCATTGACACCAACTCGCGGGGAACATCCACTGCCTCCCAGAATCAGACTACAGTACAATGGCAAGCAACACGAGCATACGTCCAGTACCGGTACGGTACATTGTCAACAAATGGCAAACACACTCGATCTCACAACAGAACCATATTCACACCATGTAGGTTGTGGGTTGGGTGGTGACCCTATCGACATAGAACCACAACTTGCGCCTCATTTTGTCAACAATGGCCATCAGATATCCTCTCCTCCCCCAATGACTACCCCGGAGTTTTCGCTATGCCCCTCGCATCACGCCATGTCACACCTAAGCCACGAGATTTTCCCCTGGCCCGATGGTGCCGTTGAGCTTGGCCGCCCGGTGCCCACGGATCAGCATCCCGTAGGCGGGGTAGTACTTGTCGAGGAAGGGGAAGAGCTCTACAGCCCCCGGCGTGTTTCGCCAGTCGCGCATCAGCTCGCACATGATGGCGAAAAGCGACAGGATCTGGACACCGGCGTCCTTCATCCGGTCGTTGCTGGCGTCTCGGATGAGCTCCGTCGTGGTGCCCGACGCCTCGACGTTGACGAAGACGCTGTAGCCGGCTTCCCTCAGTGACAGGGCAAGGAACGTCGTGCCTGTTGTGCCCTCGTCAGTCTCGCTCTCTGCACTGCAAGCTGCAGCAGCCCACGGTCACTTACAGACGTCCGTCGTGATCCCCGCCATCACGATCTGTTTCTTTCCCGCCGCCCGCACCGCCGCCTGGAAGTCTGCGTTGTCCCACGCGTTCACCTGCCCGGGGCGCTGGATAAGGGGAGCGTTGGGAAACATGTCAAGAAACTCGCCCGGCAGGGGGCCGTTGGGGCCTGTTGGCGCCATCAGTGTGAGACCAATACGATTTGTGTCCTCTTCGGCACTCACCCGTCTCGGCCGAGGTCGTCATGACAACTGGCACGTCGAATACCTTGGCCAGTTCACCATGGGCCATCTATCGAGAGCATGGTGTTAGTCAGTTCGTCGACGGTTCGACACGAACCCGTCATGGGTGCAGATCAAATTGGCTCGTGGGCCTTGTCTACCCATGTGGTGACCTAGGAGCTAATCGACTGCCACAGGTTGCTCGGGATAACCTGCATGTATTCAACCGAGATCAACATAATACATACTAGCACAAGTCAGCCATCGTGCTCTGTCCACCAGCAGTCAACGACCACTGGCGAGGGCTCGAGCGGGTTCTTACCGATTGCGTCACGGTAAAGCGTGGCGTCTGAATCTCTTGCCAGATTGAACAGGCCGACCCTGTGCGCAAACAGGTGTCAACAGATACGTCAAGTGAATCAAGCTCTAACTCCACGGACGACTATCGCAAGTATAGCGCGGGCAGACAGTCAGAGCTGAGTATTAAGGGGGTGCGGACATACTGCAGGTCGAGGATGAGGAAAAGCTGCAGGCCATTGCGGTCAGTCTTAATACATACGGTGACTTGTGGTGTATGTGGTACCTACTGTGTCATTCTTTTCCAGCCGCTCATACACGTAGCCGGAGGCCACGGAGCCAGCGAACAAGGTCAGGACAGTCGGGAGTCTCATCTTGGGTATTCGGATGATGGGAGTAGACAAGTGCTGGAGAGGTGGCTGGGCCGTTTGCAAGTGTGGGCGATGCCTGGGGTCGAAATTCTCACATACAGCAGGGCGACTGCAGCTCTATTTATACTTGATTTCAGAGCAATACACACACCGCTTCCAGATTCTCGAAAGACTGCCAGTGTATACACCTAGGATGTATATCTTGGCCAAGCAACGCCTGCCCAGAAATGGGCCTGGCTCAGTAAGTACCCAAGATCCATGTCAACGTGATGTGACCAACCCTTACTCATCAACTCCAAGCAACTATGACGGGGCAAGTCGGTAAACCCTCGTTCTGGTATTCTTATATCATGGCCTCCACTGGCTCGACATTGGAGGCTTGACCAGGGCCGTGGTCAAATGTTATCTCTATACGAACACACAGCCGGGGTGGTCAGCTCGGATTGGTCCGCTTGAAGTCATAATCTTACGTCGACGACGCCGCCATGCGGTCTGTGTAATACCAATTGCTTGAAGTGGAACCAAGCCCATGACTAAGGCACGGTGGTCTGCTGAGTCTCGCGCTGACTGTCATTTGTCAATGTTTGTCAATCCCCCATTTGCCTCACGCAGTCTTGGCGTCTGGTCGGCACCGCTGAACCGTCCAAGGGGGATGATACACATTACATCTGTTCACGGCATCGAGAGCTCATACCATACCAGCAGTCAGTCTGCACTTTTCGTCGACTGCCTACTCGTATTGCTTTGCCTGTTGGTCACACTAAATACGCAGGATCAGCCCGTCTATGGGACCAAGGCATGCATACGTGGAACAAAATTAAGGTAGGTAGATCAATCATGAATGGAACCCAACCTTGCCCACCGCAGGAGGTAGGGTATGGGACAGGGGAACCTGCACAAGACACGACTTGAAGCTCCCGAGGGCGGCATAGGTCTAGAGGCCCTAAGGCAGATCGTGTCTGCGGCGTTATACAACTGCCAATTCAACCATCAGAGTATCCTCGAGAAGGGGTAGACCCTTTTCATAGACCAAATACGAACCAATCAAGTTATTCCGCAACCTGCATCTTCATGGCCATCTGGAGTCAACAGTGACGCGTGTTCTATGAAGACCGAAGCCCCCCTAAAGCACCGAAGGGTCTTGCCTGTTTCCCCCAGTCTCCTTATACCGTATCCCCTTGAGCCTGTAAATCCGGCGGAATTTGACCTTCGGCCTGCAGACGCCGCCGCTCTGCCGCCCGACTGTCGGTTCGGACTTCCGTCATGGACTTTCCAACAAACCGGACCGGGATGGGCTCTCCGTCAAGTGTCAGTCCTTTCAGTTCCTGTTCGATTCTCTCCCGTTCCGTCTCGTTGTTCCAGCCGAAGACCTCGATAAGTTTGGGCGGTCGGACCTCCCAGTGGGAGAGGAGACACAAGTTGTCCAGCACATAGTTCACTTTGCGGCAGCACCCCAGGCCGCAGTAGCACTCCTCGAAGCTGAGCTGCAGCCGGTCCAGCGTCATGCCCACCGTGTGCCTCAGACGCTCGTCGTACTGGGTCTCGACCGTAGAATTCTTCTCGCGGTGCAGGCGCACCATGTAATCCAGCTGCATGCTCGTGCTCGTGCCCGGCGGGACCGCATCCTCATCGTCGTACTCGTCCGGCCCCGGGCCGCTGTGGTACCGACATTCCAAGTCCGTCGCCTGGTCATCCTGGTCGCGCATGTCAAAAGTGATGCTGATGTCACGCATCATGTCGAAGTAGTCGTGATACCACGGCAGACGCACGCGATCGTAGCAGCTGGCGAAGTCGGTGTTTCCGTATGGGAACACGAACCGGTTGCCGCCGTAGAACAGCGGTGCCGCCTCTTGGTGGATGGTTTTGCTGACGCCCGAGATCAGGCCGATGTGCTGCCCCGAGGCGTAGCCCTCGCCCCAGTCGGCTGGGAGGCCCGCGTACCGCCCGTACGGCTGGCGGTAGTAGTCGCGCGTGCGCCAGCGACCGTAGATGACGACGTGGCCGCCGGCGGCGTTCGGTAGGAACACGCTGCCCCTGACGAGACGGTACGCGTACACCATGTCGCGGATCTCGCGCGGCAGGTCCATGAAGCCGTGGAATTCGGTTCCGACGCCTTTGCTCTGCTCTGGGGCATCACGGCACGGCATCACAACGGCTGCAGCAGAGACACAGATCCTGACGAGACGAGAGGTGACGAGAGATGCAACGGCCGCGAGCGAAGCATCAGGTCCTCAATCTACTGAGAGATGACGAAGGAAGACGACGAATGGAGCGGTTGAGGGAGTGTGTTGGCTGGAAAGTGACAGCGGCGGAGGATTCTGCCACGGTGGCACAGCACACCGCCTGTCTCGTTTATTGATAGTGTAGAGAACAGCTGGGTGCAGCTGGGAAGACCTGACTGCCATGATTCCCCCTTTCCCTTCTCTCCTACCTACCCACACGAACATTGAACCATCGCTTTCCACACTCATTCGAACCCATAAGCATGCTTCTCAACCTCATCACGGTACATAATGGTCATAACTAAACATTGATCTTCACCTTGGAACACCGGGACAGTCAGTGCAAACGCTGGAAGAGAAACAACCACCGCTAACTTCACATCGGCACGTACCGGCTAGCAAGCATCTAACGAGCTCCTAAGCAGAGGGGCACGAGAAGTCCTCCAACGATGGAGGCACAGAAGAGAAGTCGTCCACGGAGGCACGGGAAGACCTCTACGGAGGCACACATCCATGGATGACAGCGTTCGGGGAGCGAATGCATGGCGTGGAGTGAAGGCTACGGCTTCACACACAGCATCAAAGCACCGATAGATTCAGTAGGGCACTCATACAATCCCTCCCATCATGTTCATTTCTGGAAAGCCGTATTCACTTTCGACAGAAACGAGACAACCACATCTCTGAAAGCATTGCAGTCTTTCTTCCTGTCCAGTCTTTTGAACCTGACTCCCCACTGTGACCGCGCCTGGGCGTCGTCGTCCAAGCAAGTCAAGCACGCCTTGACCATTGTTACATATCCGTCTCCCATGGCGCCGGGAAGCTCCTCCTCGGCAAGTCTTACGAGCCCCTGCTTCGTCGTCTCCCGATCGTACGTTTTCTTGGGGTCGTAAGGCGTACATGCCTTCGACGCCAGTCGACTGGGAACGGTGTGCCCTTGCTGCAGGTTCACAAGCAGTTCCCATAGTCCAATCTCGAGCAGGCAGACCCCAAGACTGTATGTGTCGTGGCCCATATTGACTTGCTTCTCAATTTTCCTTTGCTGCTCCGGATGGCGGTATATGTCTTTAGGCCAGTGTGGGTTTCTGTCGGGGAGGACAACACCGCGTTGGTGCGCTGCGCCCCAGTATGTGAGATAAACGCTGCCAAAGCCCGGCGGCACACTTCCTACTTTTGGGTCGGTTGTGGTATTTCGGGTCCGTTGCTCGCTGTCACCAATTCGGGTGTCATCCAGCCAATTGTCACCCGCGTTCAAGTCGCTGAAAGTTCCCGAACTCGTATCATCATGCATACCCAAAACTCTGGCCACTCTCTCTCGACGACCTCCCTTTCCCTTATCACGCACACTTCTCTGGCTAGTCCTCCTTTCCACTGCCCCGTGTACCCTCTTTGTGCTAGGGTCGCCCTTGGAGCTTTTGTCGGCTTTAGCAGTGAAGGTGAGAGCACGGGTGAGGGTTCTCTTGACTGCGCCCATTGTGCCAGTTCGCTTCAGAGGCTTCGGCTCGTCCATATTGTATCGCTCGTTGTCTTGACGCCCTATACCAAGCTCGCCATTGTCATTTTCCTGCGACTCGAGTGGGGCGAGGAACAACACAGTGTCGCTTCGGATGGCGCAGTGTGCCAGTCCAGCGGAATGGACCTTTCGTATTGCTTCGGCAAGTTGGAGGGCCAGGGATAATCGCATTTCAAGGGGAACCTTACGTTCGTGTGTCTCCCCAGGTTGGCTTTCGCGGATCAGGTTGCCGAGCGTCTTTTGGTCTTTAGCATTCTTCGGAATCAGAAAGCAGACGCGATACTGGTCTGAGCCAATAGAGGGCAGTAGCCCGGTCTGATAGCTTTCGTCGCTGTCACATGACCACCAGAGCATAGTCGCTATCCTCTCAGCAACCTGATTCGCCTTTAGCCTCTTCGAATCTTGCGTGCTTTGGTCGTCTGTTTTGCGTATGTCTGGTCTATAACTTTCCACGAAGAGTAGCAAAGGCCCCCGCTGAGCTTCCCTCGGCGCATTGCCAGATGAACCCCAGTGCGAGCTCACACAGTAGCTAAAGTCGTGATCGACAAATTGCATGGGTGGAAAGTAGATCTTGAAGTCGTTCGGGTGCTCCGCGTCGTTGAGGCATCTGGCCTTTGGCGCCAACCTGACCAATTCGACAATGCCCTGTAGGACATCCATATGCCGATGGATATCATCAAATAGCTTGGTGGCCGAACTCTCTACCCAGAGAACCCACGAGAGCCTGTGGAACGAGCTCCTACTTGGGTCATGGTCCCCAAGGTAGGCCACTGCGTTTCCGAGGTCCTTCTCAAGAGCGGTCGCTGCAGTTTCGATTTCAAACCGCGTTCCTCTTTGGAGTTTTCTGAATCCACGTTCGTTGCTTTCGAGGGTTCTGCTCGGGAGTTTTAGTCTAGCTGTATTCACCTGGCCGCTGAACAGGTGTAACTTCTCGGCGCTGTCGTTGGCGCCCATGTAGCGGAGGGTGAGGTTGTAGAGGCGTTCAGCAAGGCTGACGGATGCGTCGATAGCACCTAATAAGTCGGTCATGTTCACCGAGGCCTGCTCGACTGGCCAAGCTGCATGTCACGGTTGTCACCACTTTGCTCGGTACCGCTAGGGTCACAGTTCGATTGCTGGTAAGAGAGACGATCAAATTTGGTCTGGTTGGGGGTTTGCGGCTGAAATGCTATTAATACGCACCTGAACAAATCTAGACCTGCTTATGCTGGGTTACATGCAATGCAACGTCGGTGAAAAGCTGTGCCGTATACCCCAGCAACGGCAATCTGCAGGCAGCGCGAGCTTCGCCGCCTCGTAGTCTGCCTCATTCAGTTCGTTGGTGTTCCTGCGTGGTTCACTGTACCGTGACTTGGAGCATTGAAAAAAGTGAGCTAGGATCGATGCCATCGAAGCTCATCATCAGATCATTTTCCACGTCTCATGCAGTATCAACGAACAGTAAGAATGATAAGACATAGGCCTCAGCAGCTGCCTGTCTGTAAGCAATAAGACTTACCAACGCCGCAGCCTGGCTTGGTACCACACCCAAACCGACATTACAACCCTGTCATACATCCTGATTATCGTACTGACTCTCCATCGTGGTGGCACCCAAGATCATATTGTCGATGTTTCCGCGTGCACTCCAAACGATGTTCTCGGTCGAGCCTCGCTCGCGCACCTGCCCGTCGTTAATAGCCTTGATATCGCTGTCGCCATCCACGAGGCCCCTCGCTTTGTGGTGGAAGTAAAGGGGTGGCGTGACACTAGGCCGCATGTGAGTAAGTGAGGTACTTCCTGGTCAACCCGTGTGACACTCAAGACATGTAAACCTATATGGTACTCATAAAGGGGCAAAATGCTCTGGGTATACAATCATAATATGCCAGCACTGACCTGATGCACTTCGTATCGAGCCCACCATCACCCGCCGCAGCCGGGTCTTCGATACCATGGGTCGACACGGCTCGCCTACACAGTCCGGCCAGCGCATTATCAAAGGGCCCGGTCAGGTGATTGACCGAGAGGTCGAAGAGCACCTTCCTAGCGCCCCTCTGGGACAGGGCGTAGGCGAAGGTGCAGATAGGAGCACCCGAGATATGCACCCATCGCGTGTGCTCGGGGCTGTTCTTGAAGTCGAGGAGGCCCGTGATGCGGTCCCTCGGAGGCACCGTCATATCGTCTTGAATGACGAATCTTCGCGTCATGTATCGAAGGGCCGGGTCGTCGGACGATCTGCCCCTGTTCTCTTCGAGCGTCTCGGGGAAAATCTCACCGCAGTGGCCAAGCCATAGAATGTCCCAATCGTCTCCATAGGGGGAATGCGGCTTTGGGTTCGAGGATAGGATAGCACGGGCGCCCTGGGCGACTCGTTCGAGCTGTGGCTTAAGGCGGACGTCCCAGTCCACGTCGTCCTCCAAGATCAACGCGGAGGCAAGGTCGTCTTGGATGATCCTGTGGCAGTCACATTTAGTACTTATGCTTATCGCGATATTCTGGTGGTAGCCAGGAAGTCGAACGGAAGGTAAACACACCTCCGAGCCGCATTCATATGCGCCCTCCAGCTGCCCAAATTCGCCTCCCACAGCCTCTCCCGACTAGTACCAAACGGAACAGCCTTATCCGGAACACTCTCGCCCCTGACGCCATCCACCCACTCGACGCGGAAGCCCGTCAGAGCGCTGGTAAGCGTGATGGCATCGCGCTTGTCGCTCCGCTCGGGGAGGCCGACGACGAAGACGCGGTCGAAGCCGAGCGTGGCGTTCGCGACGCGGTTGATGTCGGCTGGTGATGCGTGGCCTCTGTACCCGTCGCCGTACAGTCTCTCGTGGCTCCGCGGGGAGGGTGCGCGGTCAGGGAAGGGGAGCAGTCGGAAAGGAGTGGCTTGCGGTATCAGGAGGAGGAACGAGCCGACCGTCATGAATATGGTGGCGATGCCGATGAGCATGCGTGGCGATGGCCGGAAGAGGACACCCATCTTGAAGTTCCTGTCCGAGTGAGTGCGGTGGATGGCAGGTAGAGAAGGGGATGTAGCCTATCGAGAGACTGGGGTTCATAAGTACCTAGGTAGGTATGTTGGGCACAATGTCATCAGCGAGGATCCCGCGTCATAAATGAGCACAGGTAACCCGAGAGCTTACCTAGGTACAGGTGACAAACAAGCAATGGAAAAGGTACCTATCGAGCCGAAGTACAGTAGTACAAGAAGTAGGCGCGACCGAGAGAGGGACAAGTCATCCGTCGGATGACTCCCGTCCTTGGCCATGTCACGAGGCTCATATGTCATGTGAGTCTCGAAAGCCGCCCGTTGTGGGAGAACCATTATATATACCATCGATTGTGTAGCCTATATCTAGAAGCTACTAAGTACTGTCTGTAGGATGCCATGTGTGGTGTGCAAATGTCCATGTCGCCAGCTGCCCACCCCCAATGCCAGAACTCGGTCATATCAACAGACTCCCAAGTCAACTATACCTGTCAGTTGTCTCGTCATGCATATATCCCTTCATCCGATGCATCCGTGTGAGAGAAAATAATGATAAGAAAAGACAGAACCACTCGTCCTCTGGAACGCCTGTCAAATGCGAAGGGGTATCTTGCAGAAACAAAAGACTCGTCACCACAGCCACAAAGACCAAGACCACAGCCCAGAGAAAGGCTGTCATCCCTCTCATCAACGCGACCTCTTTCGGAAGCAATGCGGCTCCAGACGCCTCCACCAGTGTGTCCGTCCGTACATTTGGTCCGGTTGGTTTGGCAAGGCTGTAGTCGCAGCTGCAGTCGTGGTCGCAGTCATTATATCATGTCGTCGTCGATCGTCAAGCCGTGAGGCAACCATCTATACACGCGAACAAGGCCGACAGCTCGAGATCGATAGCCAGCCGGCTCGCTCCATTGCAACGAGACCGTGGCATCTTCAAACAGTCGGCAGCAGCTGCAAATGTTAAACGCGTCCGTCGCATTGTTCTGGCAACCCGTGGGTTTCGTCACGCCCCCGAGAACGCCTCTCGTATGACTCGGTAGGAAATAAATGTCGCAAAGAAAGGAAGGTGTAAAAGCCGATGGTCGAAGGACATGCGTCGAGGAGTGTTTAGTTCAGCATCCGGTGTCCACTTTTGACACAGCCAACACTTTCGAGCCACATCCGCCGCGTGACTCCACTGCAAGGAAGGACTGCATCAAATCGATCGTGGTTCGAGGATTTAACGGATACGCGGTTGGAGATCGGCATTGAGCTCCTCGAGGAAGTCGTCCAGGTAGATGATTTGGAACCGTTGACCATACTTGTCCATGAATGCGGCATCGGTCCATGCTCGCGAGATGGTCTTCTTCCATGTGACAAGTTCAATGTTCCAACCGATCTCGAGCGCTCTGATGGCGTATTTGTGAAAACCCTCGGAATATTCGGCCTCAGCAGCGTCGCCAGTCGCGAGCACCATGGTGGCCGGCTTATCGATACAGTCGAGCAGGCTGTTCATCATGTACAGATGGAGATTCTCGTCCACCCCCTGTTCCCCGTTCTTCGTGATGTATCTGGGACGGTAGCCATCTTCGGTAGACTCGTCACCACTAGTGAGCGTGACTTCGGTTGGGTTGTACATGCCGGCTCCTGCCAAAGGTGGGGATCTACCTCTTCGCTTCGGTCGGAGGGGGGAAATCTTCTGAACTCGGTTGAAGATGTTCAGCTTGAATCCCAATTGATGCGCCTCCAAGAAATGAGACGGCCATTTTGCCAGGCCGCCGACAGCAGCACCGACGGAGCCAGCCAGAACGCCCCGGTCCATTGTACGGGCGCGCTTCATGATGGAGTGAAAGACGTGGAAGTTGAAGGTTGGTGCCTTGATGAAAGCTTGGACCGGGAGCCCCTGAGCGATCTTCCAGGAGTCGATGAACCCGATGAAGATGTTGGACATATCTATGAAGACATGGACCGGTTTGCCGTGGTAAGCCTCCGAATTATCGATGCCGATGTATTTAGAGGTGAGCTTCTCATACAATACCCGGAGCTTCGCATCGTAAGCAGAAACTTCATGCTTGAACAGAGGCTGGATATCCTGTGGAACCAAATTCTCGTCTAGCATAGCGGGCGTAGTAAGGGAGGCAACATCGCCGACGACGTTGCGCTTGGCACGGGACTGCTGCGAAGATCCGACCGGGGGCTCGAGCGTGCCGAATGCTGCTGCAGAGGCTTTCTCGCGTCCCTCCAGCGTATTGAACACATCCCAGAAGCCGTAGCGCTTAGCGGTGTCCTTGCATCGCTGTAGAGTAATCACGTCCTTCTCATAGTATTCCAGAAGCATCGCTCCAGTCCAGAATGGTTTCGAGGGGCTTTGCTTGACAGGGCTCTGCACGGGACGTTCGGAAGAGCGGGCACAGTCTGGCTTCGTCTCGGGGTTCATAAGGTTCTTAACCGTATCGTATAAGGAGGCGACCAGAGCGGTACTGTCGGCAGGGATGTCTCTGCGGGTAGGAGTGACCGGGCCATTGAGACTTCGAGGCAGCTGGGTGGTACTCGCAAACGTTCCCTGGTGCTGGCTGGTGTGATTCATGATAGGCATAGAGGAAACCGCAGCGGACGGGGGCAGCTGATAAACCTCAGCCCAGGTCGGCGATTGATATGCTTCACTACCTTTCAACTGGCCGCTCGAGGGAGGCGTGGAGTTTGGGCTCGAAAGGTGAACACCGTCAAGCGAAGCCAGTGATGAAAGATCCAGGCGAGAGTCCTCGTCAGAAGTGAAGGATGTCTCGCACACCACTGCGTCAGCGACGAAACCAGTCGCATCGGTATCATCTGTCGAGGTAGCAGCAGTGTCGAGCGTGTAGTCTCGAGTGGCAGCATCGTGTGCATGACGGTTGCCCTCGACAGCTGTCACCTTTGAGTCGGCTTCTAGGCTGCCCTCGATTGAGCTTGAAGGCGCTTGATTTTGAAATGGGGAGCATTGAACTCCAATTGCGCTATACCTTCTGTTAACCGGAAGGAACTGAACACACGGTTCAGGGTCAGAGGGGACGTTGGCGTTACTGACCATTCGACTGCAGCGGGGTTGTCAGACGAGACCTTGAGCAAGAGATCGACAAGACCATCGCCTAGGCGTGGCATTGAAGGTCTCTTCTTGATGACTCTGGAGCCATTGGGGCCCGGGCGCTGCGGGAAGGCGGTCATCTTGAGTGAGGGCAGTGGGAAGCCGTCTTCGGGGCTTTGGGCAAGCGTGGCCATCTGGTGTCCGGTGATGACAGTGCAATCCGTGTCGGACTGGGAAGGGTTACTGGCGACAGTTGTTGCACAGGCGGAAGAAACCCGTGAGGATTGTAACCCAAAGGCCATGGTGCTGCTGACGAACACAAGCCCGGCAGTGGGACAGGAGGCGAGTAGTTTGTGAGGGGAGACGGCAGACGACAGACGACAGAATTGCTGCAATGCGCAATAGTGCGAATGCTACCGTAAAATCAGCTCTAGTTCTGTCCCTGGAATTGCAATTGAGAGGGAGGATCTGAGTTGTGATTGGAAGGGTGCGAAAGTGAGGAGACGTGAAGATGAAGTGAGGTGGTGAGGTGGTGAAGTGGTTGAAAGGTAAAGAAGTGGGTGAGGTCAAGTGGCGGTACCTTACCGAGTAGAGTGCGGAAATCAGGATGATACGTACCAAGAGTGTTGAACGAGACTGGAGTTCAGACTAGTTGTAAGGGACGCGTAGAAAGAGAACACCGCCGTCCAAATGGTGCATGTTCAGCCGCAAGTCGAGAATTGAAGAGAACGAAGAGGTTCGTGGCAACTTGACTGACTGACTGACCCAAAGTAGAAGAGGTGTGGTGGAGAGAGAGAGAAAGACTGCAGATGTGAGAGTGAAATATGTGAGTAGAGGCCGATATGGAGATGGATGAAAAGAGAGAGAGAGAGAGAGGGGGTGGTGTGTTAGTGCGCATGTGCAAAAAGAGATAACTGCGTGCGTGTGTGCTCGTCTTGAAGTTGATGGCGTTCAGAGCCTCCAAATGCAGCTGGAGGCGGATGACTCCATCTCCAGTTGGTGGATGACGGTTATAGCGGTTGTAGTGGCCTTTAGTGGGGGTGCACAGGAGCGCCTGGGCCTGAGCTCAAGAGGCTCCCATCAGGCCATTCCGGTCCGCCCCACCTGCTCGCCACCTGCCACCAACCACCGGCCACGGCCCGCGACGGCCTCAGGCACGAGTTCGGGAACGCGTTCAGGAGGACCACTTGGCCCGTGCATCTTCTAGCAGTCATCCACCTAGATATATTGGTCCAGGCGGGAGTTCACAAGTGAGCCAGCCGATAGCTTGACGATTGGTATGCGGCATCACGGTGCAAGAATTACATGCATGTAGTAGCACTCGGCAACTCGTCTGATAACACCGAGGCGACAGGTTTCCATGGCCAGCAGAGCATCTGAGACAACCACACTGAAAACCCGGGAATCCTGTGAAACACTCTATACTGCTCTGAATAGTATGCTTGCATCCACAAGGTGCTGGTCTAAAGAGAAAGCCCCGGAGGACCGGTCAGAGGCATGCTCTAAAGTACGGGAGTTGGATACCTCAGGCTTCAAGGGGAGGAGTTCTCAAGTAGCTGGCACACTAGAATATCTAGGTACCTAAACATACACACATACCACACACGTTGCAGTCTGGCAAGATCTTATTCTGAGAATTCATATTGACTCGAAGGCCCAATTGATATCCGCGAGCAAGCTATTCTACAGGCCAATGCGATACTTCATCCACTCAGTAGCCCGTCTAGCGCAGGTCTTTCCAACTCGAGTCGCAGAAATGGTATCTGAAAAACTCCGTGCGGCTCTGGCCCTATCCGTAAACGCCTCCCACGAGACAACCTAGCGAAAGCCATTGACAGCAAGCGTCGGCATTCGATCGTGTCCATGACCCATCAAGTCTTATTGCTGGAATCCTTGGCCCGTTTGATGACCTCTCCGACCTTGTCAATCTCCTCGTCCTTGACACTCCAACCGCCGTACGTCTCCTGCAGCTTATCGGCTTCTCTCTGCAGACTCGTACACCACGCAACGTAGGCCTTGGACCCTATCTCGACTTGCTGCTGCCGGCGCTGTTCTCCCGCCGTTTCGTCCATCTGTAGTCGCTTCTGTTCTTCCTCCTTCCGCAGCTCGTCTCTTGCCTTTCGCTTGGCGCGACGGTCCTGCACCTCGCGTGCGCGGTCGGCAAGGTAGCGGGCGCTGTGACCGAGGCCGGCACTTTCCTTAGCAACGCCGCGGTGGGCTCGGTCCAGCGGGGGTTGCGTGAAGAACAGGACACTGCCGGTCTCGTCGCGCAGGAACTGCTCGCGGACTGGTTCCGGGATGGCGGCGTCTGTCGCGTCGTCCAATTTGTAGACCTCGACCGGACGCGGTGGATTGTATGCGTTTGCTTGAGGGTGCGCGACGGGGTTGGGCACGGGAGCTATCGAGTTGCGCACAGGTGACGGCGCCACGCGCTGCTGCGGCTCGTAGCCGGTTAGGGGATTGCTCATCTGGTGAGGTGTGTGGTGAGGCTGTTGGGCCAAGGGCACCGGCGTTGCGCCGTACTGAGGCTGGTATCCGTTGAAGGCTGGTGGAGGGTGCGACGGTTGATGCGACTGGTAGTGTGGCGTTTGCGGCATCTGAGGCGTTGCGTGTCCGCCTGCATAGCCATGCACGCCGTACGCAGGGACCGGGACCGGGGTGGGACTGGGTCGCGGTGCGAAATGAGGCACAAACGCGTTGGCCTGGCCCGCCGTAGGCGTCGGCGGTGCCGGTAGCCTCGAGAAGTGCGACGTGTTACCCATGGTGATGTCACCGTGGCCGTCGGCAGTACGCGCCGACTGCATCAGGGATGGTCGGCGAATCGGGTCAAGGGGGGCTGGCGTTGGCTCTGGCGTCGGTTCAGGCGGTGGGGATTCCTAAGAGCGGGAGGGAATTGTGTCAGTGTTGGCTTCGAGCACAGCGCTCCAGGGGTTGTAACTTTGGGTAAGAAAAATGCAATGCACGACAAAAGGGCGCAATCGATAAGCGACGTGACCAGGCTGAACCCCAAATCGAAATCGATAGCAGGCAGGTCTTGCTTATCGCGCAGGAGAAAGGGGCATTCATGTCAGATGGACCAAAGACAATACTTACATTCGCCTCCCTCTCACGACAGTGGACGGCTCCGATGAGGGGAGGGGCATTTGGAGCTCCCCAGGTCGGCTTCGGCAGGGGGTCCGTGGGCTTCGCATCGTCTCGAAGTAGGTGTTTGATGGGACTCGGTATCTTCTTGAGCCTCTGCGGGACATCGAAGAGGTCCATCTCATAGTCCTTCTCCCGCACCTCATCAGGCACGCAGCTGGCCCAGGTCTTGATCTTGTTCAGCTTGTGCTTCTCCTCGTTATATCGAGCCTCGCAAACGTAGACCTCCTTGTCCTTCGCAAGCCCTCGCGGCCTGCCCTTGTTGTACCGCGTTACGAACATGACAAAGCACCGATCCACAACCTGGTCGATGCGATGGTCGCGGTACTGTCCCGTCTTGACCACTTCGTTCTCCAGGAAATGCTTCTCATAGCGATGGACCGTCTGCTCTGGTCGGTAGTACCAGCATGCATTTACCCACGGCTGCCCCTGGCGATCTTGCCAGGTCCGGTAGATCTGGGCGACGATAGGCTTAGTAAGGTCGTTCGGGTTGGTGATGTGGACCCAGTCACCTAGGTATATGGTCAGTATTGCCTCATGCGCATGTCCGCGTGTCGTGCTCCACTAACCGACTCTCCAGATCTCACCGTTGTGACGAATATCCGGCAAGGGCCGTCTGCCATCCTCGTCCTCGAATTGGTCGTCGGGCTTCGCCTTCTCCTGTCCGGCCAGGACGTGAGCGTGGCGGTGCAGCTGATCGGCGTCCTGGAATATCTGGCTCGTGTCTTCGTTGTATTCCTTGGCGTTCCCAAACATCAGATCGATATCCTTCATAGCCTGGTCTACGTTTTGGTACTTCTTCCTCTTGTACTTCTTCTTGATGGTGTCCAGGGCTATAGGGTTGGCGATTGTGGTGTAGTAGTTTGGGTTGGTGGCCTTGTCGGGAAGTCTCTCGAAGGGAACGATCAACAGGTCGCCATCCGGATGCTTCAGTTTACGCAGTCCCTTGAGCAAGGCATGAATTCGAGCCTCGACGGGCGTAAAAACCTTGGGTGGACGGCCTCTCTTCTTGTGGTCGTCATCTCGCGAGTCCAACTTGCGGCCGGCGGTCGAAGTACGCCCTCCACGCCTCCCGCGACGCCGTACGCCGTCATCATCCGAGTCGTCATCATCCTCGTCGTCTTCGTCGTCTTCATCATCCTCGTCTGCCTCTTCATCTGCTTCTTCCTCTTCTTCTTCTTCTTCTTCTGGGGCGGAGTCCTCAGCGTCGGGAATCTCGCCCAGATCGGGGAGGATGGCCTCGTCAGCTGTGATGGTCTCGTCGTCGACAAGCTTCTGCAGTTCCTCCTTGAACACTTCCCGAAGTTGGACGGCATCCTTAAAGACCTGTGAGGAGGGTCGGTTGTACACCTGGGCGTTGTGGGTGATGAGCGCGACGTCTCTCACGAACTCGGGAAATGTTGTATATTGCTTCTTGAGCTTCTTGGTCTGTAAGGGGGCGTTAGCTGAGTGATCTCTGCGGCCATCGGGATTGCACATATCACGTACTCGGATAGTGCTGAAGGCGGTGGGCTCCTTGATTACTTCGTGGTAGTCTGGAAGGAGGCGTCGGTTGGGGATGCGCTGAAACTGTGAGGCTATGTGATATCCGCTGTCGCGCGCACAATGTCAGCCATTAATTCGCTAAGCTGAAGGTTGCAAACTTGGAAGGTAGCTCACTCGTCGTCCTGGTACGCGGTGAGGTAGTTGGCAAGATTCTCGATGACGGTGAGCATGTCGTTATGAATGCGCTCGGGAGCTCGGTTCTCCTCGGGCTCGGCTTCGGCATCGAGACCGGCACCAGCATCAGTACCCTTGTCGGCTTCTACGTGCGCGTCTGTTTGCGACTCTGAAGCTGGAGCAGCGGCGGCGGTGGCAGGCACATCTGCGGGGGCGGTGTTGTCGGCGGCGTCGGCGGCGTCGGCCATGTTGACCTCTGCCTCGGACGACGGCTTCGCTTCGATAGACTCGCGCACGGCGGCGGGCTTGTCGGTTGATTCCGTGACTGGGTCGGCGTTGTCAGCCATCGAGGCAGCTTCGAGGGCGCGAGAAATCCAACAGACTGAGGACCTGGTGTTTGTTGAGGCTACCTAACAATGTCCATGTCCCGAGTGGTGTAGCTTCGAATCTCGATGCTCGACGTTCAATGTGCAGTGCAGTGTTGCTTTGACGTTGCGCATCCCGAGCTTGACATGGAGCTTCCCGCTCAGCCACAACCAACATGTACACAGTATATTAAAACGGTATTGTACTGTAGAGGCGCGCCGCGATCGATGCGCCGCGCTGCACGTGGTCTGCCGGCATACAGCCGAGCGCCCGACGTGGCTCAAGCTCAGTCTGTCTTGACGCCAATGTACTTCAAGTTTGATATGAGTGCAATCACGCGAGTCTGCCACTTTGCAGGTCATGCAATTGTGTCATTGCTCCACATCTTACTGGAAGCATGGTCCGATTGATACTTCATGATGGACATATGAAGGGTGTACCTAGGTAAGGTAAGAGAGGCACTCGACATCAACGCGCTTAAAAGGGGGGGGGATGGTACTGATGGCTAGACATGCGTCCCCGGCATCTGTATCTCCAGGCTGCCTTGTTGGTTATCACTACGGAATCATGACCTGGGTGATATGCAGCAATTAGGCTCGGGGACTCTCCATACTGGTATGCACGGCAATCATCAAGGACTTGAAACTCAGATGTGGGTATATGGGTTGCAGACTGGCTAAAGAGAGACTAGATAAACATGCAGGGTCAAAGCCCATACCAAAAGCCATGTGTTCTGACACCCGTATCATGAAGCCCCGCAAGTTGGTCAATACCATTCCAGTAGGGCATGAAACATTGATAAAAAGGAAACATAGGAGCGTAGTGCTGAAGAGCAAAGGAGACCACCTTGAAGTTGAAAACACAATGCCGAGCCCATTTCGAGAAACGCCAGAGATAACCGCACCGAAAGGAAGATGAAATGCACCCTAACCTTTGGGGTAAGGGGCGAAGAGAAAGAAGTCAGGACTGGCTTTGAGCTGAAAAATCAAAGAAAGAGTCCCAGCGGCAAAATTAACTCCAACCCGGCCTGTCTTGGTGCAAGAAACCAGAAGAGAAATGAGCAGAAGAGAACCAAGGAGACCAACGCAGACATACATCGACAAGACCGTATGTCATCGAGAGCCGGGATGTGTCTGTCGCCAGGTGCCGATAGGAAATGGGTGCAGGTGAGCTGTGGCTAAGAAGTCCGGGGTTCTTCCTCCTCCCAGTCAGCATCATACCAGGTTGCTTTGCGATCCGCCTTCACTATCATGTCCGGGCGCGATGCTCTCTGATGGGCCACAATGAATCCCTCAATTTTCACGACCGGTACAACGGCACGCAGCACGGGAACCTTTGATTCCCCGGGTGCCGTGAAGTACGGAGCGTTCCAATCTTGGAGGAGTGTTTTGTTCTTGAAATAAGCGGGGAAATGCTCTTCCATGAGCCTGTATGCCGCGCCGGAAACTTGGTCCACGCTGTTGTCATGCTTGAGGTCCCAGAAATCAGGTATTTCCGGCCGGGTACCATCTTTTGGTTTTGTGCGAGGTTTATCATAGCCCAAGGACTTGCGAATCTGGTCCTGGAATTCTTTGGGGTATTGTTCACAGCGGAAGAGGAGCAGGTCGTATTGCAGTAGAGATGTCTGCCCTCGCCAAGTGCCACCAGACTTGGCTCGATGATAAAGCCCTACCATGGCCGCAATGGCGCCCACTGCAGAGCCCAAAGTTAGCTTTCATCATGGTCAAACTTCTGCCATGACCTGGGGGTTTTTTGTTGTGCTTAGTGCTATATGAGGGAATCACTCGTCGACAGAGGAACAGACGCCCGGGACACTTCAAACTTGGGCGGGGGCGGGGGCAACTCACTGCAGCCGGTTCCATAGTCGGACATTGGAAAGGGAGGTACGATAGGCTCGACCCTGTTGGCTCCGTCCTTGGCTCCGTCTGGACGCATGAACTCTCCCTGAGCCCATGCCACGCCGCTGAAGCAGTCGGCAATCTGCTGCCAGCCTGGACGGCTTTTCCACACGCCCACATGTCCGTAACAGTTCTCGGCCACGTACACGTAGCCTCCTTGCTTTCTGTGTCGGCCCAGCTTCTCAAGACCCACTGGCCCATATCCGCGGGCCTCGATGGCGCCTGGTCGGTAACCATCCAGCACGATGTCGGCCTCTGCCAAAAGTCCATCGAATTCCTTTTTGCCCTCTTCCGTCTTGAGGTCCAGCATGATTGTGTGTTTGCCCATATTGACATCGACTTGGAAGAAGGGCACGTCGGACGTCTCGGGGCCGGTCACCTTCATTACTTGGGCTCCGTATTCATCAAGAATCCGACCGATGGTAGGGCCAGCAATGATGCGACAGAGTTCGGGGACCTTGATTCCCTTGAGCGGCCGCCGCTTGCCGTCGTCCTTAAACTTTGGCCACTTGGAAGGGCTCGCCTCTTGGATCTTTCGGATCTCTCCCGGGCCTAGTTCCATCTTCTTCACTGTCCAGTTTAGAGACTGCTGTTCTGCTTTTCCCTACACACGTCACAAATCAGGCCTGTTTTGTCGGAGACGTGTCTGAAAGTGATGGGGCTAGGAAGCGTTACTCACATGTTCCGTCAACACGAACTCTTTATGTCTCAGCACCATAGTCCCTGCTTGTTTTGTTTTGTTGTTGTTGAGAGAGTCCATGTGTTCGCGAGAGTGTTCTTTGACTCGTGGTGCAATGACCTTGACAACCTCCCTCCAGTCTTCGAGGCTCCTCCATTCCTTGAGCTCTTCCTCCGAGGTGAGACCCAAGAACTTGAGCGTCGGCTCGGGATCCAAAGACTCATGGATGTGATAGTATTGTCCCGGGGTACTCGTCTCGTACATGTTTGCTAAATACCGATTGAATAGAATGGAATTGAATAGAATGGACTGCGCGTGCTTGAAGTCGGTTTCTAGTGGGAGATCAGGTCAGCCGTACAAGGAGATTGATTGATTGATTGATTGTATTTAACGTGGGGGATCGCTCCTCAGTAGTGCAAACCACGCCTCCCAGAGCCTCTGCATCGCAGGGTTGTGGAGGTATCAAGATAATAAGTACAGTCAGTCTCGCTCACAAGCCCATCCCCGTTGTTGCGGCGGTATGACTTTAGGGTCATCCATCTGGTCCTTCAAGAACAGCTATTTATTAGGGACAGATTGATAAGAAGAACTTGCTCTTCTCCACAAATTTTGCCCATTCTGTGCTCCTCTTCCCTAAGTACTGTAAACAGGCTGTCCTAAGCGAGTACCTGGACAGTAGTCAGTTTTTCCCAAGCCTCTTACAAAAGAAAATATGTTGTGGTGTTTTCTTCTTACCGCAGTTACAGTGATTATTTGAGTCTGTATGCCCAAAATGTTCATAATATCTAACAAAGTTGTTATGTTCAGATTTAGCCATTAGAAGTCTGTATAAAGTACTCTTTTTAAAAGATATAAGGTCCCTTTTAGTTATTGTATGTGAGTATATTTCTTGATATCTAGGTTCTAATTGGTCTTTTTATTATTGATTGAATTCTCTCTTGCTCTTCTTTTTGAGATCTCTCTTTATCTAAGAGATTGTAGGAAGGTTTATTGTGTCCGTTTCTAGCATGGTACCCTCTTTTATTAGTATGTCAGCAGCTTTGTTGCCATCAATATCTCTGTGTCCAGGAATCCATTTGACAGTCACTCCAGGAATGTGTGCTGTGGCAAGTTCTTGGAATCATAGAAAAATGATCTGTGATGTCTCGGGTGGAGTCCATTCAGCCCATCTATTATTGACGTGTTGTCCAGGCAGACATATAGCCGTTTTCCGCGTCCAATTGCCCTGGCTGTTGCAAGATCTTAGAGAGTGTTATGGACTTTAATATCTATTACTTTTACTTAAAAAATTCTGCCTTTTTCCCGATATATTTCTTGTGTAGTGTTGCCTTTCCTGATGGTATAACCCCATCCAGTGCGGGTTGTGCTTTGGTCGTCCACCTGTGATCCATCTGAGTAGATAACAAGGTCAGTGTCCATATTTCTCTCCTGTAATCATTGCTTAAAGAGCTCTGTTTTTTTGTCTTTGTCTTTATGGATTGGGGTTTTTTTTATAATGATTTGGTAAGTATTGGTCTCTAGAAGTTAAGAACTAGCTAAAATTTTCTTTATAGCCTTGTCGGTTCCTTGTGAGCTTGTATTTGGAGCCTGCCGATAAGAGGGTGTCTCTGGTCTATTCGTCCGAGTCGGAGGCCGTGACATCGTCTTATTCACTCCGCAAGAACTCCTGCTGGGGGAATCTGTGATTCAAAGTGTAGGGTATGTCCAGGGTGTGTTTTCCAGACCGGCAAGATAGCTCTGATCGCCGTTCATAGTACAGCATCTATCGTTCCAAGAAGCCCCTTAATGCGATATGCTGATGTCCCACCTAAGCTCCCAACTTTTTCGATTCCTGGGTACCAGGCCTCCAGGCCATATGTAAGAATAGGAATAACACAAGCTTTCACAGCCCTCTTGGTTGACTTTACTGTAAGTTTTTTGACTGTGTTATATAGTCCTCAAAAGTGATTTGCTACCTTACTAGTTTTTTTGGTCCAGTAAGAAACGTGATTTTTGAAGTTTAGTTTTCTATCCAGGAGGACACTTAGCCATCGCATGGAGTCCTTTGTTATTTTGTTCATTGTTCTGTGGCAGACCAGAGGATTGTCTGAGTTCCTCTTCTGTAAGAAGTACATGATCTTAATTTTGTTAGAATCAAATTCAATAGCGCTATTATGTCCCTATTAATTAATTAAATAAAGATTTTCAGAAGCCTCTATGGCTGTTTTTTTAAGGTTCTTTTTAATACAGAGAGTCATTAAGCTGTCTACGTATCTAAAGCGTCTTTTTTTCATACCAAGTCGGGCACAGATTGGCTCTGTATATAGCATATAAAGGATTGGAGAGGCTGGTGAGCCTTGTGGTAGCCCACAAGTGAGAGCTTTAACATCGGTCACAATACCTTCAAACCGAACTCTTGCGGACCGTTCGGACATGAATGACTGGACCCATCTTATGAGAAAGCCCGGCCAGCCCTGTTCTTTCATGCGAACCACCAGCCGTCCCATCAGGGCAGCGTCAAAGGCCCCTTTCACATCTGACGTGACTACCGTTGCAACAAGGCCTTGGTCAAAGGCCTGCCCAATATCGTGTATGAGTACAGCTACCAAGTCAGTGGCAGAGCGCTTTGATAGAGCTCCAAAATATTATAGAGCTAGAATTCCAAATTTAATAACAAACCAGGCAATTCTTTTTGCGATGAGTCGCTCTAGGCCTTTGCCAAGACATGATAACAACGATATTAGTCTGTAGGCCCTGGGGTTGGAGTAGTCTGTCTTGCCTGGTTTTGGGATCATCACCACCTCAGCTACTTTGAATGGTTTAGGGTGGTGTCCGATCTGTAGACAGGTCTGGAAAAGGGCTCTGATATGTTCCCTAATGACTGGCCAGCAAGCTTTCAGGATCCGTACTGTGAGGGTGTCTACTCCCGGGGAGTTGCTCTTGGTCCCTATAGTGCACCCTTCAGCCTCTTCTAGTTCGACATGGTATTGAAGGGGGATGCCGTACAAGGAGTGCACACATGTTGCCCTTACTTGGCAAAAACTTCGTGACCTCTTTGTCAAGCTTCCCCTTCCCACCCAGCTTAGTCAGGTAGGTTTGAAACATAAAGGCCATGGCCTTCTCAGCTCAATGGTGACCTTGTGTGGCTTTGATTGTTTCAAAGCACCGTGTAGAGCTTCTCCGAGGGCGTTGGCGATGAAACCCTCGATTGCCTCGAGCGCTGCGGCAGTCTCTGTTTCCTTGAAGGGGACGAGGAAGTGAGGGAGGTCGCGATTCGCCTCAAATTCCACATGCCCATATCTGTCCACAACATCCTTGGGCAGGGAGACACCGTCTTTGGCAAACTCTCCATACAGCAGTTTCATAATCCTGCCGGACTCCTTTATAGAGTACTTGTGAGGCTCTAAAGACATCTTGCCTTGGTGGTGCGCTTAGGTTTGAGAATGACGATGGGCCAGGGATGCGGACAGCGTTGGATGATTTTGGAGAAAGGGAGCCACAGGTAAGGAAGATTCTGCCCAGTCTGAAATCATTCTTTGGGGAGAATGAGGAAGACGTTTATATCCATCCTCAGGGTGACCAACAGGCCCGTTGGAACTCATCATGCCCCAAGGTACACATCATGTCCCGAGGTACGACCAACAGATCGTGGGTTGGGCGTCATGGAACAAAGAGCATACTCACGACGATGAGGAGGTGTGGAAACACAGACTAGAGAATTCTTTATTTTTATATAACTTGTCGTTGTACTGTAGATGAGTCGCGATAGTGCTCTTTGTCGGCCCTGGTTGCGCAGTCCCACACATAATCCGCAAGCAACGAGGGTCTGCGCCAACGACCACCTTGGCAAGTCCCAATCTTGCGGTACGGCTCACACGAAGCCGTAACCGGCGATGCCTCTCAGTTGGAATGAGAGTGTTTGACGACTGAGAACCAACATAGCAGGCCCACTATATACCACAGACGAGAGTTCGATCCAGCAGGGTGTGGCAGACGGCGGGACTCGACGCTGTTGGGGTTGGGGTTATACGGCCCCGGCTCCAGTGTCGACCCATGACATGTAACTGAATATCTAGAAGGGCGACATAGTCATAGATGTTGGAAGATTTTGCCACAGAGTACCGGTGCGATGGGCACGCTCGAGGTATGTGCCCATCCATCCAGTACCGATGTGATGGAGATGTGCCTCCTGGTGAGCCGGAGGCATACTTGCAAGGTATCTAGTGACGATTAGCAGAGTTGCTGCTTGCGGCTTTCGACACGAGCTGATACACGAGCTGATACGTAGCTACATACAAGCTTATAGATACTTGTCGTCCGCTCGAATGCGTCTTGGTGCCACGAATCCACGATGGGAGTACACGTACCCCCCGCAGACGCTGTTGGAGAGTGTTGGAGAGTGCTTGACAACTATAGGGTGCTTGCCCTGTGTTTCCTTCCGTCTTTGGCAGGCGATCGAGTAACACGTAACACGTAAATGCCAGTTGCTCCTCGAAACCTCGCTGTTGGTAGGTTTAGTACCACCTAGGTAGATATACAGGCTGGAATTCAACTCATGGAGGTCGGGGATCTTGTCGGAGCTGGACCAACGTGAGGTCTCCCGGGCCCGAATTGGTAATAAGGGGCCCGGTGCCATGTCACCGGTCCGCCGCTTCAAGTCACAGGAGGTGAACTCTGATCAGCTCACATTCCACTCCAGAGAACTTCCAGATCACGTAGGTAAGTCATGTTTGACAGGCCAGGTCCTGCCATGATTGCATTCTAGCAATGTTGCAGTGATGAGCTGGGAGACCAATCACCCAGGCTCCTGGTCACTCCCTGGCTGTGGGCGTGACTGGACCGCGTATCGATTTTGCTTGAAATAGGGGTATAAGAAAAGGGTGACTCCAGGCAATTAAACGGATGTGCTCAGGTGTTCTTTGTGGTCGCAACGTCTCCACCGTAAACCGCCGCGTCCACCTGCAGCAACAAAGCGGAACACCAACGAACGACAACTTCTTAACACACCTCGGCCAGACACTGAATCACCTCGACGCACAGCGAAAACTTCGTGCGTTGTCACCAATGAAGTTGCGATACAAGGCGCCCTCGGGCGGCGGCACCATCGAGGTCGACGACGCCGCCACCGTCGCGCAGCTGCTCGAAACCGTCAAGTCAACCACGGGCTTCGCTGACGTCACCGTCAAGTACGGGTGGCCGCCGCAAGCCCTGGGCCCGGACCAGCACCACGTGGCACTGCAGACCCTCGGCCTGCAGCGCGAGAGCCTCACCGTCGTTCCCGTCGAGAACCTGCCCACTGAGGTCTCCGCCACGCCCCAGGCCGTGCAGGCGAGCAAGTCGGCTCCGGGCATCAAGGACCAGAACATCTCCGTCCTGATCCCCGAGTCCAACTCTTCCCTTGGTAGGTCGCTTTTCTCTGTGTCGCAAACCTGTAACTGAGGATTGCGCATACGTGCATGGTACCAGACTGATAGCGCGGACGCAGTTCTTCGCGTCATGCCCGACGACAACAGCTGCCTCTTCACAGCCGTCGGTGGCGCACTGCGCGGACTCCCCCCCTCGCCCGACGGCTACACCCCCGGAATGCTGCGCCGCATCGTCACCGACCACATCCGCTCCAACCCTAGCAAATTCAACGCCGCAGTACTAGAGTCAAGTCCCGACGCCTATTGCACACGCATGATGCGCCCGGACACCTGGGGCGGTGCCATGGAGCTGGGCATCCTGTCCGAAGAGTTCAACCTCGAGATTTGTGTTGTCGACGTCAAGACAGGCGCCGTCATCCGCTACGGTGAGGGCAACTACGATATGCGCTGCATCATGGTCTACTCCAACATCCACTACGACCGCATCGCCGAGATCTTCGTTGAGGGTCAGGAGGAGATGGACTTCGACGTGACGCGATGGGCCGTCGAGACCAGCGACCACCTGATCACGCGCGCCCAGGAGATGTGCAAGGAGCTCAAGGAGAAGCACCAATACTTCACCGACACCTCCGCCTTTGTCGTCACCTGCAACGAGTGCGGGTGGATCGGCCAGGGCGAGCAGCAGCTCATCAAGCACGCTCGCGACACGGGGCACTCTGACATCACCGAGATCAAGGACAAATGACACTCCGGTTTCTAGTCCCCCTTTAACTCGTAGCCGCAAAAGAAAGACACCACAGAGAGGTAGTGGCGGCGGCACCCTACCATCACCATCCACACTAGGCGTGGGCACGATACGATACCACGCAACCGGGGCCGTGTTTCGTCTTCGGAAACATCGGTATCATCAAACAGGTGCCTACGGCTGCGGTCGCTGTGTTCTGGCTCCCCACCCGAGACACATGATCACCACCTTGCTGGAGGTACAAGCTTAGCTTGCTTCGCAGTGCTCCAAGGAATGGGAAGACGGGTACCAAATATAGGATACAGGTTGCGTCAATTTCCAACCCATCAATGTGGTTAGAAGTGAAGAAGATGCCTACAAATTCGGAGATTTTGAACCAGGATGATGAAGTTGTACACACATGGGCAGGCGAGAAATACAGAGACCGGGTTTGGCACATCGGTGCTTCTTTCTACTGGTACATGGTTTGAAATGTACTTTGGTTGCCCTGATACGTGCCTCTTGTCCTTCTATTTCTACAAAGGGGTATTATGCCACTAGATTCCGCCTCGTACCAGAAAGCAAGCTCGTCGATATGGTGTAATTGTCGAGATGCTCAGATGCACCGACCGCGCACGTTGGTCCCTGCCTAGGTATCCAACGCGCAACCCATATTACAAGCAACCGCAATACTCCGACCCAAACCTGACACCGCTTCCTATGCCCTGGAACTAAGCCGTGCCATGCCTTATCAAAACATAATCTTACACACACTGGCTTGATCGGTCAATCGACCTCCCAGCTACGGCTGTCGTTGAGTTCGCGAGTCGTGCGCCTGTTAGATTCGCCCGTCGGTGCTATGTCACCACTGGTACTACGACGGGTACCCTGTCCAAGTTTGGCCATCGTGTAATCGTCGTCGTCGTCGAAACTACTATACTCGCCATCCGAGTAATCCCATTGGACCGGAATTTGCTCCCCGCCCTCGCCCAAGCCGAATACCAGACCTCGCCATTCTCCCGCCGCGATCTTAGCCGCCACTTTGAGCATGAGGTTCACGAGGTGGCTGGGTGGGCTCAGGAGGATTTCGATCGTCTTGTGCGCGATAGCTGATGGTAGCCGACGCACGGCCGCCAGCCGACCTTGGGGGCTTTGTCTCGCCTGGGGAGAGAAAAGGTTTGCGGCTGGGGGTAACGGTGAGAGAGCCCGCCGGCTGATCGACAAGTTATTCGGCCGCGGTCGTTGGCGGGCTTGTGGTCTCTCTTCCAAGGCAGAGGACCGTGGTACCGTCAACTTGCCACCAACAGATGCAGGAGCCGTAGGTAGATCGTTGGTGTCGGTAGGAGAACGAGGCGACATGGATCGATCACTGTGATCTGTAGCCCCTGCCGAGCTGGGCATCAGTGTTTTCTCCGTGCTGGGCGTGACTGTGTAGTCCGAAACATCTCTCGCATGCGGTAATGTTCGGGGTATATCCTGATGAGGGAAAGGGAACTTGCCCAGTGAGGGAGTGACAGGTCGGGATGATGGCGGAGATGGAGGAAGAGGAGTGATTGGCGAGTGCCAGGATTGGACACTATGAAACGAGTCGGTAGAGCCAACAGGGGAACCGGCGCGTGAGCCCTCGGAAGATTCAAGAGGTTCAAGAGGTTCAAGAGGTTCAGGCGGTTCCGGCGGTTCCGGCAACGATGCCTCCACGCTTGCCTTGCCTCTGATCTTTTTGGAAGGAGGCGAGGTGACTAGGGTGAGCTGCGGTGGAGCAGTGAACGAGCGACCAGCAAGCATGCGAGTTACCCTTTTCTTCGCCAGGTTCACCGGTACAACGTGCCCGGATCCTTCAAATGAAGATGGCCCATCATCCTCAGGGACTAGGACTTCCTCCGGTGGGGTGTCTCGGCGACCAATGGCATCGGATGAACATGATTGTTCATCCCCGATGCTTGTGGTTGCCTGTAAGCCCATATCAGTGGTATGGAAAGAGTCCATGTCTGTGGTATGTGACGTGGACGCCCTGGTGTTGGCCGACGGAGAATGCGAAGCTTTATCAACCACTTCCTCCTTTCTACTGCTTTCTGGAACCATGGAGCTGGCTGTGCTTGCGTCCTGCCTAGACTCGACGCTGCCGCTGCCGCTCTTGTTAATGCCGTAGCTACTTTCCGAAGCTGAAGTCCTTGTCTGGACCTCTTTAGGAAGCTGGGTCGACACGGTCGAATTGGAGCTGCCACCCGGCGATTCTGTCTTCTGCGGCACTCTATCGACGCCCACATTCCTGGGACCCTGCGACAACTCGACAGCCGTGGAACTATCTGCCGATACTACTGGCGACTCCTTGGATATGTCCGACCTGCGTTGATCTGGTAGGGCTGTATGTAAGACCGCTATTGCCGGATTCTGCAGAGCCTCTGTGGAACCTTCATTGCCCTCAATCCTGACGATGGAAGGGGGCGTGGTCTTCCCATAAGGAGGCAACGCGACTTCTTTGGGCTGCCTCAACACTTCGTTGCGCGGAGGAGACCCGGCCTTTGTAGCTGGGGTCTCGCTAGTAGCCACTGTCATCCGCCGTTCCTTATTTGTGGCCCTTGGCGAGGGCGAGGACGGGTACAGGTCGGATTGAAACGGCGCAGTTATCAAGTTCTTGCCCATTGGCGTCCAGGCCTTCTTCTTGACGGGCTCTGTTGGCGGTAGGGGCAGCGGGACTGTAAAGCTCCTCTGGAAGGGACACGCGGTCTTCTCGAAAAGGAGGATCTTGCCGAAGACATCGCGTAGTTGCAAAGCGCGTGGTGCTTGGTCGGGTTCTGCGACGGGGAGTTCGATTCTCCAGTACTGGGGCCGCCTTATCTGCAAGACAAACTGGCTGTTTGCTTCGTCGATGCACCAGCACTGGCTCTTTGGGAGGATAGGCTGTAGGGCGGAGCCGCAACTGAGGAAAGCGACTGAACCAGGGGCACGATAGATTCGGAAGGGACCTTTCAGGGTGAATTAGCACACTTGTAGAGCTGGGGGTGCCACGTCAACGACCTACCAACGGCAATGGTCCTCTCCAGCCGCGACGAGGCTGGGAGGGACCCCGGTCGGTCGTCAGTCTCGGAAGAGGGGGGCCATGAACTCAAGGAGCTGCGCTGACTTGAGGAAAAGGCAATAATTTTGACGGACGGGTGGCTGTAGAGAGTCTCGACCAAGTCTTCTGACCGAGACGATGTCGAGAAATTCAAATTGGACCTTGAAAGCAGCGGCTGGGACGACACTGGCGCGGTAGCGACGCGACGAGGCCTCGACATTTCTGTCCTGGCTGTCGCAAGGCTCGGGTGATCCATCGGGCGAGGATTGGATGGGCGATGGAGGTGGGTCAAGATCCCGACACGGGTGGTCGTGGTATTCTCTGGATCATGACGAAGAAGATTTCGAGGAAGATAGCCGGCGTCAGATCCGAGCTGGGTAGAGGCCGGGGGTCGTACAGCACGGCGGTTGTGTATGCGATTGATGACTTGTATGTCTCGGGGTGACTACTCCGCCCGTGCCGCGCTGGTATACAAGACAGGAGTCGTCGAGTCGAAAGGAGCTGGCTGAACACGACCTCTGAATACCAATTGGTGTGCGCTTTGTTATGTAGAGCAGGACTGTCGGGGCGTCGCGATGCGCAGATCGGCTGGAGAGGCGTCAGGACGTGCGATGCAAAGCGGAAACGGGATGGGGCTTTGACTGGCCCTGAGCACCTGGATGACACGCGGGGATCGACAACAGGGGAGATAGCCCCGGTTTCTGAATAGTCCTACCTCTCGAATACTCACTCCTCTATGGGGTAAAGTGTATCTAACCAGAACAAGCCAAGTACGGTAGTGCTGGAAACGTCGTCATCGGTGCCAGGTCTGACCTCAGTGACTGACTGCCACACGTAACAGCTCACTACGTCGCTCAAAATCATCATTCCTGAAGACATCTTGCACGCCTTGAACCCTTGAGGCTGGCCTCTAATCTCGGACAACAAATGTCAATAATGGCCGAGCCCAAGTTCCCCCAACTCGAGAAGCTCGAGGAGAAGTTCGAGAAGCTCGACAAGGACGACCTCAAGAAAGCCTTCGACTTGTCCCATTTCGATCTCAATGCCGTTCTGAGGGGCATCCAGTTGACTCTCGTTGGAGGTATGCTCTCCCAAGCCTGAAGTCTGTGGCCATTCTTGTCCGTTGTCCGTTGTCCGTTGACATTGCTGGACAGCCAATCGAGCCTTGCAGAACCCTGCCATCTTTACGAATGAGCACTACAGGCAAGCCGCACTCGCTGTCGGTGCCGGCGTCGCAATACGCCTGGCTATCTCTATCCCGATTATCGGCATCAAGCTCTTACTAGGCTTCTCGTCACTGTTCATCAATCTCGACAGGACCACCTGGGATGATACCTTGGTCAACGGTCTCGACCTCATTGCCAACCATGTCCTGCAAATCCCGCTTTTCCTCATGACGCTGATGAGATACGCTACCCCAACCCTCGACAACATGTAAGTGTTGGCGGTCAAATCCTCTCAACTCTCTATTCCTAATTGACGTGTGCCCATAGGTTCATGGATTCACTACGCTGGGTGGATATGACTTATGTCTCCAAGCATAAGAACGAGGATCCGGACAACCTTCGTGACATGTATTACCCAAACCTTCGCCAGTACAAACAGAAAGATGGGAGCACGCACTCGACCAGCACTGCCGAGGCCATCAGCATGTTTCTCTGGCGCTTCGCTCGGAAAGCTATGATTTCCCTGGCCATCTTCGCCTTGTCGTACGTCCCAGTCGTTGGCCGACTGGTGCTTCCAGCCGCCGGTTTCTATACCTTCAACAAGGCTGTTGGGCTGGGTCCAGCTGCCGTCATCTTTGGCACCGGTATCTTTCTACCGAAGCGTTACCTTGGTATGTCAAGCCTTGCTCTGCTTTTGATACCATTGAACATTTGCCGTCATTTGATAGCTTGCGCTGACTCACTCCTGTTGGTACAGTCATCTTCCTACAGACCTACTTCTCATCTCGAAGCTTGATGCGCGAACTGCTCGAGCCATACTTCGCTCGCATCCACATGACCAAGGAGCAGAAACGGAATTGGTTCCACAGCCGGGAGGGCCTGTTATTCGGCTTCGGTATAGGCTTTTATACGCTCCTGCGCGTTCCTTTGCTTGGTGTGTTGATATACGGCATTGCCGAGGCGTCCACTGCGTACCTCGTGACCAAGATCACAGACCCTCCACCGGATCCCAAATCCCCTGAGCGAGAACAGTTCGCCGCCAGCCAGCAGGTCTGGAGAAACAAGCACGAGTTCCTTAGCCTCTCACTCGCAAATCTCGACACCATACATGGCGGTAAGCCTCCATCAGAGGATGCATCTGTAAAGCAGGAGGGTAGAAAAGATCTCTGAAGACAAGTTACGGGCTGCTTCTGTGGTCAGAAATCAAACCGGCCTACCACGAAGTTATGAAGCCGTATCTCCGGCCGGGCGACCGGGACATGAGTAATGTACTCGGCCGCACGCATCGACTGGCGCTTAACGTGGTGGTCCACCACGCTGGTGTGGGGAGCTGCCTTATCAGTCCACACATAAGTACATACGCATGCTGCAGCTCTATCTTCGGCATGCAGGAGCTATTCTGCATATTCTGCAAAAGGGGGACGAACGATTGGAGTCTTGATAAGACACCCACCAGTCAACTTGTAGTCATACAGTTTGCTCATATACCTACCTACCAGAAATATGACTGATTGCTCACCCGTCCAGCCCCCGAAGTGGGAAGAGTCTGAACCATGACGTCCGTCACACTCGGCACGACTCCGTCATTTCGATCGAAGTGATGCGGGGTAGATAGCAAGAGGGTGGTGGTATATATAATGAAACCTCACGCAATACATGTGCCGCTTGTGACACTCTGTAGCCTTGTCTGTTTGGAGCCGAGGTGGATTTCGTTGCTGAAGTACTCAATCTTGGTGACCGAAGTGACAACTCAACCCCATTCTACGATTTTCCGCTTTGTCAGGTAGCAGCCAAACGAGAGGTACCTAAGTCATGGGCAAAACCGAGATCCGAACGATTGGCAAGGTGAGCCTTGATGTAAAGGCGTCGGACCAGCCCAACGTCCATGTAAGTCATTCTGCCCGAGCCCCTTGAGACGCACCATTGACTGACACGTCCCCAGAATCGATGGCACCCGGATAGTACGTACACCGTGTTCAGGCTGGGGTTTGAAAGCTCATGGTCTAACCAATACATACAGTTCCCTTTGCTGGCACGATCAAGGACGGCGAAACAGTCAAGATCGAATGCTTGGACTGGCATGTACTGCCCTACAGCATCGACCCATAGTACAGAAGCTAACGGGCCCGCAGGACCGGTGGCCAGATCGGCAACAACGACAGCGCTGAAGACATCCGCAATGTCGACCTGACCAAGATCCACTACCTCACGGGGCCCTTCGAGGTCGAGGGCGCCCAGCCCGGCGACCTCCTGCTCGTCGAGATCATGGACGTCCAGCCCTTCCAGGACCAGCCCTGGGGGTTCACCGGCATCTTCGACCGGTCCAACGGCGGGGGCTTTCTCGACGAGATCTACCCGTCGGCCGCCAAGGCCATCTGGGACTTCGAGGGCATCTTCTGCACCTCCCGGCACATACCGCACGTGAAATTCGCGGGCGTCATCCATCCGGGGATCCTGGGTTGCGCACCCAGCGCCGAGGTCCTCGAGACCTGGAACAGGCGCGAGGGCGAGCTGATCGCGGCGAACAAGCTCGAGAGGCAGGTGGCTCTGCCGCCGGAGCCGACCAACGTCCACGCCGGCGCCGCCGATGCCGATGGCAAGGAGAAGGTCGGCAAGGAGGGGGCGCGGACGGTCCCCGGCAGGCCGGAACATGGCGGGAATTGCGATATCAAGAACCTCAGTCGGGGCAGCAAGGTGTATCTGCCCGTCCACGTACCGGGAGCAAAGTTCAGTGTCGGCGACCTTCACTTCTCCCGTAAGTACCTACAGTACCTCTTGGCTCCCGCCGCGATATGCTGCCATTCTGACGAAAAATAGAGGGCGATGGCGAGATCTCTTTCTGTGGTGCCATCGAGATGGCCGGTGTGATTACAATCAACTTCAAGGTCATCAAGAACGGGGTCGCGGATCTCGGTCTGAAGTCTCCTATCTATATTCCTGGCCCTGTTGAGCCGCAGTTTGGCCCGGGCCGGTATATCTATTTCGAAGGTTTCTCGGTGGATGAGCATGGCAAGCAACATTACAGTACGTGATTCCTCATCCACTATGTTCAACCCTCTTTTCTCGAGGGGAGGACGACTCCGACCTCTGGAGTCTTGCTTGACTCGAGGTCTTCGGTCTTTCGCTGTGCTGATGGCTGACTCCTGTGGTAGTGGACGTGACGGTTGCCTATCGGCAAACCACCCTACGTGAGTATCGTCAATTTCGCCCTCATGCATGTGTGGCTGCGGGCTAACGAGTGTTCCCAGGCTGCATCGAGTATCTGCGCCGCTATGGCTATAGCGACTATCAGATTTACTTGGTACGTATGAAAATATCTCATGCCTAATTTCGCAAGCCTAGTTCTTTCGATGGGGCTTTGGTCTTCCCTCTTCATTTCACCCTCGGGGAATTACCCCTTTATGATTGAGAACGCCATGTTAACATGCACGCAGTTATTATCGTGTGCCCCAATCCAGGGCCACGTAGCCGGTATTGTCGACATCCCCAATGCGTGCACGACTCTGGGCTTGCCGATGGACATCTTCGACTTTGACATCTCACCTTCCGGTCCGGCAAAGGCGTTGGACATGGGTTCCTGTGCGTTTGAAACGGGTGTCACCGAGGGCAAGGTCACAGCTGGTGGGAAGAACAGCGAGCATAGTTTCGGTGGAGGGGTGACTTACAAGGGCTCTGTGGCGGACAAGGTGAAGGAAGCTGTGTCGGGGTCTTGATTCGACGTAGCTGAGGCAGTCGAGCACCAGGCTGACTCAGGCGTGTTTATAAGACAATAGTGACAGATCTCTCGTGTATATCACCGCATCCGAGTACTCTACAGAGTGGGAATCAAAGCCTGAATCTTTCTTCACTCCACCTACCCAAGTAAACATCAAGGCTGTGTGTGTGGGATGGCTGTCTCGCGTTGGTGACATTGGCAAGGGCCACAAAATTCGCTAAAAGATTGGGAGAAAAGATGGAAGAAGCCGATGCTGGATTGTCCGATGTTGGTGCAGAAGCGGTATGCATATTCCCACAATCCCATGTCCCCGCAGCCCGCAGTCCGAAGCTGGTTGCCCGTCGCCGTCACCCGTTTTTCAGGGTCCGTCCAATCCATCAAGATGTAATTCACGTCGGGTATTCCTTATAAGTACTATGGTCTGTAGTATCTAGGTACTGACCGAACTCGACGGGCTCCAGCTTGAACAAATACCATGCGCGTACAACGTCACTGGTAGTAGCCCTGATGTATACTTGTACTCCCAGATTCCCAGGGCGAAGTGGGCTCGCAGAGATCGCCACCCGCACGTGGAGACATACGGTCATGCAGTACGCCGTTTAATACGGATGACTTACCGCAGCCTACAGTAATTACTAATTCGATGCCCACCTTACTGAGACTCACTAGGCTGATAGGTCACAGTGTCGAAACTGCGAAAGTCCCGTATCTGCACCCGACGCCTTGGACCTTGGATTGACCACTTTTGATCGACGGCCACTTCCTATCCCCCCGTCTCGAAATCGCCCGACACTCGACACTCGACACTCGACTTCGCCGTCGTCACGGTTTATTCGACAGTCGACGCCAATTGCGCTGCATCCTCACTGGTAGTTGCGCGGGCGCCCCTTGCCGACACCCCGTCCGACACCTCGTCCGAAACCCCCGTTCAAGCCTAGATGCAGCCACCCGCTGTGCCATAACTGCCGTCCCGTCCACCGGCGCCGTCGCATTCGTGGATCCAGATCAGAGAGCTTCTTCGGTACAGAGGTCTCTGTTATACCATCTCCGAGTAACCCTCGACGGCTCCTAAGGTCGACCAGCTGTCACCCGCCGTCGGTCTATACGACCCGTACCTTGATCCGTCCCGACTACGCCCGCGCTATCTCCCTATATATACACATATTTATACAAGTCTTCATGCTCTGCTTGCGCTCGTTAGACATACATCAGCGCTGTGTTGAACCCGAGACTGGAGCCTATCCCGCTTCGATATCTGGCAAGTGGCAGTCTACCGTGGAGCGCATGGCGAAGACGGACCCCTGGCCCGGCTGGTGACTTGAACCGACATCATAGCTTCGACACCCATGTGGCCCAGCAGAGATGGAGAACTTCTTTGGCAACCAGCCCTCCCAGAAGGAGCTGCAGCGCCGCCACTCCAACCAGCGCAACCAGAGACGCCAGGCCAACCATGCCCTGAATCAGCAGAACCACCAGAACCACCAGAACCAGTCGCAGCTCCAGTACTCGCCCGTCGCCCCAGCCAACCAGGACACCCCCATGGCCAACACCCCCATGGCCGGCGCCGACTCCCTCGACGATATCATCAGGAACAACTCCTTTCAGATCCACAACAGACGACGCAGCCTGCCCAAGCAGTTCCCGCCTCCCCTGCCCCAAGCTGAAGTCGACCGCAGAATGTCCGTCATGGACTTTGGCAACGGAGACAACTCCTTTAGGGACTATCAGTTTAGCGGCACCATGCCCAACTCTCCCGCCGATGCCGTCGGCCCCGGCTTGTTGAACCTCAATACCAACATGGCCATGGTATCCTCTGGCGCCTTTTCGCCCCAGAACATGCTCACCAACGCTTTCCCTACGCTTTCGCCCGAGATGATGGGCAACATGATCGCTCTATCCAACATGAACATGAGCCAGATGGGCGCCGACCCCTCCATGGGCATGTTCACCTCGTCCACCCTGCTTAGCACCTTCGCGCCTAATCCCATGGACGGCCTGCAGACCGACTACAGTATGGGTGTGTCGGGTGATGGCAACAGCATGGGTGGTGTTATGGAGAACCGAGGTGGATCTGCTGCTATGACCATGGACAACACCGCCGATACCAACATGATGAATACACCTTCCGAGTTCGCGGCATCGCCCCAGCCTAATCAACAGCAGGCTAGTCTGGGGGTTGACTCGGGCATGAGCAACCTCTCATCCAGCATTTCACCCCAACCGTCAACCCACCTAGCATATCAGTCGCCTGTCCCGACCACTGAATCGACACCAGAGGGCACCAGCTCACAGCCGCAGAACCTGGGGCCCGCCCCAACCCAGGGTCCCGCGCCCGAGAAAGCAAAGTCAATATATTCCAAAAGTGGGTTTGATATGATGAGAGCGCTTTGGCTTGTGGCCACACGGAAGAACCCCCAGGTCAACCTCGGTGCGGTTGACATGTCCTGTGCCTTTGTCGTTTGTGACGTGACTATGAACGACTGTCCCATTATCTATGTTTCGGACAATTTCCAGAACTTGACCGGTTACAGTCAGCATGACACCGTGGGACAGAACTGCCGCTTTCTCCAGGCCCCGGATGGCAACGTAGAAGCCGGGACGAAGAGAGAGTTTGTCGACAACGGTGCCGTGTACAACCTGAAGCGGACGATTGCCGAGGGCAAAGAGGTACAGCAAAGCCTGATCAACTACCGGAAAGGCGGCAAGCCGTTCCTCAACCTACTCACCATGATCCCCATAACCTGGGATACTTCCGAGATCCGATACATCATCGGCTTCCAGATCGACCTGGTGGAATGTCCGGATGCCATCGCGTCATCGCAGGGCCCCGGCACCATGAAGGTCAACTACAAGCACAGCGACATTGGCCAGTACATCTGGACACCCCCGGCTTCCAGCCAATGGGAGCCAGAGAACGGCCAGACGCTGGCAGTCGACGACGTCTCGGCTCTACTACAACAATTCAGCCCCAAAGGCGCCGTCTCGGACTGGCACAGACAGTCATGGGATAAGATGCTCCTGGAGAATGCTGATGATGTGGTTCATGTTCTCTCGCTCAAGGGCTTGTTTCTCTACCTGTCACCTTCTTGCAGGCGCATACTGGAATACGATGCTGCGGAGCTCGTCGGGAACTCCATCTCGTCGATATGCCACCCATCTGATATCGTCCCGGTCACGCGCGAGCTCAAAGACACCACCACTGGGAACACGGTCAACATAGTGTTCCGCATCCGGAGGAAGCAGAGTGGGTACACCTGGTTCGAGAGCCACGGCTCGCTGTTCGTAGAGCAGGGCAAGGGCCGGAAATGCATCATCCTCATAGGGCGCAAGCGACCTGTGTTTGCGCTGAGTCGCCGCGAGCTCGAGGCAAACGGTGGCATTGGCGACAGCGAGCTCTGGACGAAGCTCTCCACCTCGGGCATGTTCCTCTTTGTTTCTGCCAACGTCCGATCCCTGTTGGACCTGCAGCCAGAGAACCTCGTTGGAACGAGCATACAGGAGTTGATGCGCAAGGAGTCACGTCCGGAGTTCGGTCGTACTATCGAGAAGGCACGCAGGGGGCGGACCGTGACCTGCAAGCACGAGGTTCAGAACCGGCGTGGCCAGGTGCTTCAGGCGTACACCATCTTGTACCCAGGTGACGCCTCCGAGGGACAGAAGCCAACGTTCTTGCTTGCGCAGACCAAGCTGCTCAAGGCGTCGTCTCGAGCTATCGCACCTGCAGCATCGCCCCTCGCCAGTCGGCAAGGATCCGCCGGCCACCCGTCGAACGAGTCCAGGCCCGTGGCCCATTCTAACATGATGCAGGGCAGCCAGACGCCGGACGAGCAGCAGCAGTCCGGCGTTGCTGGCGTTGTGTCTGCGGCTGGGGGCGGCAGTCTGGGTCCAGGGAACCAGGATAGGGCGCTCGCTTCCGATGATAACATCTTCGACGAGCTGAAGACTACGAGGTGTACCAGCTGGCAGTACGAGTTGCGGCAGATGGAGAAGGTGAACCGCGTTCTGGCCGAGGAGTTGCACGGCCTGTTGTCGAACAAGAAGAAGCGTAAGCGTAGAAAGGGGGTCGGCAACGTTGCTCGTGACTGCGCCAACTGCCACACTCGTAACACGCCCGAGTGGCGGCGAGGGCCGAGTGGCCAGAGGGATCTGTGCAACAGCTGCGGCCTTAGGTGGGCCAAGCAGGTGAGTACCACCCGCGGCATCCGCCTCTTGCGGGTCTCGGCCTCGGACTGACCAAGAACGCATCCTAGACGGGCAGAGTATCTCCACGGACTTCTTCTCGTGGGGGCAATGGCGACACGGCAAGTAAGAAATCCGCCTCGCCTGTGCATGCGTCCTCGTTGCAGCGCGAGGTCTCTACTGGCGAAATCAGCGAGCAACCGCCCGAGAGCGACACCAACACAACTCCGAACCGGTCTTCGACTACCCCCAGCGGGGTTCCCAGCAGTGGGAGCACGGGGACCACGCCAACCAATCCCAAGGCGTTCTCGATGCCCCCGCCAAGCCAGCCCCTATTAGAGGGCGGTGTTGGCGGTAATGAGATGACAGCCATCCAAGAAGAGCGCGAGGTGATTTAGATGCTCGCTGTAACGCGTCTATCCTCACTCCGTCAGGCTATCGAGCCCGTGATCGAGTCCAGGCGGCTATATACGTACCCCTTTGTCCAACCCCTAGAGCTCGGCGGAGTTGCGGATATTCTTAATGTTATTGCTATAGACAGACTTGAAGGTTCCAGTTCGAGACACCGGCGCTCAATCGGCCCATTTGGAAGGAGCCTTGGGAGCATGCATTCACGCGGCGTCAGCGTGTTTTCCGGGGAACCTGCTTTGAACTTTGCTGCCATGTGGTTGCTCTGCGGGGATGGGACAGTATATTACTACGCACTATCGAGGGCCGGTCACAAAGCGGCTACGGGAGCTCAGCGCGAGCCTCTGGGTGGGCATGTCCCGTACGGCCGCTCGAGCACGCGGCACACCACATGGCATTCCCCTGTGGTGCCGGCCGCGGTACTTATCAGAGGATACTCAGCGGTCGTCCTAGGGGACGAAGTTCCATTTTTGACATGATGCTGATCATGTAGTTGCTGGTGCTGAGGGGCTGGCTAGTTGTTTGATATGTCGAAATGACGTACACGAATGCGAAACCTTCCATACTGCTGTGATAATAAAATGCACGGTCAGTGGATGACTCGACCGGCGATGAGTCAACGTGAACAAGCTGCTGGCTACCATCTTCCTTTTGTTATTTTGTGAATTCGTGGCTATATATTATTTGAATCGCTCGCTTTGAAAACTCTTAGAAGGCGTAAAAATACCGATAGAAGCTTCAGGCATGGAGGGTACGAATACTGTGTCGTGTGGCTATTCGTATATTATGGTGAGTTGTGTTCAACATGTTGCGATCCAGCTTTCAGCCTCACGAGGTTGCTGGAAAGGTGTCGCCATGTAACTTAAATGACCACGTAAGGTGGGAGTCAACCATGGGATAAGTTCCCGTCACTGGAGGGAGGCAAAGATAGGGGTAAGCAAGAACTCGGCGACTGCCACCTAGCAAAGGGTGTGGCCGCCCCTAAGCCGCGAGGTAGTCTCGTTCAGGGTCAGCCCACGGGTAGCCGGCAAGGACTGCATATCTGCTGGGTTTTTCCCCTTTTACGGTATGGGATCAAGTGACGCGGGCGGGCTCATCGGAACTGCTGGTTGTAGATACCAATACCCTTATTAAGCCAGGTTTCAGACGTGTTGGGCGGCAGTAATAAAAAGCCAGTCGTCCTATGGACGCCCTGCCCCCCCTGCGGTAGGAGTAAGGATTCTGCCGCTGCCTGGGTTCACGACTCGGCGTGGGAGATGACAGTAGAGGCTGTGTGTATCTGAGATGACGACTGTAGCTTCAGCTATCGGCACGGGTGGCATCGTGTGGATGGAGGGCGCGTGTGAGGCAAAGGCGTGCCGTCGAGAGATATTGAGGAGCGAGCTCTGAAGTTCATTGCGTATCGATTCGGGTGCTCCTCGCCGGGATTCAATGGACGAAAGACGCGGCAGGAAGAAGAGATCGCGAACATCGACGTGCCGACCCTTCCTTACTTCTACAATGTGATTGGTATTTACGTGCCAGGAGCTGGGCCGAATTTCGCAACCCGGCCTGATCGGTCATCACCCGGAATGGGGCGTATCGTTTGATCAATTTGTGGACGATCACAATACGCAACCATTACACTTCGCTCAATTGAATTTCATGCGAACAGGATTGTCACCCGAGCAAGACTACCATGATGGCTACGAAGGCTGCGGCATTGGGTCATAACAACGCCGCGTAACAACCAATGTATTGCCCTACCCTGCTGCAGTAGGTGCTGTCATCATGACCGTCTGCACAGCCTCCCTCATCTCGACGTCGCGCTACGTGGAGCCTGTTGGAGAGTGGCGTTCAAGGCAGACTCGGGGGCATACGACGAGACGGCCTTTTGTACGTCTGGTAGAGGCGTGCAGCAGCTTCGGAACATTAACACCACCCGTGCCGCAGGCGTTACCCAGCATGCAACAGAATGAGCATCCGGTAGTCTTCCGCATTAGGAAAGTGACAATGGAAGGCGGTTATATCCGAAGCCCAGGCTGATCTCAAGGCTGTCTGTCTGCGGGTACGGAGATCCGATATTTAGGAACTTTTTTTGGAACTTTCAAACAGACTGACTGACTGCCTTAGTCCAGCTCAAGCATGGGACAAATCAATCACAGAGCTGAAGTTATTATAAGAGAATCACAAACAGCTGCCGTCTTGAGTTGACAAGTGACGCGACCGTGGCCCCAGGTCATCCAAATGAGCAGTAACTTGAGACGGTGCTTGAACATATGCACGCAGGGTCTAGAAATAGAAAGAAAAAACATCCATTTAATCATCCATTGGGCAGTGAGGGTATGTGACGAGTGGAAGCGAAAACGTGCTCCGTTTCCCTCGAGAAACCGGGCTACCTGTTGCGAGGCGGTGGCATGCGAGGAGGCGGGTAGGATAGGGGGGAAACTTGAAAGGGGATAAGGGGGAAGATGAGACCAAACATCGGCCCAGCTATGCGCAGCCTTCCGCACCTCGCCCTGCTTTGTTCCGCCATGTATGACGACATCAGATTCGAGCCTCGGTGGTTGTTGGACAATTCGGGACCTCCAGAAGTTCTTTGGGTATCACGCGCTTGGATGTTGAATTGTGTGTTTTCCTCATTTCGGTACTCTTACTGGTTGTGATTTCCAAGCTGGCTGGCGCATAGAAATATATAGATAGATAAATATACCCCTGGACCGTGATATCGACCTTCCTCGACCGAGGGTGCAGTATACGAGGGCCCCTGGTCGAATTTGTGGCGTTGTCGGCGCTTTTTCGGGTTGGTCCCTGTCCAGGTTGCTTTCATTATGGAACCCAGTATCGTAGATCTGGGGTTGCTGAGATGCCAGGATGCTCAGCTCATACACAATGTCGCACTGAGCTTGAGACGATCACCCTCTGTAGCAGTGTGGAGAGTCGAGACAGTCGGTGGCATCGAGCGCGAACGGCTGTTACCTGTATCCCCGAATAGAACGTTAAGCGTCATAGGGGCATGCAAATGCGACGGCGATGCGATCAGACGAACATTGAAACAGTTGAAACAAATGTCGGAAAAAGGGGTCCTGCCTGAGATTGCGGAGGTGGACCGGGGGTCAACGTTACATCGCGGTACTCCAGATGCCAGGGGGCTTTGAAGTTTGAGCATATCTGCATGGATCAGCACGACAAGTTCTGAACTTCTAGCCATGAAACGACCTCTGTGAAGCGCCTGACCTGTCTACTTACCTGTAGAAATCGGAGCAGGAAGGTGTTAGGATGATACCACAGAAAGTTCACAGTCCCCTCTGGTCAAACAAACCGTGTAAGGAGGCGAAGGTCAGGGTTTGTTCGTCCGGATTTGAGGCAGGCATTCTCCTGTCGCCTAGACTCCGACCACACCCTCCAGGATCTTCATGTCATCGGAGGAAACGGACGCACGCAGTAGGTAGCTAGGCAGCCGGTAGTTCACCATCTGCGACAGGAACCGGTTCCGCCGGTCAGCATGTCACAAACCAGCGCCACAAGGTGCGTCCTGATAATGTCCAGGTCTATCGTAGCTGACTGTACCTACCTCTGTGGGATTGACGTCCCGTCAAAAGGGCCGGAGCAGGGCGAGTCATCAAAACACCGGGCTATGTGTGTGATGACAGCTGAGAACTTGGCCTGGTGACAGCATGCATAGGAGTAGGTCAAACGCGTGGTGAAGAGACATCTCAAGGCAAACGAGCGTGACCATGTTTCCACGAGACTTCCGGCGACGAAAACGTACAATGCATTAGAGCGCTATTGGCTTTCCGTTGAATCCACACCTATATCTGGGGAATATCCTCCGCTTGGTATCCGTAAATGCGATGATAGCTACCATTAATCCAAACGCCGATGACATGCTGGGCTTGTGACAAGCCCGTATCGCTGTAGTAGTTCTCCTACTGGCATGGCTGCTCTCGGTGGCCTGGCTTGCCTTCCATCTCCCGAGTTCCGGAACGCCTGGCCTGATAACGACAATGGTTGCAAAATCCAAATCGATGTTCTTCAACCTTCTCAACTTCCGATCCACAGTTCCTCCGATCGAGTGGTCAAAGATCTGTACAGAGGCCCCCGAAAGCTCGGCGTTGGGCTGGACATGTCCGATATTGGTGAGACTATGTCATAGGGGTTCGGAGGTCCGGAGTCGTAGGTATCTCCTCCTGTCGCGGGGGGCTCAGCAGAGGCCAAGAGCATTGCTTCCGCCGCGCTCAGGGGCCGAGCATCGTCGTCATCGTCATTGTCATCGTCATCATTATTGTCATTATCACCATCGTCAGACGCCCGGGTTGTCGATGCTCGCGGACCCTGAAACCACCACTGGTTCTCAAATCCGTTGTCCACCGTCATCATGGCCGTCGACAGCGTCTCCAACTCCCTGACTCTTTCCGGATCCTCGATACGACGACGCCTTTCCGGGGAAAGGTGGACAGTCGTCGGGTTGTTGGCAAAAGGGGACTCATCCTCGTACCCGTTCGGATCCGACGGCCAGGCCCACGCTGACCATGGCAACCCATCCTCACCCAGTCGAAACTGGCCGGGCGTGGTGGGCAGGGCCTTCCACGCTCTGGGCTGATCACTCAATGCCTGGGATCGATGCGGAAATAATGTTGCCGTAGTTGAAGCACGAGCATCCCAAGGGCTGTCATTGATGGGCGGAGGGGCCGATCGTCCTCGTTCATGCGAGGATCCCCGTACTTCGACTCCTAGGTCTCTCGGTCGAAGGGCCCTCGCTTGCTCCCGGGCCGGGTCAACATACCTTCCACGCGGGCGCTCGTGGTTCTGATAAAGCTGATGTTGATGTTGCTGCTGCTGGGAATACTGCTGTTGCTGAAAGTACTCCTGCTGCTGCTGCTGATGTGAAGGTGAATGCGGGTGATGATGATGGTGAGGGTGACGATGACGATGGCGGCTCGGGTGTTCCGCATGTCGTGTTCGATGCTGGCGTGGTTCCGGGCTCCCCAGAAAATTGGTGTTCGGTGGTGGTACCTGTCGGGGGAAGTTCCCGGCGTCTCTGGCGTTCTTCAGGTTACGAGACGTATATGTCACGGTGTGAGTTTGTGGTATGTGGCGTTCAGACCACGACACGCCAAAGGCCAGCTGGATGAAAATCTGCGGTTTACCGAGGGTGTTCCGGTCATGCTGTATGGGGTGCGGCGCCAGTCGAGGTTGACGATGATGTTGGTCCATATCGGCGGGTTCCGTCCTCCACATTACCAAGGGATGAGAGAGGAGAGAGGAGAGAGGGGAGAGGGGAGAGGGGAGTATCCAAGGCCGGTCACAGGGACGGGTGTCTGATAAGTACAGCTGTGCCAAGAGGGTCACTAGAGCGGCTGTTAAAAATGGTGGCTTGATTCGCGGGTGGCCAGCTATACTTGGGGTCACACTCCGTAACTTGGAACTTGTCGTCCTAGCGGGGGTTTTCTATCAAGGAGACAGCCTGGTGCCGGTGCTGACTAGGTCGGCTAGTAACAAGACGGACACCTGAATAGGACGAATTTGGAATTTGACAGCCTAGAGCATCGACCTTCCCAGCACTCGTCGACACCGGTCGTGTAGTGGGCGATATCATGCAGGTCTCATCGGCGTTGTTGTTGGTGGGCGTGACGGTTGTGCGGGTGGTGGCACTGGTGACACTGGTGACGGTAGTGATGGAGGTGGTGATGACGGTACCGGCGGCAGTGGAGAAGAGACGGGAAAGTTCTTGTGATGTACATGGCGGCACTTTTACAGCTTCGCCTCATCCACAACAGCAAAGCGGAAAGTAAGAACAGGAACATCCGCCTAGATGACCCCGGGCGCTGGGCTTTGTGAAGGATGGTGATCCCTGGGGGCAGTGCTTCCAATGACCGTGTTGCGACATTGTCAAACGTCAAACGCTGGACCGGGAGCAACCCCAGAGTCCCAGACAGACATGCAGGACGGTAGACCTGGCAGTCCTGGCAGTCCTGGGTAGGTAGGACAGGAACCAACAGCAGAGATGATCGGTAAGGGGTTTGCAAACATCAAGGCGATAACATGTGGAGAGCGGTATAATTACTTAATGAAGGTGGAGAAAGGCGATGCAAGGCGATGCAAAGGCGGGGCTTTCTGACCATGAGTTCCGAAATAGCAACATCCCCACCAAAATGCCAAGCTGCCAGCTGCATGTAAAATTAGGGGGCTTTGGCCTTTCAGGTGTGTAAATAATACATGCACCCCCACCCGAGGTTATGCAGTGCCCCACTGACCCAGTAATAATAATCCACCGCCACGGGACTGACGACACCGTCGATGATCTGGCACATGCATCAGCCATCCCGTCACATCCCGTCTGTCCTCTGTGTCATCTGTCATCGTTCCTCATCCTCATCCTCGCAGTCGCAGTCGCCAACACTGCCCCAGGTGCTGTCATCACGCCACCTAGTCAGGAGGCAACGATAGACGGCAGGTTTGCTCGCCTCGATCCAGCCACAGATTTGGTCGCCAACCGCCAACACATCTGAACCTCTGCCACCGTTTATCTGTTATATTTATAGGCCCAGAAGGCACAGTTTGCCCATCCTCATCTTCCATCTTTCCACGTGTCTATGGAATACTGCACCTACCGCAAACTGAAATATGGCAACCTGGAGTATCTAGTCTCTCTTCCAAAATAGCATCATCTACTGTATTAGTTGGCCGCCTATTTGCGACGACGTCGGTGGCCGGGTGGGATAGTCCTCCGTCTGTATCCATGCTCGTAGCACCGCAAGATCCATCTCAGCCGCATGCTAATAAACCCCTCGATCGGATTGTGGCCCGTGGCCTCGAGAGTCTGGTTCGTTTCTCTGTCTCGGCCTACTTGTCGTCTGTCGGGGACGGAACTTGTCAAACATCTTGCTTCCTTCTCGAAGGCTTGGGACGCACTAAATTCGAATACGGCTGCTTGGTCAACATGGGGGAGTTTGGAGTCTTCAGTCTCGACTCTCTAGTCCCCAGGGCTCCTACAAGGCTGGCTAGCAAGCCCTGGGGGGCCTGCCTTGGTATCGTGCCATCACGTCCGATCACCACGTCCAAGCTTTCAAGCTTCCATGTTGCTTCCACGGCCCCACCGGACTGGAAGGATTCAACAGCTGTCTGCCCAGACTGGAAGGATTCAACCGCTGTCAACTGGGGTTGCTGTCGACCGGTACGCCGTACGCGTGGTGCCTCATCTCCCGGGCCACATTCCGACATTCATCGCGCGTCGTCGGTATGGTAAACAGATACTACTCCCGTCTTCTACTGTCTACGGAGGTGCTCATGTCCAATTCTGATATTCACCCCATGTACTCTACCCGTTTCTCTCACCGAGTCTCCGCCTTTGCAAATTTTGAGCCGCATGCCTTCCAGCGGGGAACTGGGAACGCGAGTCCCGTGGAAAATACTGTAGACGATCTACATTCTACACCGCCAAGTGTATGTATGTTTGTGTAAGTTTTCCTTTTTTGGTCTACCTATTAATAATTACTCGTGGCCGTTGCGAGTACCGCATATGTACGTCAAATCCTCGAGCCATTAAACTACCAATCACCACCGTCTCCTAGCTGCTCCTGAACCCTTCGTTGTCCATCTTGGCGATCAGACCGCCGCGCCACGAAAAAAAGTTCTTTGCTCGTCATTATACAGCCCCACGAGACTGCAGGAGACCCGTCGGCATCTCCCCGCCGTCGTTCGTCTTCGCGCTGCCTGGCCCGTCGAGGTCCCAGAAGCGCGTCGACTTGTCTCTCCTCTTGACCACACCGATTATGTCGAAAGGATCGAGGACCGTCATGACGTACTTGCGGTCTTCCTTGTATCCCGGGCCCTCGATCTCTGTAGTGCCGTCCTTCGAGAGGTAGACTTTCGTGCTCTTCGGCAGCCAGCGGCGCGGATGGCGAACGTTGAGCAACACGCTGTTGCACAGCATCAGGGTCGCTTCAAACACGTAGAAGAACCACTCGTAGCGGATGACGGGGCTGACCGACGCAGAGTCGAACGTGGGAGAGTCAAAGTCGGCACGGGAGATGCCGAAGTACTCGACGGTCCGGTAGATGCACCGCACCAAGATGATGACTTCGCTCATGTACAGTGTGATGAGGGCCTGGTTGAACTTGTCATGGTTGACCCCGTTCCTTCGACACCTGACGTGAAAAGCCGAGGCGAGAAGGAGGAACAGACTGACAACTACCAGCTGAATGATCAGGGCGGCCTGGAGCAAGGATCGGCCGGTCTCTTGCATTTCCTTGGGTAATGACTGGTTGGCCACGTAAGATGCCCCAACACCGCTGATCGACTCGACGACGATGGATATGGCGGAGAAGGTGGTCAGTACCCGGCCGGGGTGTATAGGGGAGTAGTAGGGAACGAAGTACAGTATGCGGCCGAGCACGTAGTAGTTCCCCAGCTCGTACAGCGGCCTTGAGTATCTGGTCAGTTCGGCCTCTCAGCAGGTGCCACCGGGACAATCGTCGGTAGGCGGAGGCTCGGGACACATACGGGGCCGCATAGGTTGAGCATATGCTGATGATGTACTTGACCAGATTGCCATAGTCGAAAGCCCCGAGCACCCTAGTGACGAACCCGAGGACAAATAGGAGCGGACAGAAGACGTATAGTCCCGTCAGTCTCCAGCATTTGTAGTGCCTGGAAGAACTGATTAGCATAGACCGACTGGGTATCGTCAAAGTGACGGCACACAATGCCTGCCAGAAATGAGCAGCACCGCCGGCCAAGAAGGCGACGATGAAAAAATCCGGCGCTCCCTTGTTCGGGGCGTAGAACCAGATACTGTTTTCCACATACTGTCCATCCTCCATCATGGCAGTGTTGACTCAGTCGGCCGGCTTCGCAGGATATGTAGGGTTGTCGAGCGTGTGGGCGCTGCCTGACGATGCAGACGGGCCTCCCGATGGACGCGGGTTGAGGATAGCGAGGGGGTGGTGTCGCGGCAGACATGTTGCAAGAGCTTCGGGATGGCTGGCTTTATACTGCTGTGTCATTTTCTCCCTATAGTTTGTCCCCGATAGTCAGTCCATCTGGTGGTCGGCCTACCTGAAAGTGACTTCCAACGTTGGCCTCTGATATGCCTCTGGAACAAAATGCCTTACCTCAGCCAAGCTCGACCAATCGCATCGCTTCTTGGAGTACGACGTATTGCTCGTATCACCGGGGTTGAGAGGCTGGATCAGCCGGACCAGCCAATACCACGCAACCCCACGGCCCGTTTCAGGAATGTGAACCAAACCTTGGCCAGCTGTTATCCATTTCGGGCAGAGCTGCTGCTGGAGAGGCATAGCTATCATCGACTGGGTCCTGCAGCTGAATCACCTGGCGAGTCCCGTTGCCCGGTGAGATTAGACTGAACCATCCTGGCGCTGCTCCCGTATTGCTCGTGTTGGAACTAACTTCGTCGGCGTGGCTTCCAGGCAACAACTCGCATGTACCACCCCCTTAAAGCTGATGTTCCCCAAATTCGGTGCCAACACACTGGTCCTGCTAAGGTTGATACTTACCTGGTATAGCCAGTCTGAGATGCGAATAGGACTGTCGTCCACGCATCTGGATGTGTAATGATATACTCCTTTCTAGGTTCTGCGTAAGATCTCCCCTAGGTAACTATGAAGTCCCTAGGAACACACATAAGCACCTAGCTTGATGAGCTTGGTATAGAGAACCATCTAGGTTTGGTCATTAGTCATGTATTCAACCCCATCGACATAGATACTCTGTGTTGGGAGATTACATGTGACCCAATGGGGTGCATTCTCTTCACCACTAGGTGAGATAACACTGTGGTCAGCGCGGGTCGCTTTCAAATCGGTCCATGAGCCTCTGGTCTTCAAACGTATGCAAGCCGGGATGACGTTGTCACATATATTCCTGCCGTATGAGTCGACTATGTCAACGCTTTCCGATTATGCTACGACGGGGGAAATGGTGTCCCGGGGGTGTTATTCAATGAATGCTTCGGCTCCCGAACTTCTCTATAGCATCAGTGCCCAGAGGAGCCTTCGTAGAGCAAGTGAGTGGCGATTATGATGTGTTGATGCCCAAAGCTCCTTGCCAAACATGGACAGCTGTGGGAAGCTAATGTGATCATGACTTACAGAGATCGCATCGACTGGTAGAATCACGAAGTGCTTTCCTCGAGGTCAGCTGAACATAAATACCATTCCAGTTAGACTCATAATCGTTCACCTTGCCGTGGGTACTGCTACTGACGGCGGCTCAAGACCTGCTCAATAGGAAGTCTTCCCTCAGAGGCAAGGACTACCCGAGAAGATTACCCCAAGGAGTATCTGAGGTCTGTTCGTCTCTCTTTCGGCACCCGGCGAAGTGGCTCTTGCTTCCGTAGAAACGACGACTAGAGTCATAGTATCCAAGCGTGTTTGCATCCCTCTCAACGCTGCGACTGGCTTGTTGATGTAATGGCCTCAATGGAGTGAAGCAATGACTTATTAAACTCGTGGCCTTGTTAGACCCACGATATACCGGAAGCAATTACGAGCGAGACTGCATGCTGTGCTGCGTTGGTCGCTGGAGGGTCTTGAATGGTGAAGTGTGGCGGCTTGACTCCCAAGGTTTGTTCGCAGCGGGACTGACACTCCAATCCAACAACGAGCGCAACCCCAAAATTTTCAACCAAGCAACACCCAAATCAATCGCAAAACCAACCGACAACCGCTTGGTCAGCCAGCAGCACAAAAGAATACAACACTGAGCGCAGAGCGACATCACATCGTGTGCACCGTCCAATACCATCAGATACACCGCACAGCAGTAGCCGCCAATATGACGAGCAAAGACACGACCGCAGCAGACTTCACGTCCTACTACCTCCAGCAATCGACCAAGGAGTTTGCCGAGGACCTGGACAAGATCCGCAGCGCCGACGACTTCAAGGGCGACGCGCTGCCCGTGCTCGTCAAGTCGCTGCAGCAGGGCACGTCGATGTTCTCGCCTGCCGACCAGAAGCGTGTTGTCGATGCGCGGAAACCCGCCGCCTCCTCGCAGGGGGAATCCGACAGCTGAGCTGGGCTGGGCTTCAAGGGAGCTTTAAGAGGGAGGGAGGGAGGGGGAGGGGTATCAGTGAAAGTTTGAAGGTTTGCATTGTCAGAGGAGATAAGGAACCATGATGTGAAATGGGGATAGAGCGCAACGCAAACATCGAGAATCGCGTAGACAATCAACTCCTTGAGAAAACCCGACAATCCATCACCTTCAAAAGCAAATGGAATGAGCGGGAGATGAATAGATAACAAAAAAGAAAAGAACAGCAAAAAGTCGTCATCCGCAGGATTTGAACCTACGCGACCGAAGTCATGAGATGGCTAAATTCGCAGTGAATTCAAGTCTCACCCATTAACCACTCTGGCAGGATGACTAGTTATTGGATAGAAAAAGGCACTCTTATCTGGCTAGAAACAGTCTTTGCCGGACTTTGCCAGTGGGTGGATCGCCCAACGTGGCACACGCTCTAAAACCACTGTTCAGGTGTGGCATCAGGCATGCTTTATTGACCGCTTGCCAGTGCATCTGTCGTTATGCTGTGTCAGAGCGGACTCGAGACTTGGGGCCATTTCAATGCTAGGAAGTACGCTCGGTCCTTGCGCTCTCTACTGGGCAACCATGCCCCTACCACAGTCTACACATCCGCGGGATATCAGAAGAAACAGCCATCTTTAGGTGGATAATTATATGATGAGACTCATTGAGTCGAGGTGGGTAAGATTGTCATTCTCTTCATTAATAAGTCTCTTCATTAAGTCTAGGTCATTGAGCGAACGTGTGAGGTATCCATCCCACCATTAGGTTCCCTGCGCAAGACCAACTGCAATGCATTTTCCAAAAGTGGCCACCAGACCGTATCCCTAGGGGTATGGGTATCATAGACGATAATGAAAGTCCAGAATGCTGAAAAAGATTACTGACTCCGAAGAGGGGCGAGTGGGGGGGTATAACACAGTCGACCACCCGCCCGATGCGCCAGAAAGAGTCCACCAACGAAAGGCTCCGAAATGCGAGATGGTGTGACGGATGACTGGCCTCCTTTTTATTTGCTGTGTCCCGTGGATGGACGCGGTACTCGTCGCAAGCCCTTAGACTCTTGACAGCGCCCAGGACTTCGGTGACCGGCCGGACTCGATGCGCACAGCCCACCCCTTGAACGCCAAGAGCAGCACGATCCATGCCATGACAAGACCAACCATTCCCATGGTGACCGTGTAGAAGAACATGGCATCCAGGTCGTAGTGCTCCATCCCTTTGATGGTATCGCCACTCTGTACCCATGTTAGCATGCGACGCTACAAGGCGCACAAGATTGACACAGCAGACTTACACTCGCCATGAAGATTGTGCCTCCAGAGATGAGAGCAAAGGCAGTAAGCAACTCGGTCGGTGGTCGCGACGGCAGGATCGAGCGTGGCGGCTTGAGGTACAGCAACACGTACGTGAGTCCACGTGCGAATGAAGCGCCCGCCAAGAGGTTGCCCCATTGCTTGTGCACCATGCTAGAGATCATGGACTGTTGCGTGTGCGAGCTCATCATGATGCCAAGCAACAGGACCACCAGTGCCGGAACAGGGTTGACCGAGAACTCATACTGCTTCGGCGCTTCCAGTGCTTCGCGTTCCTCGTCCGTGTAATCGTGGCCTGCGTGCGAGAGTGCGGCCTCGGTCACCGTGGTATTGAGGAGGTCGCGAATGCGCGTCGATTCGACAAGCATCGCCAGCTGGAATACACGTTAGCTGCCCACGTTCATGACCACCAAGGAGAAGCAAACCTACCATGCCACCTCCAAGGAACAGCACCGTGATGGAGACGTGCTCGAGATCCTGGGCGCTAAAGCTGCTATCGGCAGCGCCAAGATGCTCGAGGAAGATGTTGGTCGCGCCGTATGTGAAGATGAGAGCACCCTCGACAAATTCTGCCGTGGGCCTCCATTTCCGAGAGCTTTGCTTCGGACGAACGTTCCATGCCTGTGAACGCCATCAGCTGACAGCCCAGACCACGTCTGATAAGTCGATTGGGGTAACCTACCCAGCCGAGCTCGGCAAAGCTTCCAGACCATCTTCCCAAAGTCAAGACTCCGTACCAGAAAAATATGCCCCCTTTGATCCAATGTGCTAGACCGCTGAAAATCTCGTGTCCCTCCTACAACGGGTGATTAGTAGCCGGACCACCCGGAAAAGCGGGCATGGCAAACATACAAAGAAGCGAGCATACGTAATGACACCAGTGCAGAGTGTGACATAGCCCAGGATAAGTATGGTCCTGTCGACCAGATTGTAGCCCAGCATCACGGCTCTCCAAGCCCTGTCCGACACCTTGCCGGCGGCCCAGGCAACGAATGAGCGCGATTTCCTGTAGGGCAGCATCTCGGCGGGCTTGAACTCAAGGTCCTCCTCATCGTCGTACTGCACTCTGCGGCCGTCCAACTCGATTGGCGACTCCTGCCCCGCGAGTGTTGACAGAGAGCTGCTTCGCAAAGACTCGCTGTTGGGTTCCGTGCCCTGGCCGCTATCGTTCGAGTGCCTGTACGGATCCGAGTACATGGGGTCATTGATGCGCTCATGCTCGGCCATGGCTTCCGTCGAAACGGGCATGAACGCCTGCGCTTCCTCCTTGCGATGCCCCTGCGCGCCACTTCTGCCGACGACGCCGGCGACGCGGCCCACCACGGCAACCATGACCTGGGCGCTCACGACCCAGGTGACCAGCCAGCCGAGCTTGTGGTGTGCGTTATTCGGGTATAGATCGGGCGTCTTCGCATTGTAGCTGAGTCCTACTAGGATGCCGATCGCATTCGTAAGGAGGAAGACGAACTGAAGCGCGAGGGTATATCGTGATCGCGCAATCGATAGCATGACGGCTAGAATTGGAATTGTCAGTGGCGCGCGCAGCTCCTCGAGCCTCCTTGATGTTCCATACCTGTGGGTAGCATAATAACCCATCCTATGACCATCAGCGCGATGTGCGCGTATATGAGGGTGGCATATTCGGGATGCGTGAAATATGTCGGCGGATACGAGTCTGGATCGAGCTTCGGCTCCTCGGCGCCCATGTCCATATCCATGCCGCCGTCGTCATCGTGGCCATGACCAAGCACTGCCGGGAGGGATCCGAGGATGGTCGCGAGCGTCAGGAGCTCGAGCGCATAGCTGGTAGTCGACCGCATGTCGCTGTGGGAGGATGTTGTGTATATTCACCTCTGTTTGCAGTATCGCAGTCGTCGACCGCAAGCGCGCTGGTGTCAGGCCCCCTGTATTTATTAAGCGGACCCAACGCGAGGTTCGAAAAATAGTAGAGAGGCGGCTCGTCCACGAGGCGCTGCCAGCTTAGGAGAATAGTAGATTCTTCTTATTAGGTGTGACCTATCCGCGATAGCGACTCTGCCAGGTTGGGGGGCAGAGCAGCAGCGAGTTAGTGGACGCGACAGGAACGAGGTTGGGTATCAGAGACAGCAAGTGCTACGAGTTGCGAACGGCAAACGGTCAGCACGACGTGGAAGCGGCGATCCTATTTATCAGAGAGGGCATCTCGGGTGACGTGGGAGGAAGGCAGGCAGGGAGCGGGCCGCGAATATATCTTCTTTTCTCTTGCCAGCGCCGTGTCGGTCAGAATTCGCCTGGGATGGTCACTAGGGCAGGCCTGTGGTGGGTAACTCTCTAATTCGGCCTGGTTGCTATGGAGCAAAGCTATGGCGGCGCGCAAAGGCCGCAATGGCATCCTTGTCCTTGACCAGGCGAGCGAGCGCGAGGTTGTGGATAGAGTCAAAAGAGCATCCGAGACTTCCGGGAGCGGGAGCGACAGCGGATGTAATACATGATACATAATGTATGTCAGTACTGTGTACAAAGTATCCTAGTAAGAAACCGGCGGTATGTACGGAGCCTGGACAATGGACGGGACGCGACGGAGTCACGGAGTACCTGGTCCTCGAGGCTGGCGGGCCCACGCAGGGTGACATCCATGTGTGACGTAAGGTAGCCTCAGCAAGGGAAGAGATGGAAGACACCGCGACTCATCATCATCATTGCTCGTCCATAATGAGGTGTCACAGCGGAAGGGCGGATGACAGCATCATGGGAACTTGAGAACTTCCTTGGGAAGAGTGTCTCGTCCGACTCATAGCCATTAGATAGCTAATAGTTGCAGCCTTGGCACCAGTCAGCAGGGCCCGCCGTCGCAGCCCGGGGCCACCTCCTACCCAATAATCATCAACGGCGTCTTCGATTGGGCCATTTTCGCATCCGAGTTGGTGTTGCCGGTCAGTTTTTGGTCACAGTTCAGCAGACATCTCCACCACGAGCCTCGGACTTAGAGATTAGAGAAGTTGTTGGACCCGCCCTTACAGTAGACTCCTGTAAGTTCTGTTCATGCCGGTACTGTCGACGATGTTGATGCTGATGATGATGAATTTCCATGGTCGCTGATACCTACACATTGTCTCAGTATGAGATAGTTGTCGGGCGCCTCACATGCGTATACCAAGGTAGTAGTACTCCGTATATTGTATCCACACTCCTACTGCACACATCATGCAACCCCAATCATCAATCCGTCCGGGGGTTTGTGGTTGGATCAGCAAAATGCATATGTCAGCCCTTCCGTTCCACGACCCGCACATCAGCTGGGCCGCTGGAGTGAGTCACTGTCAGAAACATGATGCTAGTGCCTGTATTAGCAATCAACATTAAGGCTCCTCTCAAGGTTGAACGTATTCCAGAATAACGTTGTCGAGTCGGCCTCAAGCGGAGTCCCCTCCGTGGGTGGCGATTTTATATGAGAATGCCGGGCCGGCCCATCACGCTGACAGACTGACATATGGAATGGTTACCTCATATGCACGAGGCGGCAGTGGCGGCAGTAGCGCTGCACCACGCCGCATGAGCCGGCCGTGGGACCGTGACCGCTAGATGCAAATGCAGTGTCTATCAGTAATAGTTCGCCAAATCGGGTGATGAAGTTTGCATGCACAGTTGCAATGAGTTGCAACCCCTCCGTGGAGTCGCAATACCGTAGAATCCGTCTGGGGATGGGAGCATTCGCGGCGGAACGTCGTGCGATATCTGCAGATACCCCCGTGCGCGTGGGCCGAGGCATGAAACCCCCCTTCATGGTGGGCGACAACTTGTCTTGTTTGGAAAACCATCTTTAAACTGTAGTAAGCTGCGAGCAAGCAGCGAAACAATGCCTCGGCCCTAACTTGCCACGAAAAAAGTATCAATTTGTAATCAGAGCGCGAGCTTGAGAGCCGCCTCGTCTGCCATGACTCCTTCATGGCCCACACTCGGATCAGAGATGACAGTTTCTCTAGCACGCGCAAAGTAGCAGGACAAGACCACTAGGCAATCGAGGCACCAATAATAAATACGTAGTTGCACTTCGATGCTAGATGCAAACCCAACAAGAATACCGAGAAGGCCGAGTTGGTTGTGTCGCTGGCAGGTGCCCGGTGTTGTGATGACGATGCAACGACGGCGAGGTAAGCCCAGGACACAAGGCATGGTGCTTACCAGTGACCACGTCGACCATGTTGGTGGGGCTTGCAACTTTCAATAAAGTACGTGGACCTCGCTGGTGCGCGGCAAGGAGGGGCGGTTCTGAAACGATCATGAGAGATCATGAGATTATGCGACCATTCTCGGCGAGGAGGGGCGATTCTAGATACTATGCGACGATGCCCGGCGAAGGAGGTTGGGCCAGAAAACCAACCGGCCGTTGAGTCGGACTCCGAATAGACGCGAGAAGCAGGGATCATGGACATCAGGTGGCCGACAATGGCACAATCTGACAACTCGATGTTCGATGAGGACGATAGTCGTCGATCCCGATCACATCCTTGGACCATCCGTTCTTGATTTTACTCTTTTTTCTTCTTTTTTTCGCGATGACAGATGGCACCCGCACGTACACAGTGCATGGCACGAAACATCAAGACTGTCCCGTAGGGCTGCTGACATGACCGCTCCTCTTGCATAATTTCGGTCGCTGTACCAACACAAAAGAAGCTGGTGCCACAGTTCGTAATAATAAGCCCAATGTCTTCGGTGTCTTTGTTGGCGCGCAACCGAAGCGAGCGATGCACTTGCAGACACAGCTGAGCCCGACGTCTGTGTCTTGTAAACTTGTAACGAGTAAAGATGAGAAGGTATGCTGATATAGTAGGCTGCGGGTCGGCCCAACCACTCACGCTCGCGGGTGCGCTAGCATCGTCCACTTGTGAGTTGTGACAATCACTGGGTATTTTTCTTTTTAGAAAAGGCGGCTAGCCCTGGGGAGCCGGATGCGAGTCGACACTGGGATCAGACTGGGGTTTGCATCCTCAGGCCACAACATGCCCGACCGGAGCATTTCTTCCTGAGCCATCAGACTGTCTTCGTCTTACAGTAGACCATGCTTCTTCGCCAGCGTCAGCAGCATTCGAACGCACGCCGACTATGTATGGTATGTCATACTTGATAGCTGCCGGTATCACCATGCCTCCGTTGGTCGTTGTTTTATCATAAGCTCGGTCTGCCCTTGAGGCGCCATCTGTCTCCGTCTTCCAGCACGACCCTGTCCTCATCCCGAAGCTTCCGCAAGATCTGGACCACGCCGCCAGACGCGGGCAGGTGAAGACTCTCGGGAACATCGCGATATATAACCTTGACCAACTCCATGGGTGTCCAGGCGCCGACCTGCTCCGAGATGTCCGATGGAGACATACTAGGAGCGTCCTTGGCAGAACCCAAGGTCTGCAGTACCTGCACCTCCCGCTGGTGCCGGTGCGATATATATTCGGCAATCTTGGCTTTCGCGTCCGACACCATGGGACCGTGACCGGGATACGCGCGACCAGACACCAGACGCTCCATCCTAGCCAGACTCTTGAGATAGGTTCCGAGGTCTTCGAAGACGGCGGTACCTTGACCCAAGACATTGTCACCGGTGAAGAGGGAATCCTCTTCTTGCAAGATGAATGCCATGTGGTCCGTTGTATGACCCGGAGTGTGCACGGCTGTCAGAGTAGCGCCCTCAACTTCGAAGGTCTGTCCATCTGCGATGTCCAGCTGGCCTTCCGTCGGGTCGCATTTGTAGACGGCGGTGTGAGGCGACAGCTCCAGCAGGTCAAGAACCCCTTCAGTATGATCATGGTGCCAATGCGTGAGAAGAGCTTTCTCGACGGTGGCTTTCTCGTCGTCGAGCACACGCTTCAAAGCGGCGAGCCACGACGGTTTGCCCTCACCGGTGTCGATCAGCAACCTGTCCGACCCGGTGCCGACTAGGTAGGTGTTGGTGCCTTGCAGGGTGAATTTGCTCGGGTTGCCGGCTAGTATACGCATGCAAGCTGGACTCAGACGCTTGACCTCTGGTATATGAGCGAGTTGAGAAGCCATCCTGACGGTGGTACCACGAGCCGCCTGGAAGACTCTCATGTGCTTCCTTGGATGTCAGTTGCTTTGATACCTGCTGCTGTACCACCACAACTTGGAAGTGGCCGATCTTGTGATACGAGATAGGAGGTAGCCACCTAGTATCACGGGTTCACGCCAGGCATATACTCGATTCGATATTCCACAGTTCCGATTGAAATGCAGAATCAAGAGTATGTAAGGCACCTAGGAAGGGGAAACAATCTAACCTGAGAGAATCTGAGACCTACAGAGATAGCTGGCTGATGTAGGTAATAAGCAAAAAAAAAAAGTAGCAGAAAATAATATGAGACAAAGAGGTCGTCGCTATAGAAGTTGCCGAGGTCAGATACTTGTAATGGAGGTGGTGCAGCTGGAGGTGGGATGTCCCGGCGGTCGGCAACGTGGGCCCCTGCAACGCCGTGGCTATCCACTGCTATCCACTGCCACCGTCACAAAACCCCTGGATCAGCACCGCTAGCGCCGTCGGATAAGGCGGTGGATCAGGTGCCGATAAAGATTTCCAGCGTGTTGCTTCAGCTGTCGGTTACCTAACAATCATCGCGATCGCGAAAGGGCAGTACGTGATCTTGCATTTCGAAGGTTGAAGGTTGAGCTTTTCCCAACATTAAAGTTGCAAGTGAGGTGCTTCCAATACATGTAACTTCCAACTAACCTGTAAGGAGCCATAAACCTTACCCTCCTTACATAGAGCTCTACTAGAAAGAACACTGCTTACAAAACTCCCTGACGCAGGCCACCGAGCTCCCATCCCACGATAGCTCCCTGTACGAGACCGTTCCATCGCGCGAAGCCTCGTTCTCCAGCCTCGCCGTACCACGCTCCATCTTCTGCCCGAGGCAACTGAGCAATATAAATACAATCTCAGCCTCCCATCCCCGAGCTCGCCGTCCCAGTCCGCCCGTTGCTTGGGACCGCCCTCTTTCAAGACTGCCCCTTCTTGCGCCGGCTATTCAACCGAAACAGGAGCATCTCGCCCTCAAGCCCCATCCGTACTGCCTCGACCACATTATACAGCCTGGCAGATCACAAATCATGGCCGCCCACCCAGCTACGCCGGCGTCGCCTAAGAATGTCAAGATAAAGTCTCCTTCGCCGGGAACACCTCTGTTTGGCTGCGGTCCGCGCACCCTCTTTACCTTATCAAGCTGGTCCTTACGCAAGCAAGCTAACCTTGTCTCAGAGCACGTCCAGCTTCTCCTGTCCAACAGTCAGGATGTCACAAACAGCTCCATTCAGTACTACAAGATGCTACTCCGGGTGGTGTTCGACAACACACCCATCGTGCCCCAGACATCAAAGAGCCCCGACGGCCTAGTAACCACATCTCTAACCTCGAATTACCTCTGTTTGCAATGCTCTACCATCGTCCCTGAGGAGGACCGTATAAAGCATGGCAACAAAAAGAGTCACCGCTTCTGTATGTCCAGAGACCTCTCCGTCTACCAACCGGTGCCGTGCCCTGCTGACATGCTGGCAGACGTCGACTCAAGAACCGGCTCCCTCTTCTGCCAGTTCTGCGAGGACTTTGTATGGGATCCCACCCTGGAGGAACTCAGAATCCGAAAGATGGGAACTGGATCTTTCACAAGTATGTCCTGCATTGACTGCTTTACATGTCACAGACGCGAGCCGTCATATACTTTGGTGAGGTGGGACTAATATGGAAGCGCTAGATCGCAAAAGAAAACACGAGGAGCTGTTTTCGGGTTCCGTCAAGGATACCGTCAAGGACGATCCAAGATACATATCCAACAATACCACCATGGCATCGTGTAGGGCAGATGGTCTTCGTGGCATATACAACGCCGGCGCAACTTGCTACCAGAACGTGGTTCTCCAGAGTTTCCTCCACAACCCTCTCCTGCGCAACTTCTACCTCAGCGACGGGCACCAGAGCAGCGACTGTCAAGTATCACACTGTCTCAGCTGTGCCATGGATGACATGTTCCAGGACTTCTATGCCTTGGAGACCACCAACGGCTATACCGCCGCAAACATATTGTCCGGCTTTTGGATATCGGAAAAGAAGGCCTTTGAGAACTTGGTTACAACAAAAGAGCAGGACGCACACGAGTTCTTCCAGTTTCTCGCCGAGGACTTGCACGAAAGGAACGGGGACGGTAAGAGACCTGAGACGGGCAGCGAGCACAGCTGCAACTGCATCATCCACCAGACTTTCTACGGAAAGCTCCAGAGTCAAACGACCTGCCAACACTGTGGCGGCGTTACGAACGCTATAGAGTCGTTTCTTGACCTCAGCCTAGGCCTGGAGAATCTGCAACAGAAGAAGGGCAAGAAGGCGCTTAAGGGCGCACCCTCGTTGACGTTGCAGGAATGCCTCGACGACGAGTACATCAAGCACGACAAGTGCGAGTACCGGTGTCGGAATTGCAATTCGTCACAACAGGCGCGGCGAGATCACAGCATCAGACTCCTGCCCAATGTGCTGTCCATACAACTCAAGGTGAGTTCAGACGTGGCCGCCATGTCAAGTCGGCCGACCCATTGCTAATGATAACTCCAGAGGTTTGAGTTCAGACAAGGAAGTCGTGATCGGGGCTCATCCAAGATCAGCACCAAGGTACAGTTTCCTTTGACACTCAACATGCTCCCGTATACGACTCGTGGCAGGGATTCAAACTCGCGGGACAGTCAAGAGCTGAACCGGTCTTGTACATACGACCTGCTCAGCGTAGTGGAACACGTCGGCGAGATCGACACAGGTTGGACACACAATGGCTTCTGGGAGACGATCAAGGCTGACAAAAGGCAGGACACTACGTATCGTACTGTCGGGTTGGAGATCAGGTGAGTAGCCGACCTGCCTTCCTGTAGGGCCGAGTCGTCAGATATGTAGCGCTGACCCTCCTTACAGTGGTTCTCCTTCAACGACCATAAGGTCGAACTGGCCAAGAAGTCCGACGTACTGAACAGTCAAGCCTATCTATTATTCTACATCATCCGGTCACTGTCGTAAGAACCAGTCGACCGATAAAGGGGGTGGTGGACCTTGGTGAAGCATTTGCATGGTTGTTTTCTGCAGGCGTTGCGGCTGGTGGGCGACATGCATGTTACGGCTAGAGGAGCATCACGAAAAGCAATATCTTAATTGCCTCGGCGTTGGGCGTATTCAACCTTTCCAGCATAGGGTTTACTGAACACCGCTTTTCTATTGCAACCACACCTAAGTCTCCGCCTACGCACCTCGGTTGAAATCAACACTCTACACCTGCAGTCTAGACATTCATTATCTGGAATAAGCACGCTGCCATAAGCAGTGTCGACGACTGACCAGATTATAGCTGCTTATGGCAGGGTGCTTATTCCAGAGGGCATGTGATCCCTTGGACTTCCATTGCCTTAGTTGAAAGGGTCTACGGGGACTTCTGAGTTCATTTTACCAAGACATCCCGGAGTGGATAACGATGCACTGTGCTGCCGTCGACTTGTACAATATACCCTTGCACTCATCCACCCAGCCATCTATCCGCCTCTCAATTTGGCAGCTCCGTTAGACGGCCCTACCACTCCCATGCCTCGCACTCGAAGTTCGCATAGCAATAGAACTCGTTCTTGAGCCCCTTGTGGACGGGCTCGTACGTGGTCGTCCGTACGCCGAGTGGGCGGTAGAGCTTCGTGACCAGGGGCTCCATGCGCTCGCCTGTGCAAATGAGCACGCGTAAAGCACCACCTGGGCCCATACCTGCTGCTGGTGACGATGCTACCCTGGGATTGCGCGCCATCCATCGCAGGGTCATGGCCACTGTGTGGTGGCCCGGTTAGCATGCGGACTTGGAACACGCTCCGATGATACGAAGCTTGGTGAACGGACGGACTCACTTTTGGTCTGGCAGTCCTCGCTCAGGAACGGCGGGTCGACGATCATGCGGTCGACGCTGCCTTTCAGATGTGCTGTGAATTTCAAGCCTGTGTCAGCGATATGCGTGATAACGGGACTTCGGGGGCTTGTGTTTATGCGTGGTGTGCTGGACCGAGACATGACAAGTGAATGGATGTGACGAGAGAAATTGAGCGAGTGGATTAAGTACATACCCGGTAGCTTGATAGGTTTCATAAAGTCGTAAAACACGAACTCGGAGAACACAGCGAATCGCTGGTCGTGCTCGAGGAGGAAGACCTTGGGCTTTGGGCTGTTGTGGCCTGCGGACTGGAGGTTAAGCTGGGTTAGCATGTAGACGTTGAGTTTGACAGGTGGTATATAACTAGCTATGTGCCGACTCTGTCCATAATATACGGAAGAACAACTGGGAGTAGTTGGGGATCCTTGTTGTGAGCTATTCACTGCTTACCACTGTGTATTGGACTTCATCGAGCACAAACCCGTGGTGAGGACTCACGAATAGCCTCACTGATGGCATCGATACCAGGAAACCAGCAATATGAACCAAGAATGAAGTTCCCGTTGATAAACCCGCCTCATTCAGCCATGTAGAAGTCGAGTGGCTTTCATGACTTCATGAAATACCCTCTCCTTCTCATACCTATGTATATATACACTCGCTAGAATCGAAGACCCCAAACGACCATTAAAAGCACGACTGAAATTGACTCACTAGTAGGTTCTTCAGCGCGATGAAGACACTGGGCGTCGATACGACAGCGATGACCGTGTCAGCGTCCGCATTCTCCAGCAGCTGCTTCGCGAGCAGGGTGGCCGTCTCGTCCGAGTACTGCGACGCCGACATCAGTTAGTCGAGGTCCGGTATTTCTCACGATCCTGCCTTGCGTGCTCTACGAAGCACAACAGACCGTCGAGTCAGTCCAGATAAGAACATACCCAGAACTGCGACTCGTTCCAGTCCTCAGCAAACGCATTCATGGACAGCGACACCGTAGCCTTGCCGCCGTTCGCCACAGTCGCGACGCCATCACCATCGCCATCCACAAGACCGTTCCCATCTACAACCTCATTGTCCTGCGTCGCGACGGCCTTGAGCTTCTCAAACGCCTCGACGTGGGAGTCGCGCTCGGCGTAGAACTGCTGGAGGGCGGCTAGGGCGTCCGCGGAGAGCGTTCTGCGTGGGGTTCGTCAGCAACCGGAAGGACGGTTTGTTATTGAATGTACCTCCCAACTTCAAACGGTGCAGAGGTACACTCGAATGGCACGGCTAGGTACGCGTGTGATGGACTCGGTGCTAAAAGTGACTGGCAAAAACCCTGTCGGGAATTTTGTGGGCGCGGGTGGGAATCCGTGGAGGTTTAGGCTGGCCCAACCTGAGATTGTGCGTGGCGCCAACTCACATCGGTTCATCGTCACTGTCGGTCATCTCGACGGCGCTCTTGATACTTCTAGCGAGTCTGCTGGTAATGGTCGGACGGATTCGACACACTTCGCGAGTAAATGCTTCCGTTTCCTGTTGGGTAGGCAAAATGATGAATTTACTTCGTGACGTTTTTCCTGGACAGTTCCAAAGCCTCGGTAGCCTGTATAAGGCAACACGCTACGCGCTCATTGCAAGAGCCGACCAACAACATCGCACAGACAATACATTGGCATTGTTTTACAGTCTTTCGAGCTTTTGGAATCAAGGAAACTATTGGTCTAGAGTATATATGTACAATGCTGTGCGACCCTTTTGGCGGTTGCCCATGGACTTCTTGTGAAGCGATTCTCTATAACTCATCCGTTACATGCAGGTATTTCCTGTCTTCCCTCTTCTCCTTTTCCGTTGCTGGTGGAAGATCATAGTAAGCCGAGCTACGGAATCCTTGCTGTAGGGGAGTCAGTACTGTCCTAATAGTAGTGGGTTGAGGTTGCTTACCAGGTAGTGGTATGTGTAGTTGCTGATATCTCCAGGCTTGATCCCAAGATCCGCAAACGTCTTGGCCGTCTCGTCAATCGTCTGGTCAATGAACTCCTTGTCGATCTCCTCAGCAGACATGATGGGCCACCAGAGAGCGCGGTTAATTAGCGTAGCAATGGGTCCCAGAATGGCCTTGGGCACATTGATATGTCGCCGCTTCTTGTAAATCTCACGATCTACCATCTCGGCGATCTCGGCTGTGGAATAGTTCTTGGGGCCGTAGAGCTCGTATGTCTGTCCAGCCGTGCTGTCATCGTAGAGCATGAGCTCGAGGGCATGGCCAACGTCGATGGACTATCTCGATATTAGTACATGGGGTCCACACCCAATGTCATCGCCCCTTTTATGGAGATCACAGATTACGTACGTGGACTGGCCAGTATCTCTCTTGCATGTTGTTCGATGTGAAGAGGTTGGTAGCGCTGGCCAAACGGATGAGGAGGTTGTCCTCGAAGCCGAACATGGGCGCCGGTCTCACGATAGTGGTCTCGGGAAAGATGCTTCGAGCAACCTGCTCTCCTCGTCCTTTGGTAGCGAAGAAGCTTGACTCGGAGTTGGGGTCGGCGTTGTAGGAGGATACGTGGATGTAGCGGTCGACATCGTACTTGGCAACGGCCTCGCAGATACGCTCGGTTCCCTCGACGTGTACGTCCTCCAAGCTGAAGTTCTTGGTCGGGTAGTTCCGGCCAACGAGGTTGTACACAACGTCGGAATGTCGGACACTGGCCTCGATGGACTCAGTGTTGTGTAGATCGTATTCGATAAAGGCAACACGACCCAGGTCGCCGGTAACCTTGAGATGGCGCTTGGCCATCTCCTCTCGGTAGGGAATGACGACTTGACATCCTTGACGTGCTGCATGTAGTATGGTCATTAGCCGTGGCCCATTTGTTTTAGCAAGCTCGTCCATCCGTACCTAGTCGATTCACAATGTATCTTCCAAGCTGCCCGGTTGCGCCAAATACCGTCGCGACATGTCCTGTTGTTCGTCAGTCTCGGACATGGCGTAGGGACGACTCGTGGCGTTAGCGTACCTCCCAGTGACGATCTATAGACATCAAATTGTTTAGTATAGAGCCAAATGACCTCGAGCGTAGCTGCAGCAACTCACCTGCCACCTTGGACACGGAGGATGGGCTTTCCAGTTCGGGTGACGGTGAGGTCGGAGATGTGGCGTGCGTGGTTCAGGTTGAAGGCGAGCTTTCGAGTGGACCGCACAGCGGTCGGAAAGGGAGCCATTCTTGCTCGAGTGCGAGGTGCAAGAACGACGGGACCCTTCCAATGGCGATTGGGCTGGCGATGCGAAGCTCAAGGCTGGCGGTTGCTGGCTGGACTTTGGTGGGTTGAAGCTCCAAAGCACGTTCACGGCCGGCAGGCTGACCAAGCCACAGCTGTCAATTGGTCGAAGCACCTGAGCACCTGGCAAGCCACAATGATAGATGATGTGGCTCGGGCACAAAGTAGTACCCGCTGTGGGGCCAAAGCTCCCCCAGTTGGCAGGCTGCAGGCCAGCCGCGTGTGAAGCTCGGGAGAGCTGCAACTTTCTAACACAAGCAATCACCACAACCACAACCACAACCACGACGACGACTACGACGAACAGACTGAAGTCCGCCATAGACCGATACCGAACCTTCCAACAGTGCCATCCACCAAACACATCGCCCTTACGCTAGGATCATGAGCACCGACGCAATCGCCGATTTCTTGGCTGACCAGCGGGACGAGACGCCGGACGACCTACAACACCTGATCATCCACTTCGAGAACTGCTGGGAGCGCAAGCTATGGCATCAGCTCACCGACGCCCTGGTCGAGTTCTTTGACAACCCGCAGAGTGAAAAGCAGCGTCTGCAGTTCTTCGATGTTTTCGTACTCAAGTTTGCCGACAAGATCAACCAACTGAAGCTCGTCGACCTCGGATTGAAGGCCGCCACCCAGTGCCCGAGTAAGCTCACATCCCGCGCATCTCATCTCACCTTTGCTAACAAACCCTGCTCCAAGACGACCAGAAGCGCCTTACTTTCCTCACCCACCTCGCCGAGAAGGTCGACAGCGAGAACTCACAGGATGCCTACGTCTACGCCACCGTAGCCGTGGCCCGCGTCCAGCTGGACCTCCGAGACTTCGAATCATCCCGCAAGGACCTCGACAAGGCTGCTGAGATATTAGAGACCTTCGATTCTGTCGAGACCAAGGTGCACGCCTCCTTCTACCAAGTCAATGCCGACTACTACCAAGCCAAGGCCGACTTCGCCTCGTACTACCGGAACGCCCTTCTCTACCTCGCCTGCATCGATCTCTCTTCCCTGTCTCCCGATGAGCGCCGCGCACGAGCTTACGACCTCGGCATAGCCGCTTTGGTATCAGATTCTATCTACAATTTTGGCGAGCTCCTGCAACATCCCATCCTAGATGCGCTGACGGGCGCCGTCGCATGGCTCCGTGAGCTGCTTCTCGCCTTCAACCGCGGCGACCTCGCCGCCTACGACGTCCTCTCAGGCCACATCTCCTCGAACAAGCTTCTGAAGGAGCACGTAGAAGATGTACGGCAGAAGATCTACCTGGCGGCGCTGACCGAGAGTGTGTTCCGACGGCCGCCGCATCAGCGTGCCATGAGCTTCGGCACGATTTCAACCGACACCAAGGTACGGCCGGATGAGATTGAGCACCTGGTTATGAAGGCGCTGAGTCTGGGTCTGGTGCGCGGCACTATCGATGAGGTGGATGAGCTGGTCAACTTCACATGGGTGCAGCCGCGCATCTTGGACATGAGCCAGATCGCCAGCATGAACAAGCGGCTGGGTGAATGGGGCGAGAACGTCAACACGCTCGGCAACTGGATCGAAGCCACGGGTCAGGATATCTGGGCTCCTTGATCGTCGAATTTGCCGAGTAGTTTGCGAGGCATCTGTTGCTGGGGGACCCAACAAGCACTTGACCATGGTTCTAGCAACTCGCCGACGGGGTCCAGGTCCCCAAACACGCCGAGGAGACTGACGTTCGGCTGGACAGGGTCTGTACAATAGATACTAATAGACGCACGTCCTGAGCATTTGGACGAAGAACCTTTGAAGTCATTCCCGTTGCATGACCCCAGTATACTGTGAAAACGAGCATCTCCCACACCGAGCTCGTTAGAGTGAAGCCATCCAGCCCTGTATAGTGCTTCCCAATAATTGCTTGACCCCGGCTCACACAGTCGAGGAGGAATATGCTCTACCCCAAAGTGTGCTCAGGCTTCCTCTCCAAGAACGGCCGGCATACTACCTCTCATACGAGATGGCGTAAGTTACTTGCACATACAAACCACGTCTCCCTCGTACACTCAGCCCTCATTAAGTCTCCGTAAGCGCCATGTTAAAAGGATTCCAGATCACACGTGGAAATTTAGAAATACTAGCATAAGCAGAAATAAATAGGCAGCTCTAGTTTAATATGCCACTTTTAATGCTCAGTTTATTATGCTTGTTCCGATTCGATGATATACTCCTGGTTGCTAAACGCGTGGTTTACGGAGACTTATGAGGGTTCAGTGTACCGTTTCTTGGGCCTCTGAACATGCCGATTCATCGACTTCCCCTGTCGACAAAGAGATCTATCTCTATCATCGTGTTAACAAGCCAAGGCATATGACCTATCTTCACTAGTAAGGTAGGTATCTGCATCCCAAGCTACGGATACCCGCGTTTTATAACCCCTTCTAGTTTAATACATGTCGACCTTCTCCTTGTTGGTATCATAACACCTTTTTCTTCGTATCACCCTTTATCGCCGTACCAGGCTGCCCCAGCACGACCACCGAACCCACCAGCCACGCGGGCCACCACACGCACCAGATGACCAGCGGCGTGTACATGCCCCAGACATCCCATCCGAACGCGGCCTCCTCCAGCACCTCTGTGACGGCCTGCACAACCCCCATCTCGCCCTGTCCATACCGCGCCCACGCCGCGGCGCCCGCGGCAATCACAGTCGTAGGACTGACCAGGTTCAACAGGGCTATGTATGCGTACTGCGCGATGGCGTTTCCGGGCCAGGGGCGCGTGAAGGAGAGGGGGGTGGCCAGCAGGCCGACGAGGAAGGCGAGACTGAAGTTGAGCGTGGCGAGGGAGCTGAGGAACATGCCCAGTAGTAGTAGTGAGAAGGACTTGCTGAGATTGTAGTGCTGCAGCGTGATGGGCTTGTCCTGGGCGCGGCGCGCCTGCAATAGGTGCGAGAATAGGGGTGGGAGAGTGAGGTTGATGAGGGAGAATATGGCGAATATGGGGGCGAGGAGCTTCTCGGGAATTAGTCATTTAGTACAGCACGTATTGGCATTTATATGCTAGAGCAGCAGGTAGGAGGGGGAAGTATAAGACTCACGTTGGACGGCGTGTGGTTGAAGATGAAGAGCGGGAGGGCGCCCAGGAACTGGCAGCCAGCTACCAGGCTTAGCGGGAGAAGCAAATCTCTCTCGGCCGCGGCCCCTCTCTTCTCTTCAACAGCTTTCGAAGTTTCTGTCGTAGCAGGCTTCGATTTTGTCTCCTTGGACGGAGAGTTTATCTCCACATGACCACTCTTTATCCACAGGAAAATAGCCATGATAGTGAAATTGGCGGCGATCAGCATGGCGCTGGGTAGATAGGTGCCTATGCTGACGAAGCGTTCCTTGTGCATGAGTAGGTAGAAGAAGAAGCTCTGATGCAAGTGCTCCAGCAAGTTGTTCAGACTGCGGAACGTGCCCTCGACCAGCCTCCCCAGTCCCATCTCATCGTGCCAGCCCTGACCCACGGGCTGCAGGGTGATGGCGTCGACATGGTACGGAATAAAGCAGCTGTGAGGCCCCGCGGCGTGGCCCAGCCCCTGATTCAGCATACCGCGCAGCATGGTCTTGAGGCGATCGTCGTACTTATCCGAGTGGCGCCACATCTGCTGCAGCGAGGACCCCATACCCATCTGGCCGCTCGCGATGTTAACGACCGAGTTGATCAGATCGAGGTTCGGCAGCTGGCCGTTGACGCCGTCGTAGACGACGTGCACCGACTCGAAGCGGCCATCCTGCGGGTAGTCGACGGCGATGGCGCCCTGCAGCGCACCCGACTTGATGGGCAGCGATGCTACGCGCGAGGCGTCGTGAGCATCGTGGTAAGCGTCCACCCATGCCTGGGTGCCCATCCGACTGTCCGGGGGGATGACGAGGATGATGTCCTTGGACCACAGCGACCAGCGTCGGAAGTAGCGGGTCAGCGCCAGGGCGAGGGCCAGGCCGTTACGGTTGAACTCGTCCTTGACGTTCTTCCAAGCCGCCACCAGCACGATAGCCTCGGTCGCATCGCCGCGCGGGGCCTGCAGGATGGCGTAGACGTTCTCGCCGCTGTAGGTGTTGCCCGCGGAGTGGTAGGTGTAGTTCTGGCGGCCGACTTTCAGGCCTATACCCCTGAAGATGTTCTCCAGCTCATCGTTGATCCTGTTGGCACGGATGCGTCAGAATAACAAGCTCCCGTCCATGGGTTCCCCGTGTCCCCTTGCACATACTCGGTATTGCTCTTGTCCTTTAGCGCATCGACTTCGTGCCTGTAAGCCCTGAACACGTTCTGGTCGCTTCCTCCGAAGTAGGTGTGGACCTGACCCGGCAGCAGCGCATTCTCAGAGATGTAGGTTCGTCGCGAGTAGTCGTCGAGAGGGAGCATCAGCAGCCAGGCAACGCCGACTACGATGCACAGGAGAGACAGATACGGCGGGAGCTTCAGCAGGCGCGGATCACGACGCATGAGGAGCGCCGTGGCTGGTTTGCAAGCATGTCGCGTTAGCTGATTGGGCAAACGACGGGAACCTTGAAGATGTATATCTCCTACTTACAGAGTAGACGCGGCATGGCTCTCCAGATGTTGACTTGACAATGGCAGCTGGAGCAGCTTCACGGAGCTGTACTTCATTCAAGGGTCCTCTCTACACGTAAATTAGGGGACTTGGGATTGGAGCTAGGAATAAACGTTTAGGTGCATATATGTAAGTATCGCAGAGACCACCCAAAGTCGAAATTGTCCAAGCAGGCCTTTGAATGAATTATTTGTAGTGAGATAAGCAGTCTTTCTCTAAGGTTACTACTAAGTGACTTGGTCATGGTGATTTACGAGAATTGCTATTCCACTCACTTGCCAAGTATGCGGCCAAGTATGTGCAGTGTCAATGACGTTTGACTGGCTTCCAAGTTACCTCCAAGTTACTTCCAAGGTGGTTGATGCTTAGACGCGAATTGACTTTGACCGCATGTAGGTTGGGTAAGGATTTATACGGCTTTGGACTTTTAAGAAAGTCAATAGCATTAATTTTCATACAGTCTTTGCTCCATGTATGTATCGCTGTAAGCAGCATTTATAGAAACACATGCGAGGCGTTGCGATACCCCATGTCTCCGCCGAAACTCCTATAACAATGCAGTGAAGGCAGGCAGCCATAGGCCACCTGTTCGAGAAGTTGATATATACAGAGCCATGCAACTAGGCCCGGTGTTGCCTTTCTCTCGTCCGTCCTCTCTAAGGGCCCAGTCGTTGCGTGCTGCCCATCAACCCTACTGGCGTGGTCCCGCTGCCCGAGTTGCTCGATGGCAATACCCCAAACCTGCCATATGTCTTCTGGTCAACACTGACGTAGTGTGGTAGCCGGCCCAGGAGGTTCAACCGGCCTTCGAGCCAGCGCAGTACTTTCTCGGGTGGAGAGAGGAACTTCAGGTATCCGAGTCCGACTAAGGCAGGAGACAATTAGCACCACGATATCCATTTTGGAGGGGGTCCTATCTTACAGAGATATCCAGTAACCACGCCACAGAGGTGGCCCATGAAACTTGTGTTGGGAATTAGAGCCTCAACGACGAAAACCATGACCAACGGCGTGATCCAAGTTGGGACGTGGTGTGTGCCAACAACAAGGTACGGGTTGTTCTTGTAGGTTCGGACGGCCTCCATGCCCAACAAAAGAAACACCCAGAGACTAAGCCAGCAAGTCAATATCCCATACCTCGCAGCATTCTTGGGGGTTGATGTGTACCTAGCTCCCATCACAGCAGTGTTCCCGCCTGTCACCAATCGCTCGAATAGCACGTAGGCAATCGCCGGTATTGTGGTCAGAGCTGCGAGACGTGTCAACCCGAGTTCGTTTCTTTCGTATAAAGTAGGAATACTGACGACCAAAGAATAGGGCTAGCGAGGTCAAGGTGCCAAATTCAGTTTCGAATCTTTCGAGCAAGGGCGTCAAGGCCAGGATGTTGAGGATGGCGTGGATGAAGTTTCGGTGGATGAGCGGGAACGTGTTTACTCGATACACTATGCGACGGTTCACAGGGCGTCAGCAAGCCTCTCCGAGCTGGCGGGTATGGAAACACAGTTGTGGTGGTCACTACTAACTTGTCTTTATGTTGATCTCATTCGGTATCAGGGAGCCCCATTGCTGCAAATCCCATACGCTCTGCAGGCTCGCGAGCCAGAAAGCCACCATGATGACGACCATGGCGCGAGTGAACAGCGGCACCCGGAAGACATACGAGCGCGCTCGCGCTGCGCTGAAACCCTGTACGTTGGGCATTGTGTCGTCTCGATCGTGTTCGTCGGTAGGCCGTGAAGGGACAGGACGGTTCGCGCTGCGTCGTGGAGAGTGGGCGACTCCTTTTGGCCGTGGTAATGGATGGACCTGGTAATCGACGCGTTAAAGAAAAGAAAATGATCAATGATACTAGCAGACCAGACTCCTGAAGTCCTGCTGAGGTCACAGAATCGGCTCGTTCGAGACAAATATCGCCATCGATATGGCTGCAGCCCAAATTGGAATTGATGTCAAGAACCGTAGTGAGTGGTACATGTAATCTCCAGCTGTGAGGCTCGGGACAGGGCAACAGGGGGTCCAGAAGATGCCACGCCTGCCACGCTGCCACGCTTGAACGAGGCAGTCGAGCTGCAGCGTTTGCGACGGAGCTACCGGTGCTCCACCCGTCTAGCCCCTTATTTCACGCAGACGCGTATATGCAATAATACGATACCCGTCAGCCTCGGTATAACCATTTCGATCCGATGAGTGCTAAGATGTAAGACAACTTCACCCAGGACGTAGATGCATCCATCTACAGAAAACTCGAGATGCAGGAGTTGACGTTCTGGAACTCATAATCTTGTCACAAAGTTGGAATGATGATTGGCATAACCATCCGGCATAAGCAATTTTATTCACGGTAATGGACTCGAATTATCACGATGTTGCTGCTTATTCCACAGCAACAATTTTGGCCTCCGCCTGATGGATCTTACTGCCATCAGTTTGTTCTGGTATGTTTCAAAAATGCTTTCGTAATGATTCATTTTGTACAAACTAGAAAAGGTCAACGCCACGTCATGGCTGCAGTTATGATATAATGATCCCATAAAGCATGACATCCGTAACCGAAAAAGAGACCCCGTACACGTCTTGTTGTACGTCGGTTCTAGGATTCGTCCTCCCCACAACGCACCAGCACGCAGTTCTCCTATATTACTTTCATTTCGTCTTGTACACCTTCGCCAATCACTTACGATGCGTTCTTGGCCATCGTGTTCAGTGCGCTTCCGTTCTTGAACCACTCGATCTGAGGCTCGTTGAACGTGTGGTTCAGCTTCACCTCAAACGCCTCGCCGTCCTTGGGGTGAACCTTCATCGTCATGGGCTTGCCGACAGCTATTTCCGTGCACATCAGGTCAATCTAAGCATACAGGTTAGCACATGACTTTATGGAAATCAGGTCTCAAAGCTACTTACTCTGTCCTCGGGCTTGATCTTGTCGTAGTCGGCCGGCTCCGCAAAGGTGAGCGGAAGCATACCCTGCTTCTTCAGGTTGGTCTCGTGGATACGGGCGAAGCTTCGGGTGATGATGGCAAGACCACCAAGATGTCGGGGCTCCAAAGCAGCGTGCTCTCGAGAGCTTCCCTCGCCGTAGTTCCAGTCGCCAATGACAACCCACTTGATGCCCTTGCTCTTGTAGTCACGGGCCACAGCCGGCACCGCGTTCCACTCCCCGTTGGTTGTGTTCTTGACCTTATTCGCCTCGCCGTTGGCCTCGTTGATGGCACCGATCAACATGTTGTTCGAGATGTTGTCCAAGTGTCCACGGTACTTGAGCCACGGGCCAGCCATCGAGATGTGGTCAGTGGTGGTCTTGCCCTGAGCCTTGATCAGAATGGGCATGTCCAGAGCATCCTTACCGTCCCACGCGTTGAACGGCTTCAGGACCTGGAGACGGTCGGAAGAGGGCGAGACTTGGACGCTGACCGACGAACGATCAGCCGGGGGCGCTTGGTAGGTGTCGTTGCCAGGGTCGTAACCACGGTTGGGAAGAGCGTCTCCGCTGGGAGGAGACAGCTTGAACTCCTTGCCATCCTTGTCCTTGAGCGTGTCGGTCAGGGGGTTGAAGTGGAGGGAGCCGGCAATGGTCATGGCGACGACCAAGTCAGGCGAGGTGACGAAAGAGTGGGTAGCAGGGTTGCCGTCGTTTCGGCCGGTAAAGTTACGGTTGTAGGACGAGATAATCGAGTTGGCTTCGCCCTTCTTCACGTCCTGGCGGTCCCACTGACCAATGCAGGGACCACATGCGTTTGCGAGGACCATACCACCGAATTCCTCAAAGGTCTGCAGCTGACCGTCACGGGCAATAGTAGCACGGATCTGCTCCGAGCCGGGAGTGACAGTGAAGGCCGACTTCGCCTTGATACCATGGTCCAGAGCGTCGCGGGCGATCGAGGCGGCGCGGGTCATATCTTCGTACGAAGAGTTGGTGCAGGATCCGATTAGACCAACCTTCAATTCTTCTGGCCAGTTGTTGGCCTTGGCGGCCTCGCTGAACTTGGAGATAGGAGTGGCCAAGTCAGGAGTGAAGGGTCCGTTGATGTGCGGCTCGAGCTCGGAGAGGTTAATCTCGATAAGCTGGTCGTATTCAGCACCCTGGTCCTCGCGCAGCTCCTTGGCGTAGGTACGCGCAAAATCGCCAATAGCGGATCGCTTGGTAGCAGCCAGGTAGTCGTACATGCGGTCGTTGAAGGGGAAAAGCGACGTCGTGGCACCGATTTCGGCACCCATATTACAAATCGTACCCATTCCGGTTGACGAGAGCGTCTCCGTGCCGGGTCCGTGGTACTGCGTGTACGTTAGCATCGTGTCTTTAATCCCGTACAGGCGGTTTTTAGATGAAGAAGGGAATTTTTACCTCGACAATCGCACCTGTTCCGCCCTTGACCGTTAGAATGCCGGCGACCTTCAGGATGATATCCTTGGGCGAAGTCCAGCCAGACATCTGGCCGGTAAGCTTGACACCAATGTACTTGGGTGCCTTCAGCTCCCAGGGCAGGTTGGCCATGACATCGACAGCGTCAGCACCACCGACACCGATGGCGCACATGCCCAGACCACCAGCGTTGGGCGTGTGCGAGTCAGTGCCGATAAGCAGACCACCGGGGAAAGCGTAGTTCTCGAGAAGAATCTGGTGGATGATACCGGAACCGGGTCTCCAGAACCCAATGTCGTACTTGGCGCATGCCGAGGACAAGAAGTCGTAGACCTCCTTGTTGATGTCGATAGCCCGCTTCAAATCCTTGGGCCCACCGATCTGAGCCTCGATCAAGTGGTCGCAGTGGACGGTGGTAGGGTTTGCCACCTGGGGCATACCGGCAGACATGAACTGCAGGATGGCCATCTGCGCGGTGGCATCCTGGCAAGCAACACGGTCAGGTCGCAACTTGAGGTACGAGACACCTCGCTGGATGTCCTGGCCGTGCGGGTCGTCAAGGTGAGAGTACAGGATCTTCTCGGCGTAGGTCAGGGGTCGGTTTAGACGGCTGCGCACGATGGCCAGGTTCTCTGACATCTTCTTGTAGTTGATAAAGGTGTTGTCTTCCCAGTTGTTTTGCTTGACCTGTCCATTGCGGCAAATATCAGTACTCGATCCAGGGCCATACCAGGACGGCGATAAGGAGCAGATGGCAGCGTACCTTCTTGTCGAGAGGAGAGTCGGAGACGGTGGCCATGGTCCTGTGGAGGCCCATGGTGGCCAGCACCCGCGGCGAACGGGCGACATTGCCCAGGACCTGTCGTGTGGCCAGCATGGTGACAACGGCGGTCCTGAGAGCTAGGTGGAGGTGATGGATCAGAGGTCAGAGAGGCAGGGGGGGAGCAATCTGAACAATCGAGCTTCTAGGATAGCAGAGGAGGGGAGAGGAGGGCAGCAAGACACGCAGCCTCTGAATACACGCGCGACGAGGAATAGGACTCAGTCGCTCTCGGAGGGAGTGAGGAAAGAAAAAGATGTCTGGATGGACAGAAGGGCAGATGGAAAGGTGGATAGATAACGTTAGGATGTGCCTAGGTCTGCAACGGTAGCGCCTAAAAGTTACAGCGGCCTGCCACTTCGGCTAAGGCGAAGAGATACAATCCCGACGCTCGACCCGCCGCGGTGACGGCCGGGCCAGCGGACGAATCACGACGCACGCGATTACAAGCAGAGACCCGGGGATAACCAGGGCATCACTCGTCATAATGATCCAAGAGTTGAATGTCATATTGAAGCTGTAGCATACCGACTTCCAATAGACACCCTTTGGTATCTCTTTTTTCCTCTACTATGATATTACATTTACGCCGTTGAAATAGGTAGATGTGCTATGTAGGTACCTAACAAGTAGGTCAGCCCTCTTCTCCAACGGCTCCGGAATGTGGACGGATGAAAGCGGTTGTATACGGATAACACGGTCAACGTTTCGTTTTGCAGATTGTATATTTCAGGAATGGAACTGGGATATCAATGCTATCCGGACTATGAAAGATTCCGACTTCGATGCCTCCCCCTGTATCTATACGATATCCTTGAAGGAGAGTTATACGGACTTGTGCATTCAATGGCGAGTCAGGGTATCTGTGACCAACCTGATAGAAAAGACGGCTCGGCCACATTGGGTTTCGTCGGTATTGCTTGCGAGTATTCCCAGCCTCGCCTATCCACGATTCATGCTTTTGGGACCTGGCGAACAAGCTGGTGGCTGGGGTAAAATAGAATCCCAGCGCTCAGCACAGTCTGACGGTGTACAGTATCGTGAGTTGCATCGGCGCAACGATAGACAAAACGGCCGCGCCAGCCTTGTCCCCGTTCAGCCATGTGAAACTATTCCAGGTCTTCAGGTCGGCTCTAGCTGCGCCAAAAACAAAATTTGCTGCGTCTGGAGACCGAACAGGTGGGCCAGTGTTGTCCAATCGGCGGAATAGCAGGCTTCGGTCACTGTTACCTCGGCTCGTTATGCCGGATGCCAGCACAGAATGCGCCGCATCGACCACTGGACACTGTTAACAGGGCCGAACATCCATGAAGACGTCGCAACCGTGGAAGCAAGATACTACACCTGTGAAGGATGTCAATATAAGACCTGAGCATGCGAAGAGGCGAGACGAGAGGGTTTATCAACGGCGCTGGTAGATGGCGGGCGGAGGCACGGCTCGGAGCTTGATTCCGGGTTTTATCGATGGGACGGGCGACGGGAGCAATGGATGGGTGCTGCATGTGAGATTCCAACAGTAACTCAGCCAGACCTTATCTCAGTACAGACCGCATGATTCCATGCAGGTGGAATTTGATGAGCTGAGGTAAGCCAGACCCCACACCTGGCAAGGTAGCATTCTGCACAGGGTTGCCCAAAAAAAAACGTATCGTATTCGTGTTTAGTATCGTATCGTATCATATCATATCGTATCGTAAAGGATTTTAATACTATATAGTATAATATATAGTATTATATATTTGAATAAAATATATTAATTTCACCTAAAACACGTTTTGAAGCTAGTTTTAAATAGTATATTTAATTATTTTAACTTTATAAACATATTTAAACGTTTTGAAAATTAAGTTATAACAATTTTATTAGTTATTATATATTATATAAATAGAATATTGATACATAGTATATAAGCTTTATATAAAGAAATCATATATATATGTGAGATTCTAGAAGGGTCACAAGCCTTGAGGGTATGAGCGGTCGCTGCAAATGTTGTTGTTATTCTTAAGTATGCTCGGCAGGGCTAATCTACAGCTAAATACCATACTGTACCATGCCAGGGTGGATCCACTGTTCCCTTGACAGCCCCTTAGTGGGTACTGCATCTAAGGGCACCATATCTGGGATCCAACATCTGACAATATTATAAATAAATATTACGATGTTTAAAGCTTAATAGTTGATAAAATAATAATAGTATTAAAAAACGTTTAAACACGTCTTTAATAATTATTATTTCTCTTTTTAAAAACATATAAGATATATTAAAAATCCCACTTTTAAACCCCTGTTTAATACTATCGTATACGACTTGTATACGATAGTATAGGTTCGTATCGTATCGTATGACCTAAATACGATACTAAGTATCGTATTTTGCAACCCTGATTCTGCAAAAGTCAACCCCACCAAAACTTATTTGCGGTCAGTGATTTTTGAGATTCACCCAAGCAGCCCAGGATACCACCAAAGCCACTCCGATCTTGCGATTAACGATTGACGTCGCCGCCTCCGACGAAACCTCGCAAACGAATCAACTGAATCTTTGCGAATCTGCCGTGCGGCTGAGATCGAGATCATTCAACATGGGCGTCGGAAACAAGCGCACCCTCACCAAGACGCGGCGGCACACGCGCGATCTCGACCAGATCAAGGCCGACCTCCTGTCACCGAAACACCTCGACCAATTCCAGAAGACCAAGGCGAAGGAGGACTTGCCGGGTTTGGGGAAATGGTACTGCGTCGAGTGCGCCAAGTATTTCGAGAGCGAAGTGAACATGGTCTTCCACAAGAAAGGAAAGCCGCACAAGAGAAGGTACGCGCATATCAAACGGATGATTCATATCACACAGAGTCGAGTAAATGGCGGGAGTATTTGGTTTGTTTGGTATTTGAGCTAATACCAACTTGCGCAGAGCGAAGCAGCTTCTCGAAGAACCCTTCACACAGAAGGAGGCCGAGGCTGCCGTGGGTATCGGCTTGGGTACCCAGCAATCAACCAATACTGCCGGCGGCGAAGTCGTCATGGCTACCTGACCGACGAGAACCACAAATCCGAATTCTTATAGATCAGATCAGAGTTTGGTTGGCTTTAGCGTCCGTCCGGGCAGCGGTTCGTTGCTCTTTGGCCCATAACAACCCTTGGGGGGTATATGATATATCTCGTCGAAACTGAGGACAGAGCTATTCGACCCGGCGATACGAACTAAGCAGTATCGATGTTTAGATATTAAGTGGACTGCTCATCTCAGTCCACGGGCCCTTGGCTTCACGAGACCGCTAGGGCGGCCTCTCCCTGAACCAGCTCTACCTCTCGGCTGTGCGCCGCCTCTCGACGGAGCGGGCACACGCGACTGCCGGGTGTCAGGGGTTGCGAATTTCTTGGGAGTCGGTTTGGACGAGGTTGGCGGGTTCTCTACGAAAGATATGTCGGTGGTCCTAAGGAGATAGTTAGTTCTCTGAATGAAGCACAGGACAAAATACACCCATACATGAACGTTGTCTCCCCATCCATCTCACCTGATCGTTCCGTGCTTCGGGATCGTACTGTGTGTAGTTGTCTGATTAGTCGTGATCTCATCGAACAAGACGACCTTCGGTTGTGTCCTACCTGGCAGACTTGTTGATGGCTCCTCATTCTGTTTCGCTCTACGAAACGACTCCGCAATCGGTCCCTATGCGCTCGATTAGACTCAAGCCGACATATACTAATTTGGCATACCTCGCGCACCTCGGGGAAGTCAACGCAGAAGGCGTTCATGTTGAGCCCATACTGGAAGCTCGCAAAGCTCTCGCTGAAACGGGCCAGGCTCTCGTGCATCAATTGGAAGTGCATCATGTTGGCTTCCAGGTCGGCGACGGCGTCTGAGAGCTCGGCGAAGGCGGGTTCGAAGACGTTCAGCGGGAAGGGCTCGCTGCCCTCTGCGCTTCGCTGGGCAGACTCGCGGAAGGACGAGCGCGATGAGGGGCGGAGGGGTGTTGTCGGACGCGATCGCGAGGTGGAGCGCGGTCGCTTTGCGCTGTCGTGGCCCTCACTTGCAGACATGATTTGTTTGAGGGCGTGCCGAAGCTGTAGTCAAGTGTCCAGAGAAGTGTGTAGCAAGAGGTGGCCCTTGAGGTCGCGTGTACACATAGGTTATCGACAGCAACACGGATTGTTTGACGACAGCAACGGAAGACGGGATGTACTGGTGGTGGTGGGGTGCTCTTCCACTGATCTACCGGCACGGTACACTAAACCCTCATAAGTCTCCATACACCACCCGTCCATTAACCAACGGTAAATCATTAAATCGAAATAAGCACTATGAAATAAGCATTAAAGATGGCGTATTAAACCAGAGCTGCTTATCTTTACATGCTTATTTAAAAATTTTTACAATTAATCTAGAGTCTTATTATATGGCGCGTACGGAGACTTATGAGGGCTGAGTGTAGCGCACGTGCTCAGTGAGGGTACAGGCACGACAGGGCACCCTCAACTCCCAGCAGAGTGGAAGCTTTCCCGCCATTGACACAACGGGAATGATTCCAGAATTCAGCCCCCAAACTCTCCCTCCTTTCCATCCTACCGTCAAGTACTACATGCACTAGCTTGTAGCTTTTCGATATATCCTGCACACTCTCATTCAACCAGACAATTATTATCGTTATACCTACGTGGACCAATTACCTATCGTGCGGTACGACGTTGCTAGCCGAACCCCTGTACCAGTACCATTGGCCCAGCAAAAGTCGTGCTCGGTGCTCTACTGCAACCCAACCCACCTCGCCGCATTGCGCATCACCATTCACGTATCATAGTGTCAGCACTTGAGGGTCGACAACTGGTGAACAGTAGGATACAACAGCCGCAGACACTCCATTACCACAGTCGCTAGCTTTCGGGATTTCCAACGATCCGCATCAATTCTGGCCCCCCTCGTCAAGTGATCCGTCGACTCCGCCTCCTTCGCCCGCAGGAGAGATCTTGCGCCGTCGTTCGGCTCCGCCGGCCATCTGTTAAGCGCCTGTCGTGGAGTACTGGGCCTTATGAAAACGCCGACTCGCTACCTCCCACAAACACTTCTCTTCTCCACATCCTCCAGGCTGTACTCGAACTGCTTCCATAGCCGTACTGTTGCCCGTCGAGTCTCACTATACCCTAGCGATCCTCTGCGCGCCCAGTCGAACCCTGCTCGAATCTTGTGTCGTCCTTGTCCGGCCTCTATACGACCCGGCGGCCCGATCCCACAACTTCATAGCGGCGAGCATTGTAGTCGTCGGCTCTACGTGCCACCAGCAGTCTTCCGAACTGGGAAATTGAATCGCATAACTCCTGCGCTTTCAGGACAGAGTGCTAAGAGTCGGAAGCAACTCCAGAGTCAGATCTCTTCTGCGCTTTATATCGTCCCTCTCGTTGTTGTTGGCGCATTGCTAGCCTTCGAGGTTATACCTGGCAACTCAAGTCATCCATTGACACCCGAAGACGAAGCTCGCGACTCTTATATCGCAGAAGCCGAAGAAGACATGGAGGCACTTCCGGGCAGACCGGGGAACCTAACCCCTGACGAGGAGGACAAGTTGCGCAAGTTCTGGGAGATGTTCCTGCACGTTTGCGGCGTCTTCGACGAGGACGGCGCTGGCGAAGCGGATACGCCAACTACACTTGAGGCCCAGGGGAAGACGGCCACCGGCGGATCCGAGAAGCCTAAGAAGAAGCGCATGGGTCTGTTCAAAAAGAAGAAGGACAAGGGCAAAGAAAGCAAAACCGAGAAAATGGACAGCATTAAGGAAAGTGATGCCGAAGACAAGTGGGGTGAAAACAAGGCCTACCACGAAACCCTGGCCAAGCATACACCAGAGGAAATCCGCGCTACTATCTGGGCCATGGTGAAGCACGATAACCCCGATGCTCTCCTACTGCGCTTTCTGAGAGCAAGGAAGTGGGATTTGCAGAGGGCCCTGGTCATGTTGATATCTACCATGAACTGGAGGTGTTCGGAAATGCGTGTTGATGACGATATCATGGCGAACGGCGAGGAACACGCTGTCTTGAACGAGAAGAGTGGTGACGAGAAGACAAAGAAGCTGTCAGAGGACTTCCTGGCCCAGATGCGTATCGGGAAAAGCTACTGCTACGGCATTGACAAGTCGGGCAGGCCGATCTGCGTTGTCCGAGCTCGGCTGCACAAGTCAGGCGAACAGTCGGAGGAGGCCCTCGAGCGCTTCACCGTTTACCTGATCGAAACAACACGTCTTCTGTTGAACCCCCCAGTTGATACAGGTGTAAGTCTACATGCTACTGTGGCCGCCCCGCCTCTGACTGACAATGGTGTAGTGTGTCCTATTCGATTTGACCGGATTCTCGCTAGCGAACATGGTAAGCCAGCGAATCTCTACATTGTCCCCTTCCAACATTAACGCTCACCCTGTATAGGACTACACACCTGTGAAGTTTATGATAAAATGCTTCGAGGCCAACTATCCAGAGAGTCTGGGAGTGGTACTAGTCCACAAGGCTCCGTGGGTCTTCCAAGGTTAGTCAAGATTTGGGCCCCTAGTAACTCACCACAGCTAAACGATTTTGTAGGCATTTGGAAGGTCGTTCGTGGGTGGCTTGATCCTGTCGTGGCAAGCAAAGTGCACTTCACAAACAACCTCCAAGATCTTGAACAGTTCATCGATGCTGCAAAGGTACCCGACGACATGGATGGGAAATCGGGTTTCACGTACCAATATGTGGAGCCAGTGCCTGGAGAGAACAGCAAGATGCAGGACACAGAGACCAAAGACAAGCTTCTGCAGGAGCGCGAGGCACTCTACGAGGAGTATGAAAGCAAGACGATAGAGTGGATCGGCGAAACAGACTCGACCAAAAGAGCAAGCATCAACGCGGAACGAAACGCCGTCGCCAAGAACCTGAAGGAACATTACTGGCGCATGGACCCCTACGTACGGTCAAGGTCGCTCTATGACAGGATAGGAGTCATCAAAGCTGATGGCAAGCTTGATTACTATCCTTCGTCGCTACCTACGGCACCAAGTAACGATGCCCCAACGGCGGTCGACACGGCAGCGGACGACGTAGACTAGTGGGTTACGTCACCTCACGCAACAGTCAGCGTCGGGCAATGAGGATTAGGTACGAGGTTAGGAACGAGTATTTGGTATGCAGGACCGCAGGTAATGGGGTTGGGGTGGCCGGACCTGTATAGACAGCAACACGATCCTAGGAGATGGAGATGGAGACCTCCTACACTTCTCAGAACTGCAATTCATCCTGCAAGACGACCAGAGGCTTTCTCGTTCTGTCATGCCGAACTTTCTCGCTCTCAGCTCTATATCCCGCATAGCCGTGAATCTGTGTCGGTGCCGTCTGATCTCGTCTGGTCTCGTCTCATCACACACGTTATATCTTACATCTTGGCCTTGACCTCCTCGAAGTACGCCTTGAGTGCGTCCATGTCCGCGGGCTCCGTGGGCCAGCCAATGCCAAGACCCTCCTTCTCGTTGGGCTTGGGGATCTAGAACCCTGATTAGTATACTCTCTCAACGGTACATGACAGCGTGAGTCCCTACCATGTGGAAGTGAACCTATACATAGACATCGTTAGTTAGTCAGTACCCATGACTTCAGTGTTCAGTGTTCAGGGGTCGGTGGAGACACGGCGGGGGCGAAAACTCACGTGGTCGACGACCTGGTGCGCGATGCGGCCGTTGTTCTGCAGGATGTTGTAGTTCTCGGCTCCGGTAACCTTGACCAGCTTCTTGGCGATGGGCTAGATATCACACAGCATGAGTTTCAGCCCCTCCTGATCACGCCGGACCTGCATCTAGGCAGCGGTGTAGAGGACGGATGACATACCAAGATCTCGCTTAGGTGCTCGTCGGGGATGTCGGTGAGTTTCTCGCCGTGGAACTTGGGGATGACGAGCTGGTGGGTGGTGGTGATGTGTAAGTAAGGTACAATAGGATGAGATCCGGTAGTCTGGAGAGGGATGAGGCATGTCGGCTTACAGCATGGCCCTTGCTGAGCGGGCCGATGTCCAGGAAAGCGAGTGTTTTGTCGCTCTCGAAGAGCTTGAAGCATGGGATCTCTCCTGTTTGGTGGCGTTAGTGGCGTGTGGGCTAGTCGTTGGAGGTTTTGGCTCCGGTAGAGTTACTGTCATCGGGGGACTAGCCTTTGATGATCTTGCAGAAGATGCACGCTGCCATTTTTGAAGTCATTGGTGGGTGTGGTAGATGAACAGCTTGTTTGTGCTATGATTCGTGGAGTGTTGCTTGATATATGTCTGAGTGTCTCTGGCGGAGGCTATAAGTTGACTGGACGAAGCTCGGTATCTCTCTCAGCTGGAAACAGTCCGTCAGATGGAGGGGAGCAAGCGGCTCTTTCGGCCCCACTAGAATTATGCTCTAGCGGCTGAACTCCGGCGGAGCACACAGTTCAGCCCAACCCCTTTCCACCTCCGCCCCTGGCAACCGGGCAGCCCCTTGCGTTTGCACCACCTCAATATAATCCTCAGTTTGGGCAGATTGTCTTCATCGGAGTGGGTAGGGTTAAACGACGCGCCTTCTGCCTTTTACCGAAAACGCCTGTGATCCACCCACCAAACTCCGTTTACCAATCTTTGGAACACACTCTTCGCAGTCTGCGAATTCGTTTTGCTCAACTGCGCCCCGTTTCATTTTTGGGAAGTCGCGTTTTCCCCACCCACACCCACCGCACCTGCCGTGTTGTTCCTGCCTTCCGCTGCACCATTGAGCTGCACAATTGAATGCCCGCTCCACTTTTGCCCGTGTCGCACTTTCCATTTTTCGCGCTCCTTCCATTTTGTCATTCCGCACTCCAATTGTGAACCCCTATTACCGATGCACGTTGCTCATGGGCAATAATGATGTCTGGAATAAGCACCAATGCTGATGTTAGTCAATTGATTGCAGCTTATAACGATGCTTATTCCGCACGCAGATATTCATCCCGTATGCTGCACCACTCGTATTGTGTTTCTCACAACCAGCTACCACTACTCCTTGCTCCGACCAGCTATTCAATATAGTGATCCCTTATTTGATGTTTGCTGAGTATCTCAGAATGGCTTATGCGGACTCTGGCCTGATGCCCTGTTTAATCAAGATCACAATGTCGAGTCCCAATGCCCATCCATCCGTTGCTGCACACAAGCTTAGTACTAGCAGTCGTAATGCGACCAGCTCATGGACAGACAGCATCACCAACGGTGAGCAGCGACAGCGAGAGCGACAGTGGGATCGACAATACCACCAAGGTGGCCAGCGACAGTAGGAACGTATTATAGCACTGGTCGAAGACAGGTGTGGTACGTACTCGCGCTTCAACAGACTTTTTGAGGCTCGAAGTTGGAGTATCGGTCGATTTTCCAGTACCACAGTCAAGATATAATGCCTTATGAGCTGCGCTTCACCGCTCGATTCTCCGAACTGCCCGAGTCGAGATGTTTCAGCTTGATCACACACCCCACTTAGGCCGTCAGCCTCATTGCGCAACAGCACCCTTCCAAGCTGAATGCTCCGTAACCCATTCAACAAATCCAGGCCAATACCAAGAACTGGTTGAAGAGGGCGAAGTATTTCTACCGCATCTGTTCTCAACAACGAAAGGTTCATTGCCAACTCTTTCGGTTTCACCAACAACATGCCACCACACGAAGGTTTAGTGCACACGAAGGAGTACGACTGGAGGGACAGCAATGTCGAAGCAATCGGTACAGAGATCGACCACAAAGTCAAGTACAACTCCGCAGCAACCGAGCCAGCCTGGCAGGACGTCGGGCAGGCTCCTGGGCTGCAAATCTGGCGCATTGAGGACTTCCAGGTAGTCGCCTGGCCCAAAAATCGATACGGCGACTTCCATGAAGGAGACAGCTACATCGTATTGCACTCCTACAAGGTAAGCAACAAGGATGGACAAGAGAAGATAGGCCACGACATCTTCTTCTGGCTGGGGAGCAAGACCTCGCAGGACGAGGCAGGCACGGCGGCCTACAAGACAGTCGAGCTCGATGAGTTCCTGGACGGGGTAGCGACACAGCACCGTGAGCTCCAGAAAGAGCCTTCGGAGGATTTTGTGGCCTTGTTCTCACGGATCCGGATCCTGTCTGGCGGTGTTCGCTCTGGCTTCACCCACGTTGAGATGAATGAAGAGCCCAAGGAGACTCCCATGCTTCTCCGGATCTTCAAGCACCCCTCCGCCAGACGGGCTGACTCGATCATGGTCCACGAGGTTGAACCGACGTGGAAGAGTCTGGACGAGAACGATGTCTTTGTGCTGGAACGCAATGACAAGATCTGGGTATGGCAAGGAAAATCTTGTAGCCCGATGGAGAAGGCGAAGGCTGCGCAGGTGGTAAACGACATGACGATTGCGAAGCACGTTGATGTCGAGGTGCTATCACAATCGGAATCGCGATCGCGAACAGTGGTCAGCATGCTGGGAGGCGATGAGGCAGAAGGCCCGTTCACATCACCTAGGCCCGTGACACCCAACGCAAGCCAGCGTCCTCGCAAGTTATGGCGTCTTTCCGATGCTTCGGGACGCCTCGAGTTTGGCGTGGTCAAAGAGGGCCAAGACATCGGGATGTCTGACCTGGAAAGCAACGATGTCTTCCTTCTCGATACTGGTCACAGTGTCTGGGTTTGGCAGGGCTCGCAAGCGAGTAAGGGGGAGAAGGCCATGTGGATCAAGGTGGCCGAGTCGTACATTCGCCAGCTTGCTGATGCAGCGGAAAACGGAGACGCGCACCGATGTCCCATCTCCAAGGTCGTGGAGGGAAATGAAAGCCCGGCTTTTGTCAAAGCGTTGGAAGCGTACTTTTAGGGTATGCTTACGAGACTCACTGGGACGTGCAGACAACCTTGAATAGAGCAGGAATCTCCCCTGCGAGAGTCAGTCATCAGTGCCCCCTTGAATTTGCACCCATACGAGCGTCATTCATACACTGAACCCTCATAAGTCTCCGTACACGGTCCTTCTAGCAAGCAACGGTATATTAATCAAATCGGAATAACCACACCGGAATAAGCAGTTGTTCTTTAATTCGCCATGCTTGACGCTTATTCCAGGGCGCTTTTCCCAGTATTTCCAACTCTCCCACTGGTGGTCTGGATCTTGCCAACATGCGCGTACGGAGGCTTATGAGGGCTGAGTGTAGCCAGGTCAGTGAGGAAGTAGACGTGCCATGCCGTGCTGCTTGAGGTAGTCTTACCCGATTTCGTGGAGTGTGTTGGAGAGGGTTGAAGGCGCCTGGACTTCAAGTTCAAGCCTGGCGCCTTGAGGTGTGTGCCCATCATGCTTGACCTCGAGCCCCTTTTTCCTCTTTCGGGAGCCGTGCATTTCGGGAATTGTCCTCAAGAAAATGAAGATGAATGGTTTATACGAAGGAAACTATACCAGCCCGATCGTGCCTTTCCAGGACCGTCTCGCTCTCTGACCTCCGTCAAGATTGGGCTCTATCCCTACCTCAGCAGCAGCACCAGCAGCCATAGCTCCTCGGAGACAAGGGACCGTGTTGGGTTGGGTGACCACTGGTCACAGTAAGTACACCTTCGAGCGGCAGTTGTGTGATTGTTCCACTTGTCACAATATACTGACGCAAAGTGATTAGGCAAGCGACAACGCTTGCATTAATTCTCCTCTTCCCCCTCCTTTGTGCTTTCTTTGTGGTCGGTCGAGTAAATGCCTTTGCTTTGGCTTTGCTCGACCGTACCTCTTCATACCTTCCTTTCTCTGTTCTTGAAGGGTCGAGCAAGCATCCCGCTTATTCAAGTGTCTCGTCATAACTCTCTTTCTGGCACTCGTCAACAATGTTGACTCAACATTGGGTTCCAACACCAGCTTGATGGTGCCTCTTCAGGGCCGTCTCGCTCTCTGGCCTTCGTCAACGTTGGGTTCTCTCGTTCTCTGGCCTTTACCAACATTAGGTGCATCACCAGCTCGATCGTGCCTCTTCAGCGTGGTGCCTTCCTTTTTCTCTTCTAAGAGAACCGAGCAAGCATTCCGCTTATTCGACCGTGCCTCGTCGTACCTTCCTTTTTCTCCTTCTGGCCTTCCCTCGACATCTGTTCATTCGACCAGCTCGATCGTGCCTCTTCAGGGTTCTCTCGCTCTTTGGTCTTCGTCAACCTTGGGTTCCGTCACCAGCTCGATTGTGCTTCTTCAGCGTGGTGCCTCGTCATACCTTCCTTTTCCTCTGTCTGAGCTTGCTCGACCGTGACTCTTCATCTGGCCTTACCTCAATATCTGTTCATTCAACCAGCTCGATCCTCTCTTTTTTCTGCCCGTCATCGAAGCACAAGTATTCGGGACGTTCAGCATCGTCAAGCTCAGCCTCAGTACCAGCAGCATATACCACCTCAGTGACAGACTCAAGCTGGATCCCCGGTACGAGCAGTCCACCACTGCTGAGCTGCCCTACCCTGCCACAAAACTCCTCATCGTGCTCTGGCCCACGCCTTTGAATCAAAGCTGCAGGCACTCGACCGTGCCTCTTCATGGTGGTCGTCTTGCAACCTCCGCGATGATTCGACCGTGCTTCTTCAGGGAGGTGCCCCGCACTCTAGCCACGCAGGCACTCGACCGTGCTTCTTCATGGTGTTGCGGTCGTCTCCCAGTCTGGCCTCGCCATGAGATAGCGCTGCAGGCACTCGACCGTGCCTATTCATGGCGCTGCCTCGTATTCTGACCACTCCACAGCATAGCGGTGGCAGGCACTCGGGCGTGCCTCTTCATGGCGTTGCCTCGACCGTGCCTCTTTATGGCAGTCGTCCTCTCCATTGTGTCTGGCGGCACGTGGCTCGGCTTCGGCGCTCACCTCGGTGGTAGAAGGTTTCGGGGTCCGGAGTTGATGGATGGGTCGGACGGTGTCGATGGATAGGTCGGAGTGGCTGGAGTGAGCGGTTGGAATAGGTGGAAGGAGGGCGGTGCTGCCGGACCCTTTTGATGTTGTGATTTCTTTGGATTCATCGGGATGGGACGAGGCTGGACATCTATAATGTGTTGCTTGGAGAAAGGTGCAGAGCGGGAAAGTCATAGAGGTGATGTTCATAGAGCTGATCTTGGGATATGGGACGCATTCAATGCGCAACCGGCCGGCACTGGCACTTGGACAGTAATTGAAAAGCTTCATCATAGTTGCAAACAACTGTGCGGTTTTGTTGTATATTGTGATTGCGAAATTGAGGCAGACTTCCGTGTTGAGCTGCATGTGTAGAAAAGGCCGTAAGCGGCAGTCAAGTATGGCACAAGAAGACCTCAGGGGCATCAAGTCTCCGCGACCTCGAGCCCCGAGCACCACGAAACTGCTTCCACTAATACATTCCCGGTACCCAGGTAGGTACCTAGGTAACGAGGGTTACCAGCACAGGTGACTGGTAAGAACGTTGAAGGCATCGGTGTTGTGGCGTGTCTGAGCTCGAGCCACAGAGACACAGATATGTTCCATCATTTGGCTGCTTTGAATGGCTGTAGAAACGTTGCCATCAATCTCCGAATGGCTCATGTATGGCCTTGCGAGCTTCTCCCTTACTCCATGCAATGCTTTCTAACACCTCATCAGATAAGATGTCGGTGTTACCACTAAAGTTGTGCCATCAAACTCCTACCACAAACACCAATTCAGAAGTCGTGTACTGTACTTATGCATCGTGGAATCACCCCCGGCATCTCTTCAACGATTAGTTTTCAGGTGCTTGGAAACTTTGACAGGCATCCTTGGGAAGCCAAAGAGGTCGCCGGTGGATGGGCATTGGGACTGTGCTTGTGAGATTGACTGACCAGGGCATCATGCCAGAGTCGAATAAGTGATCACTACCTAGCAGATGATCATCCCAGGCCGGATGTTCAACTGTCTTACGGGACCTAGGCGTTACCAGCATGTTACCGTAATTTTCGATATTACGAGGGAGATTCTGCGCGGCGTTATGAGCTCTTCACGAACTCGACCATTCCCTGTCCCTGTAAACAGACTATGTGATCGGGAATATGTTGAGCCAATATATGAAAGTCTTTCGATTGCTTCTCAAAAAAGTCGCCGGTGTTGTTGTGTCGTCTCCTAGGGTGTATAAGGTTGTGTTGAAAGGTAGCGTCCTGCAACTGTATACGCAGTTCGGAATAAGCAATCCAGCATTGATTATACAACCTTCAGATCAAGTCTGGCATGAACACTTGTGTTTCTGCTTATTCCACTGGCAGGGGGTGTAGAGGAGGGCTATATGCCCAAATGTTGAATCAAAGCAACCGTACACATAGCCTTGCTCCAAAGTCGAAATAAATCCCATCAACTAATCCCATCTTGACCACGCTGCCTGTTCCACCTGTTGCAGAATTAAGTATCTCCAAGATTCCAAGTTACAAGCCAAGGATGATACAGGGTACATATGCCTTATGTATACACATGCTCAGGGGTAACAACTGCGTGCGGGATTTGAAGTGCTGGACAACATGAAGGTCAGCTGATTGCTGCTTAGGACGGTGCTTAGGACGGTGCTTATGATACAATGTGTACCCTTCAAGGCGGGAACCTTGGGCACAACTGAACGGCAGGAGCACCTAACTGGAAAGAACCCAGCCCGCCAGCTGGAAGTACCGAGCTTGAGTCCTGCCTTTCTCCCGAACCCTCTGCCTCCAGAGATCGCAACCCTTTTGGGGTGGTTGAGATCTTGGGCGCTGGACGACGAATGACTGTAAGTAGTGGCACTTGTTGCCAGGGGACGCCAGCTGGCGGGTAGCGCGGCGGCGGCCTCTTTAGTGACCCCTGTTAAAGTTTGGACGCGCCGTGAACACTGACACTCTTCAGCCCTGCAGCAGCGCGGACCCTTATTAATCTGCGACGTCAATCACACCACCTGCACCTACACCTACACCTCGACATCTTCTTCTAACCACCTGCAATGCTCTTCTGCCTTCATATCTAGATCGCCCACAATGGATATCCAAGAGGCGCAAGCCTACCTGCAGGACTCGCTCCATGAAATCTCCCAGGCCTTCCAGAAAGTCCCCGGAAGTTCCGTCTTGATCCGCTACATCCAGTCCAGCTACCAGAACGATCCCGTCCGGTCCTTCATCGAACTCATCCTCGTCATATTCTTCGTGCGATACCTCCTGTCGCCTTCGTACGCCACCCACGGTCCCAACTATGTCAAACTACGCGAGGACGAAATCGACGAGCTTGTTAAGGAGTGGGAGCCCGAGCCCCTGGTCGGTGAGCAGACCGCTTTCGAGGAGATCGAGGCTGAGAAGGTCCCTGTCATTGTTGGGTATGTCACCTGCCCTGGGGCTGGTATGCGTCGAAAGGAACCGTTGCTAACTTGTGCGACACAGGCCGACTGGACCGAAGGTCAAGCTATTGAACGGCAGGACGGTGACGAACCTGGCATCGTACAACTTCTACAACCTGAACGCGAGCGAATCGATAAAGGAGAAGGCTATTCAGACGCTGCGCACCTACGGAGTAGGCCCTTGCGGACCACCCCAATTCTACGGCACCCAAGATGTCCACATGACCACCGAAGGCGATATCGCCTCCTTCCTCGGCACGCAGAGCAGCATCGTCTATGCCCACGCCTTTTCCACCATCACGAGTGTCATTCCGTGTTTCTGCAAGCGCGGCGATGTCATTGTCGCCGACAGGATGGTCAACTACTCGATTCGTAAAGGACTGGAAGCTTCCAGGAGCACTATCCGATGGTACAAGCACAACGACATGGAAGACTTGGAACAAGTCATGAGGAAGGTTGCTCAGGAGCAGGCGAAGAAGAGGATCCTGACCAGGCGGTTCATCGTCACCGAGGGTATATTTGAGATGGTTGGCGACTGCTCTGATCTTCCCACGCTTGTAGGCAGCCCTTACCCCTGAATCTCTTACTATTCATCTTGCCCCCCCTTTTGCTGACAGTCCTCTGCGTCTAGATTGAATTGAAGGAGAAGTACAAGTTCCGCCTGGCCCTTGACGAGACTTGGTCCTTTGGTGTACTGGGCCGCAATGGCCGGGGACTTACGGAGGCTCAAAATGTTGACGCTGAAGCTGTGGACATGATCTTGGGCTCCCTCTCAGGACCTCTCTGCGCGGCCGGTGGGTTCTGTGCCGGATCAAAGGACGTGGTTGAGCACCAACGCATCAACGCCGCGGCGTACACGTACTCGGCAGCTTTGCCAGCCATGTCGGCAGTGACGGCTAGCGAAACTCTGAACGTGCTCCAGTGCAATCCCGAGATCCTAATCCAGTGCCGCGAAAACATCCGCGCCATGCGGGCACAGCTAGATCCACGCAGCGACTGGGTGAAGTGCACGAGTGATGCTGAAAATCCGGTCATGCTATTGGTGCTCAAGCCCGAGGTAGTACAGCAGAGGCAATTAAGTGTCGCAGACCAGGAGCGGCTCTTCCTAGATTGCGTGGAGGAGGTACGTTCATTCTACATACTCCCCCACGGTGAGGTGCCCGGACTGACCACTGACAAAACTGCAGACTCTCGCCAACGGGGTGCTCATCACACGATTGAAGACGACGCCGTTGATCAGCAGCTTGGGGGCGCAGAACGCGGAGGTGAACATCCAGCCTGCGCTCAAGGTCTGCATCACGTCGGGCCTATCCAAGAAGGAGATCGAGAAGGCGGGGGTCACGATTCGCCATGCCATCACCAAGGTCATGACACGGAAAACGAACAGACAGCCGACACTGGCTGGTTAGGAATCATTCAGCTTCCATGACCTCGTTCCGAAGCGTGACGAGAAGCGTGACGAGTAGGCGTTCCTGTACATTGTTCGTCATTACGTGGCCTGCCTACGATATAGAGGATCACACGGGCGGAGAAGTCAGATCATAGAACATATATTAATTGCTAATGCTTCCCGAGCTCGATGGGTCAGTTCCCGACGATGGTCAACATGTGCAAAATGAACAAACAGCTTCCGGGCTTCTGGTTGGCTTCTGAGGTTTGGGCCGGGTGCACAGACACGGGGTGGTCTGCAAACATTCGACGGCGATACTCGGCTGGTGTCCAGATGAGTTGGTAATGAGATGGGCGATACGTACCGTGTGGAGTGAGTATGATTGTTTTCTGGTCATTGGAATCATGTGTATCTTTGGTCACACCGCCGGATTGGCTGAAACGGGACTTGAGGTGGTGGCTGATGACTCTGAGCAGGCACGCCCGTCTCTCGAGGAGGTACTCGCGGATGACCTCACCCACTTCCACCATATCGCCCGACAGCAACCACAGCAACCACCAAACCCACTGCAGTTCTCCCGTCTGTGGCAGTCCCCGTTGTGACCTCACCCATTCTTTTGTGCACAATCTCGGTTCCCACAATCTCGCGGCTTGCGCGTCCACTCCTTTCGCACACCAATACTGTTTACTGCGGCGGCACCTCCAAGCAACACGCAACACGCAACACGCTCCTTACTCCATCCAGTTTCTGTTTCCAATTCGGATTCAACACCTTCGTTGAATCCTCAACACCAGTACCTGTCAATCGCGACCAAGAAAACGAGTCGGTAAGTATGACTTGTCACTGTCCTTTCCCTCTGGTTCCTCCCTTGTTTTGCTCCATCTGCGGTTCCTCCTCTCAACGCCATCATTCCGCCTTCACGCGCGCCTTCTGAGACCTCGAGTAACGCGCATTCCACCACGTCTCTTTGGCCGTCGCTGCTCGTCAGTGCTGCTGAGGCAACTTCCGCCACCGCTCAGAGAGGTAATCTCCCGTCTCCCCATTCTCCTCGAACCTCGACCTTGACCAAGACTCGTCCCCTACACATATCCATAAACAACATCACAAACCCTCCACCACACTCCTTTGTCTCCTGTTTGTCTCCTTGTAGCCCTTGTGACCCATGGACATTGATTGACTGCCTTTGCCTGCTCACTGCCGCATTCATGCCCTAGATTTCGCTTTCTCTCTTGTCGCTCGCTTCGCAACCACAGTCGCTCGTTCGCCTCTTTTCGTAGTCGCTTACCTCGCTGACGCCTCAGATCATTCATTATTTCTTCTCTGCGATTCCGCCATTTCCCCGTTCTCGTAGTGTTCACCGTCAACCATTGACACTCCGCAATCATGAGGATTTCTGCCATCTCACTCACGCTCTTCTCCCTCCTTCACCTGTCGGCTGGACAGCTCCGTAAGTCTCTTCCCCACCGAATGTCTACTACCCTCGGGCGGTTTGGACTGACTTGACACCAGGGCGTCGCCACGTCCATCAGCACCGGGCCAACCGGGCCTTCGTTCAGAAGAGGGACAAGATCACCGTCACGGACAACACCTTCGCTACACCCACCGAGGTCCCCGAGGTTGTCGTCTACGTTGATCAGTTCGGCAACTCATACCGCACTGCGACCGAGACTGTCGTCTACGTCCCCATCACTTCGACCAACACTCCGGAAGTGCCTGCTCCCTCGGTTGCAGCAGCTGCAGCACCTGCCCCTCCGGCTACTTCGGCTCCCCCCGTCGTGGCCCCGGCCCCTGTCCCGGCACCGCCCGCGTCGTCTGTGCCCGCGCCTAAGCAGCCCGCCCCCGAGCCGAGCCCTACTCCTAAGACGATTCACTCGGAAGCGCCGGTTTCTTCTGCTGCCCCCGCACCAGTCGCGTCACTAGCTCCGGCTCCCGTCTCTGGCGGCATCAGCGATCTCCATGGCGTGACCTACTCTCCCTACAAGGGCGCCGGGGGCTGCAAATCTGCCCAAGAGGTCGACGCTGATTTCGCACTCTTCGCCAAGGACCATGGTGTGGTTCGCCTGTACGGCGTCGACTGCGACCAGGTCGCCTCCGCGTACAAGGCCGCCAAGAAATACGGCAACAAGCTGTTCCTCGGCATCTTTGACATCAACCAGGTGGCCCAGGCCGTGTCCGCCATGGCTGATGGCGTTAAGCGTGACTGGAGCCAAGTCGACACCGTCTCTGTGGGCAACGAGCTGGTCAACAGTGGTGCAGCGACTGTAGCCCAGTCTCTCGGCGCCTTGACCCAGGCTCGTCAGGCTCTGCGAGCGGCCGGGTACCAAGGTCCCGTGGTTATTGTGGACACGTTCGTTGCTGTGCTCGCCCACCCCGAGCTCTGCGACCAGTCCGACTACTGCGCCGTCAACGTGCACCCCTTCTTCGATCCGAATACTGGAGCACCCAAGGCCGGCGACTTCGTGACTTCGACGGTTCAAAGAATCCGCGGTCAGATGGCGGATTCCAGCAAGCGCATCGTCGTCACCGAGACGGGATGGCCCTGGCAAGGAAATGCCAACGGCCAGGCCGTGCCCGGCATGGATCAGCAGACGTCGGCGCTCTCGTCGATCAAGGCTGCCTATTCCAGCAACGCTGGCAACGTGATTCTCTTCACGGCTTTCAACGACTTGTGGAAGAAGGCCGAGGCGAGTACATTCATGGCCGAGCAGTTCTGGGGCATGGGCGGACGGTACTCACCATGCGACAAGTAGGAATTAGATGAGTCTGGTGTTGTTGTGTGACTCACTCTACGCTCGTCCGATGACGATGATGACGATATCATGATGGATGGATGATATTACCGAAAATCCGGATCGGATCGGATGATAGGAAATATGCATGGGCAAAGTTGGCTGACGAATTGATTGACTGCCTGATGGATGGAATGACCGGATGGGCGGCAAGCTGGTTACCTACGAGAGGCTTTTATAGGAGACGTCTGTACGATTTTGACAGCATCCTATTCTCTGTGCAAAATTCAAAGCCGAGGCTGTATCTTTCCTGCCTAGTCCCGCCATTGTTGCTGAATTTCGTTCTTTTCTTTCGTGACACCCTCTTAATGAGTAACTATGAGCAGCCAGGCCGAGGTGGGGATGGAGTGTTTGTCAGAAATGGCGTGGCTTTTGACTCCGACCCCGTTCCAAATCATCTCTCACGATGCCATCCCCATTCATGCATTCCGTGCAGCAGAATTACGAATGACTGCTATTAATATAACTATGTTGAATTCATACGCATAAACATGCCGTACACTACAGTGAATCATGTACACTGCTAGAGTTATTTGTCGTTGACAATGTCGGTGTATAATTGAAGTTCACCGGACTAACTACCATGGAGCGCCGAGGCATATTGTTCCACCTTGGAGTCAACTAAGTGATCATAGAATTGGTGCATTATATCCTCAAGAAGCTCAGTACACGTTCATTCTCTCATTGGCAAGCTCATATCCCTCACTGCTGAGCTCAGGAGAGCTCTTGTCACAAGTCTGCCTGCTTGTGAATAGGCCTGTCCACCCTGGGCACCCTGTCAGTCCTGATCCCTTTATGGCTTTGGGGTGATTGACTATGGTGGCTGAGCATCAGAAATGGTTAGACCTTCTGGGTTCTCATGAGTGTTCAACTGATACGCGAGGTTCTCATGTTGCGATTATTATATAACAGACGGTGTTTGCTTTTCAGTGGATAGGCTCAGATCCTTGAACCACTGGTGGTTCAGCACATCATCGATGGTGAATCGTTCTTTAGAGTCGTATTTGAATATCCTCTGAAGCAGCTCGCCGAGTTGCTTGACTTCCTCGTCTAGCACGTTGAAAGTCACGGGTTTGGCATTAGGCCGGTGGGGGTACGGATGGAACTCTTGTTTCATCGCAAGTCGTGCGAGTATGGGCTGTGAGAACTCGGTCCTTTCGGCCAAGAACCTCTCATATTTCAATTCCTGGTAATAACCTGATGGTGGACGAACATACATAAGCGTCCCGTCATCTCTCACGTGGTCCCCCCAGTTTGCCAGTACCTCTTCACCTTCTTCCTCACGGGCTTTTCGCAAATGTTCAAGGAATGCACCTCTGTAGGGATGGGGCAGAGGACCCAAGGTCATATCAAGAGACCAGATGTAGCTTGGGTCCTTGTCGCCAAAAAAAGGGCACCCGATTCGAAGTGCCACCAGCGAACATGCAAGAGCCCAGATATCGCTTGCGTAGCCTGGCTCGAAGACCCAGCGAGCTTCGTCGGCAGACATATTTGGCGCCGTGTGATTGATATCTGGAGCTTCTTCGAGTTCTCGATTATCCTCTGGAGCAACCGCTCGTCACTGGTGTTGGAACACATCAAAACTACTTCAAGCCTACACCTAGCATTTCTCCGGCCATTTATGTATTACACAATAGCTTCTTCGTTCCGATATGTTTATGACCTTGCATATAACTCCAAGTCAAGGAGACAGTAGATGATTAGGAGAGCCCAAGGACATGAACAACCTACATATAGGTTCACAAATGCGTCTGCGCTGCTCACTCGACACTGACATGATTCCACGATGTCGGCTTTGCATGGACACTGGCTGCAATCAGTGCGAGTATCCGGATTGATCATATGAGCTGGGTATGACTTGTTCCCCTTCCATCTCGACAGGAGTAATTATAACATCAGACAGTCATCACAGAAAGGCTATTCATTCCCCGAAACCCAGGCCTCTCATACATGGAAAATGCGAACAAGTGTCCGTACTAGGCATCATGTCATCCTACAATAAATGACGTGAACTTCGAAGGCGCCGTAGCCAAGGTGGTGAGGAATCTGATATACAGGCCGGCGAACGACTCGTCCCGACCGAGCCATGACAGGTTCAAGACAGCTGCAACCCAGCCAGCTGACTTTGGCCTCAATGGCTGAGAGGTATTTTTTCAGCAGCTTTCCGCTTGGCGCATCGCCAGATCCAGCATCTTGACGAAGGAGCTGCAGCAGCTTGGAGTATTGCGTGTCGTCCCTTCGATCTCCCTGTGCCAGATGTCGCTCGAAGCCTAATCGTCCCTCCTCCTTCACCAGCTCAAAGCTCTACTCCAGCCATTCACTATCCTGATGTCTACGTTTGAATCGAAGGCGACTTTGAGCTTCATGATCGACGCCAGCAGTCCTGCTTCGTCGTCGGTGTCGATGTTACGATGTATGGCTGTAGCAGCATTGCACCGCGCGGCGTTGCGAGAGACACCATGCTGGAATGATGGCGAGCGTATATAGCGATGAACAGAGCAACATCGTATTGCACAGACTGCCCTCTTATCATTACACACTTTGGTGCTAGCAGGGTTCTCCTGATTCCATACAGTGGGTCATGGCATTCACACGTCGATGGTAATCTCATTCTCACGCCACCGCGTCAGCCGTGGACGCCTGTACTCTCGCCTTTGTATCTATGATCTATGGACATCTCCGTCCCTGTCCGGACATAGGCGCTCTTGAGCAACTCGAACACACTTCGTCTGCTCAGTAAGCTGGGTGACTCATATTCCTAGATCCGATCCAACGACAGTACTGAACACAGTATAAATTGAGCCTGGTCTCTGGGCCATCTCTTCGTGCTTCTCGCCTCTGGAGTCACAATAAGGCAACTTGTGACAGGGGCTCCACCTACGTTCTTTCAAGCCATGGCAACGACTACCCTCAGCGAGACGGCCATGAGGAGCACCCTGCACAATGCTAGTTCGCGAGCCGCTCTGCCTCTGCACGACATGCCACGAGGCCGTACCACACAGAACGAGCCTGCCAACAGCGACACCAATCCGAGCCACACTACAGTTCCAGAGGGCGGCTACGGATGGGTCGCCCTCTTCGCCTGCTCCGTCATCACATGGTGGTTCACGGGGACGACCTACAGCTGGGGAGTCATTCAATCAGCACTGGTCGAACAAGGCCTTTCGCAGGCTTCGACGCTTTCATTCGTCGGCAGTCTCACCGTGAGCTTCGTCGCTATCCTAGCCATCGCGAATGCTGGCATAGTCACGACAATTGGAGCCCGAAACTCTGGTCTCATTGGCGTAAGCCTGTTGGGATTGGGTGGGCTTCTTGGAAGCTTCGCAACCCACAACTTGGGTGGGCTGTTCGCTACTATCGGTGTGCTTATGTAAGTCTTTGCTTCATGACAGTATCAGTCGTCCCAGCGCAGTACTTTCAGCGCAAGCGCGGCCTCGCAAACGGCCTCGTCTACGCAAGTGGTGGCCTAGGTGGTGCCGCCATCTCGCTCATCATGGAAAAGCTAGTACGCAGTCTAGGTCCACCATGGACGTTCCGCGTCATCTCCATCCTGACGCTCGCTACTGGCCTACCTGCCTCATGGCTCATACAAGAGCGCCTCCCACCTACACGACGCAAGAAGTACGTCGACTGGTCGCTCTTCACCAGCCTCCGGTTTGACCTCCTCTTTGCTGCTGGCGTCATCGCGACCTTCCCGCTTTTCGTTCCGCCCTTCTTCTTGCCTATGTACTGTCAATCTCTTGGACTGGCACCATCAATCGGAGCAGCTATGGTAGCTACCTTCAACGCCTCTTCCGCCATTGGCCGGATCGGCTTCGGTCTCCTCTGCGATCACCTAGGAGCACTCAACGTGCTGTTCACTGCCCTGCTGCTAAGCGGCGTCAGTATGCTCGCTCTCTAGCCTTTCAGCGACAGCTTGGCACTTCTCGTCGTATTTGCCATCTGGAATGGCGCCGCGAACGGTGGCTTCTTCGCTGTCATGCCTACCGTTGTCGGCAGCGTCTTTGGCAGCCAGAAGGTTCCTCTCGTAATGGGGATGGTGGTCATGGGCTGGGCAGGAGGCTATCTGATGGGTGGTCCGATTGCTGGCTATCTGCTTGCCGCTAACGGTGGTGAAGGAGGCGGCGTGGAGGCCTATAGGCCTGCTATGTACTACGCTGGGTCCTTGTCCATCGGTGCGGCTGTCTTGGTGGCGTTCATGCGGCTGTCTATCGACGGCAGACTATTGCGGAAGGTATAATTCCACCTTGCGATGCAGCTTCGAAACACCTTATCGACCGGCCCATCCAAGCTACAATACTTCGTTACCTTTCATGATAAGCCTGGATCGTGTCATGGCTTTCTGACCTGGGGCAAATACAGTATTATCTAAAGAAGTAACACAATTGAGGACATTGTCAAGGATGCAGTCAAGAATGCAGTCAGGGGTGTCGAGGCGGGGTGGGAGAGTTGTCTAAGGGGGAAAAGGGGACCAGGAGAGCGGACTGACTAGGCGGGCAGATAGGACCCTAGCTTCAATGAGTAACCAGAGTTCTCTTGTCGATTTGTTATAGTGCTGTAGATGACGTTGACAAACAGTTACAGGAAGGATGGAGGGGTCAAAACAAGTCCATCAATGGTGGAGCAGCCGAGCCTCAAAGTCGCACAGAGTGAAATATCCCAGCCTTGAGCCGCTTACTTGATGGTACTTCCAGAGCGCAGATATTTAGACGCACGATTTAGTAGAACGGAACTAAGATATATGGTATCGCGACAGTAAGTATAATCTAGGACCACACTGAACGAGCGAGTGACTTCGCAGTTAGCTAGGCCTCTAAAACCCCCTATTCTACCCCTATTCCAATATACATATAGGTCTCCATGAGCACGAGCATTGCACAAGAAACACCCGAAACTACAGCACGGAGTTCCACGTGTCGAGCACCTAGCATCGTCTAGCAGTAATGATCCCCCTTTTACATCTCCTAGTTCATTATCCCCGGACCATCTTACGGAGCACCCATTCAAAGAGAAAGAGGATACGGGGGAGGGAGGACCTACAAAGTTGCGGCCGACACTCAAAAACATTGCTAAATCCGCAGCCGGCGTTGACGGCGACGCACTGCTAGTCGAGCCAGCCAGCCATTGTTGCCTGCCGAGCGCCTTCCAGATCAAGAATCCGGCGATGGTGCTACCTACCAGCACTGCTCGACTTGTCATCCATCGCATGCGAAGAGCGTGACATGGGATGAATCGTACTATTCAAGCAGGATTGTTACTCACTATGACACGTGGGCTGCGTAAAATTGCAAGTCTCCGTATCGTCGGGGAAAAGGGAGTCGGATGGAACATACGTGGAGAGATTGATGGAATCTACCGGCCGCGTCGACCTGGCCGTTGGGAGATGCCCGTTCAAAAGGCGCCGTCTCCTAGGAGACAATGACCCCGAGTAGTTACGACGTACACATACGTTCATTTCGACCATTAACTCATCGATGAACCATGTTATGATCATGTAACCGAGGTTATGGTGGTCACTAGGCAAGTCTGCATTACGAGCAACGTTTCGAAACATACGGCGGTGAAGCGAGAAAAGCCCTGATGATGAATGAATGTACACCAATTTGTTTCCATTACAGAATTAAAAAAGCAAACCAGCAAAGATGTATGCTTGCGACTCTAGAAGGACCAGAAATGAACCGTGCCATGCCACCCTGTTTAATCAATACAAAAGCACTCCAATCATCTTCCACATCGCCGTGGTGCCCCGTCTATTCCAGACTGTCCGGGCATCCACCCATGAGGAGCTATTTCTTATGGTACAATTGCCCCTAGACTCTCATAGAAATCGGAATTTCGTATCAGACGTATCTGTGGATTTCGCTCCAGAAGCCGTCGTCATCGACGCCAAGCCAGGTCCCGAGTAGCCTGCAGAACCAGTACCCGTCTCATTACGACCTCTAGTGTTGTCATTGTCCTGGTGGGCAGGCTGAAACAGCGGTAGGGGCAGGCTATCCGAGATGCTGGACGTCAGGCTCGCGGGGATCTGCTTGCCAGCCACCACAGGTCCAACAATCAGGGCGATGAAGAGGACGAGCAGGGAAAAGTACAGGATGGCGAAGCGAACCACACGTCTTCTTCGAAGCTTCGACTGCTTCATCGAGTAGATGGGCGGGCGGATTTGTCGGCTAAGAGATAACGTGTCAGTCATACAATGAGTGTGCGCGTGTCATGGGGAATTGCACATACCTTGGTCGCAGCCAGAACAGCATCATCGAGTGCAGGAGGTCAATCTTGGGGACCAGAATGACGGGGGCCATGAGGAAAAGGATCACGTGTCCAAGAATGAAATCGGCGGCGAACATGCTCAGCTCGGTGATCTTGCATAGAAATTCACGTGCTGGCTGGGAAACGGAGTGCCAGCCCATAGAATACCACTTGCCATTCCAGAACGCAATGTTGGACTGATCCGTCTTGAACTCACGTGTGAGGGCGAGGGAGACGATGAGTTTGAGGATGAATCGTTGGATCGCGACGACAGCGATCATGCCGAGGAGTGTCTTGGTGAAGTCGAATCCTTCGAGGAAGAACATGACCTCGAAGAAGACAATAAGCATAATGACGGCTGTGGCGTGAGCAATACCAGCCAGTACACTGCCAAACTTCTTGCAGCACATACTAAGCACTGGACCCATGCAGCAGGCCATGGCGAAAAGACCGAACAGAAGCCCGGCATTGATTCCGATGGGGGCAAATGCCACGATGCAGACACGGATAATAGACGAGGTGGGCTTGGCGCTGGGATCGTTGGCGATGACACCCGTCTGGGCATTGATGAAGAGATAGGGGATCAAGGTTGCCGCCACAAGGCACAGGGGAGAGACGATCTCGCCGAAGAACACGTTGGTAATAGCTGCACGCGGAGCGTCGGCGGAGAGTTTGGCCGTAGGGTCACCCAGTTGCTTGCGTTTGTAACCTGTGATTCTTGTTCGCGAAAGGCGGCAGAAGGCGATCCACGAAGACGAGTGAGTTCTGGAGTTACCGCGAGACAGCCACCGAAGGAAATCGCGGTAGTCGATGAAGAAGTCGTTCCAGGCAAACTGGTGAGGGTTGTAGAGGAACGGGCAGAGGACAAGAGCGATGAGCGATGCCCAGAAGTAAATGAGGGCGGCTTGCCATACTGTCAGTGAAGCGAACAGCAGCGACATCAACAGGCGCGAACCCATATACAGACATGGACCGGCGAAACGCGAGTAGAGCACGCCGAAGGGAATACGAGCAGTAGCGAAACCACGACCGGTACCAATGTAGCGAGCACCACCAAACGTGATGTCCTGGGTGACCGCATTGGCATAGATCTGGGTGACGAACACCTCGAACAGGGGCGAGAAGGAACAGAACTGCTTGCCAAACCGGGTTGCGGCACGCAAGAAGCCACGCTCGGTGAGCTCCTGGACAGCCAGGGGAATGAAGGCCAGGAAAAACACAATCAGAATGGAGATAGTGCTGCGGTAGATCCAATCCATAAGGGCATCTGTGTTCTGGCAGCCGGTGGGGTACAAAGGATCCGTAATGGGAACGTTCTTGTTGTAATCGCAGGAGATGGTCTGGTTTCTCAGCGCACCAATGTTGATCATGACAACCATGAGTAACTGGACGGAAAGGATGATGAACATGTTCTGGACGTGGAAACCAGGGTGAGCGTAGTAAAAGGACAGGAAGCGGTCGAGCGGTAGTTGCGTCCCAAGGTAGTAGTACTCTCGGGACAGCATCTGCTCTCCCATACCGGTACCAATCTTCGTTGTGAAGTTCAAAATAGAGCCGAAACCAAGATCACGACCCTTACCACATTGGTAGTATTCGCAGTGCTTGATGCGGCCGCCACGGAGGATGGCAGTCATACCGGCGTAAATATCCTCGTTCAGGTGCAGACCCTTCTGTGCCTTGGAAACACCACCTCGAGTAGTCATGAAGATACCGTTGAGGAAATCGGGGTGACCATAGTGCAGTTTACCACCGATCTGAGCCAGGGTTCTTGCAAAGAGCGTACCGAATGTCTGTTCCTTACCAGCCGCAACATCACCGAGAATACCGATGTTCTCGGAGAAAATGTACTCGCGAGCACCCAGAATAGCGACAGGAGACGTAGTCTCGGTCTTGACGCCCGGGGTGTACGGAGACACGTTGTCGGTCTTCATCTCTTCGAACTCAGCCAGGACCGACCGGATCTTCAAGCATTCCTCAAGATAGTTGTCCTGGTTGGCGTCGATGAGCTGGATGTATTCTCCGCGGTAGAAGATAATGCAGTGGTTCTGATTGTCAGACTTGCCGTCACCTAGAATCGGGTTGCCTGAGAGCTGGATTCTGAACTTGGGCTTGCGCATGCCGTTCTCCATGATCTCAGAGTGGCCGTCAATCAGGGCAGAGTAGATACGGGGCTCTTCGCCTTCCGCGACAGGGGGTTCCTCGTCGAGATAGGCGATCTGCAGATCAGGGTACGCCCTGAGCAGGAACTCGGTGTTCTCCATTTCTTCCTTCTTGAACTTGGCATACCGTTGCATGGAGACAATGATCTTGAACTTACGGCGGGCCATCCTCTCTAGTTCGCGCTCCAGCTTGTCAGAATTACCACCGAACATCTGGACGACTTCGGGGTTCTCGACACGGTAGAGCAGCTTGATGGCGCGGCTGTAGTTCATGAAGCCGGAGATGGTGCGGTAGAGGGTTTGGGAGCGGAGTGAGGCCCAGATTCGGGTTCGCAGAGTGTACTCAGGGGCGGATGACTTGAAACCAATACAATAGAAGGGCAGATCATCAATCTTGCTCTTGGCAGTGTCCTTGTCGTTCTTCTCAGAATCTCCGTTGAACTGGGATGTCTCATCGGCGAGAATCTTGGTGTCCTTGACGAAGCAATCCCATTCGTGAGGGTGGAGCTGCTTCAGGTATTCGAGCATAGTAACACGGGAGTAGGGCTCATCCTCACGAATGATCTCGCGCAGAGACAGAAGAATCTTCTCACTGTAGTGAGGGATCAAGACGCTAAAGGTGGGCATGTTGTCAACTGGGAGTGGCTCGGGGATCGGCGTTGATAGCGACTGCGCAAAGAAGGAAATGCGACGCTCGGCCTCACTGTGCGTGGGGAAGAATTCGGTCTTGAAGGAGTGATCCTCCTGCGAGACGAAGAATGTTGGAGCTCGAAGTGTGCGCTTCCCTTCCTGCTCCGAAGGGACCTGGTGATAAAGTAGCTTCTGAACGTGGTCAATTGCCAGTAGATGCTCTCGATACATGGAGATGACGACGGCATTCCAGATCTGCGACACCAAGACCTTGGGCTTATACTTGATCTCCATGTCGGTGGTAGCCAGGACCTTGGAGTAGATTCGCTTTGGCATACGAGAGAAGATGTTTCTCCAAGGAGTCCAGATGGAAGTTCCAAGATAGAATGATCTCGCAATGGAGAAAGCCGCGTTCGTCAGGACGTACCATAGGAAGGTGTCGAGGAAGAAGAACAGCAAGTCGGTAATGGTCATCAGGATGAGCAAGATGAGCGGCTGCTTACTGCACAAGATGCCGGCACTGCTTCCTAGCAGGTCGTCACCCAGACACGACGACACATCCATGATCGAGACGTAGCGCATGGCATCCCTGAATGATAGGGCCAGGTATTGGTACGACTCTCCGAACTTGGCGCCAAAGACCACTACCCAGAGGAAGTAGGACATGGCCCTGTCGTTGCCCTTCAACTTGGGGAAGCTGGCGGTGAAGGTCTGACTGGCAACATATTGACGAGAGTTCTTGGTAAGATAGCTTCCGAAGAGGCCGCCAAGAGGCATGACGGAGAAGAATATAAAGGTAAACACTGCGATGAAGAACTGGACAATGCCAAGAACTTTCGCGGGTGTTTCTTTCTGTTGTGCTGGGAAGCCGAAGATGTAGACGCTAGGAGCAAGGTTAAGGATGAACATGAAGATGACGAAGACGAGACGCTTGCTGAGATGCTGAGCGCCAGCCCATCGGCGAGGAACGTATGCCCATTCCGCACAAGTAGCCAGAATCTGGATCAACGATGCGAGAGCGCCACCAGCACCGACAATGGACCACATGGCCGCTTCGTTAGGTTGCTGGTTGACCTGCTGTTCGTAGCTACTTCCTACCAAGAGGGTTGGAGCGTTGTATGAAGTATAGAACCAGAACATGGTCAGGTGGATGACCCAGATGCGGTTGAAGTTAACAAGCAAGTGGAACCATGACCGAGTCTCCTTGTACGTCTTGAAGAAACACTTCTTCCAGTTGACGTCCTTCAGCTTCAGGTACCGCTCTTGGGGTGGCACGTCGACTAGTTTAGTCTTGTCGTCCATAACGATGCGCTCAATACCCTCAGGGTACCAGAACAGCTGGTTGCAATCGTCGTAACCGATGATCTTATTATGGTCACGCTCCCTGCGCACATAAACCCCATTGAAAATCTCGTAACCTTGGTCTCTGCAATACTGGTAGAGCGGAGTGATCACGTTGTTGAGGAAAGTGCCCTCTTCAACAGGCTCAACCAAGTTCTGACAGGCAGGAGAGTTGAGGTAGTCGTCGGCGCATTTGAAGATGAAGCACAGACACTCAGGCATGAAACGGACCTGGTTTGCCTCACCCCAGCACATAAGGTAGAGGGCGATCTGGCGCACGCGATCATGTTGGGACATGCGGTTCATGCGGGTTTTCCAGCGGTACTCGGCAGCCTCGAGACTATCATCGCCTTCGAGATCTTCGAGAACCTGATCCTCTGGCTGCTCGCCCTTCTTCGGCTTCTTGCCCTTCTTCTTTTGTTTGCGTGCCTTCTTGCCCATGTTGGCGAAACCAACAGCATCGTCCAAGTCGAGGTGCGCAGCGAAGTACCACTTTCGGTAGTTGGCGTTCTCGCCACCGATGTAGTCAGCGTGCAGCGACAGCAGAGCCTGATTCGGTGTCATTCGGGAAGCTCTCGAATCGAGCAGCGTCATGATGTGGTCGTACATGTTCCGCATGCTGTCGCGCTGGAAGCCGAATTTGTTGGCCAGCTCGAGGAAGATGTCCTCGACCTCCTCCTTGGACAGAGGAATCTGTGCGTCCGACGTCCAGGCGGGATAGGGCTCACGGGATCTCTGGCCACTAGGAAGAACATTGCCGTAGTCCATCCCGTAGTTGGGGGTGGAAGCGCCCGATGAACGGTTCGCACCATACGAGATCTGAGAGGAGGGGGGTCGGTACCCTCTGCCACCCTCGTGGTAGCTGTTGTACTGCTCGTCACCGCGACCGTAATAGTCCATGTCGGCGGCTCGTGCCATGTCGGACCTCATGGTGAAGTCGCTGAAAGTTTCAGAGTCCTCCTCGGAATCGCCACGAGGGCGGTGATTGGCATTGTGACCGCCCTGATCGTAGTAGCCATTGCCATCGTCGTAGTATTCCCCGCCGTTCTGGTACTGATCGTGGCCTTCGTAGTAGCCGCCGTCTTGGTGGTAAGGGTTGTTGGCGTCGGCATTGTAGTAGCCACTGCAAAGGAGCAAGGTGGTTAGCTACGCAAGATAAAAAATGGAGAGGGGCGGCGATACGCACGATTCATCATAGTATCCTTCATTTTGATGGCCATTCGCAGCATCGTAGCCATGGTGAGTGGCTCCCGCTGCGTTGTTGTCGTAGTACTGGCTGTTGTGCTCGTCCTGGTAGTACGAGTCGGTGTTTTGGCCGTAGCCGTCATGGTAGTCCTGATGACCACCACCACCTCCACCGCCAGCTGGGTAGCCCGACATGTTGGCGGTCGGCGGGCGTGGTTGGAAAACTGGGGGTGTTCTAGATTGAGCGGTTGTCAGCGACGTGTTCGCGCATGGGGAATGATTTGGCAGGTCATGGAGCGGTGCAGGTGGACGGTTTGCGACCAGTTCGGCGGTCGGCAGTTTGGCACGTTGACCGGGAGAATGGTGGCTGGGTAAAAAATGAAAGCACGCGGACGTGGTGCCGAAACTTACAGATCATAGACTCATGAGTACTGAGCGTACGGACCAGGGCTGAACGATCGTGGAGATTGTCGATTAATATTATTAGGCAGATATAGAATCGATGTGGCCGGCCACAAACTGGGAAACTGTGACGGCGAGGTAGTCGTCGATGTCGATGTCGACGGGACGGGATGGGATTGATCGAGCGAGCGAGGGACCCAAGGTAGAGCGAGTGGCTTGCCTTGGCGCAGAAGGCGGCGCTAACACCGGCTGGGACGCACTGGACGGTCGACGGCGACTCAACTGTTGCTAGGTAGCTGCCGGTATTGCGATCGATTGACTGCACTGATTGTCGTGTACCGAGTGCACTGTTGCCTTCTGTATCGGTGGTTTTCGTGGGCCGCAGCGCAACGAGCTAGCGAGCGGGCAGGCGTTGCGTTATTGAGAGGCGGCGCAGACAAAACGCGAAGGATCAGGAAAGGGGGATTCGGCTTCCTCTAGAACGAATGAAGATGAAGCACACAACCTCACTTTCTATCTCACTCACGCTTTCCTGGAAGGTGACGGTTGACAGGAAGGGGAGGAGGGGGGAAGAATTAGAAGGAAGTCAAAATAGACAGGAAAGCGATTGTAGATCGGACTGACGGGGAATGAGGTCGCGGATGGGCCGAGTGAAAAGGGAATGGACTGGTTTGAGGTTTGGGACCGGGTGAGAATCAAGAAATTGTCAGAAAGGAGACAGGAGAGAGGAGACAGGGCACTGTCGGCAGGGATCTGCACCGTGTGTATAATTCTACGTACGGTATGGCTTAGGTGCAGCACAGTGTTCTACAATGGGCGGGCGTTACATTCAAGAACACATACCTTCTATCCATTCACTATTCACCGAGGGCAAGTGCTGCGTGCTGTCCATTCATACTCAAGACCACATGCACTCACTCCTCACTGTCCTGCCTATGTCCCCTGGTGCAACACCGGAAGAGGGAAAAGATACTGTGAGTCCGGCAGGATTTGGGGATTTGGGAGGCGAAGAAGGGAAGATCGAGATGGGGGACGTGCAGTGAGAGTGGCTGTGTCTGTGCCGTGTGTGTGTCGAGAAGGCGACGCGTTGCATTCGAGACTTGGATGAGTCCTGTTCCCTGCAGCAAAGGTCAGATAAGATAGGGGCTGCTCGTACCGGCTTATCGTTCCCATGGGTGCGTCGCACCTGTTTTCTGGTATAGAGATACTCGCGGACCAGCTGCCCAAATGGGCCAGCTTCGACTCAGTCAACTGCAGGATTGGCTGGCATTGCAGGGGCTTTACCTAGGCAGGGGCTATAGGGGCGAATGTGGGAATATGACAGTCTATAAAGTGTAACGCACTGTGCTTCAATACGATGGCCCCATACTGTTACCTGTAGCTACCTTGGCTAGGGCTCCGGTGCAGCGGTGTTCCCGGATAACCCTTTCCACGTTGCCACCGCCGCACGAGCTTCAATTCTTACTTCGATGTTTGCCAATGTCACCGACGCTTGCGTTGTAAGGAGGTATCTGTGCGGGAAGCCAGGAGGAGGACAACTATGCTTCGATCATGTGAAAAAAGCGTTTCGCGCAATTGCCTGCCATCTGATGTTATTCAGCAACAAGTTCGGTTGACGTTGCTCTGCATTTTGTCATCATGCATTCATGCGTACACAAACGCCAGTTGATGGGCATGAAACGCAGTTGATAGGGGCAAACGATCGTCCATTACACCGGTGACCGTCGTGCCCGAGTACTAGCGAGGTACCAGAGTTCGCCACCGTTGGGCTGGCTTTGCGTACCTAAGGTAGCCTTCAGCTCCCTCCCGTTCAACTTTCAAGTACCCGTCGCGTAACGTGCGACTCTGCTGTCCACCTGCCCACGCGGTCCCGTACTCGCCAACGCGCAGTCTGCATGAACCAACTCGAACAAGTTTACCTCAACGCCAGCCAGCCATTCACATCCGAGCCGCCACCAGTCCGGTACCGTTGATCGCTGCTGTTCTCCCCCAGCCGGTAACTCGACTGGCGATCACCACCGCTACGAGGAACATCATTCTCGCTAGTGTGTAAATTGGGTTCTGGGCGTCGTCTGTTCCCTCTGTCCCTCTACTGTGTATCATGGGATTTTCTCGTCTAGTATCGTATTTGGATTACCAAGCCAGCTTTGCGGCAATCGTAGCGCCTCCCACCAGTGCTATTCTGGGCGAGCAATGACAGGCTTGACAGGATGTGGTTAGGCGCAATGCGCATTGCAAACTACGAACCCTTTTCCTGCAGTGGTCTGTTCGCCTCTAAAAAGTCCGTCGTCTTCGCAATATTTGTCCCCCTCTCTCATTTTCTCGAAGTCTTGAACGCATTGTCAAGCGACAAGAATCACGCACACAAGTCCTTGCTATTTGTATTGAAGTCTGATCTAACCGGGAGGCGCGGGAGGTCTGGAGGTGCATCCCGTTTGAATGAATCTGGAGGGAAGGCATGTTTCATTGTGCTTGACAAATCGTATCCAGGCGTGCTCCACCGCTAGAGTCTAGACGATGGCAAGGGAGGATCCATGGGGATGGAGTGCGGATGTGCAAGCGTGCGCCGACCGTAGCGAGCATGGCGAGGACTTCCATGTTGGCAGGTTGGATGCGGTTCAAAGTTGGGTGGCATTGATGGATGAGGTGGCAGCAATTGAGATGACACGGGATGCCGTCAGCGAACACACACACAATACCTAGGTAGAATCATTAGACAACACATATAACCGTTTTGGCGCTTTGCTCCGGCAATACCTTACATTTTAGACCTATTAGCTCCCATTCGCCATGCAGGTACCGGCTATTTTGCAGTGGCTGCCTTGGTGAGGCCCATGTCCCCTATGTCCCATGTCGCAACGCTGCATAAAGGCACCGAGAGGCGCATCAATGACGCTCTCCTCAAATTACCGCCAATCTATCCTGCCGTGCCTGCAGAGGCGGGCTTTATCTGGTTGGCTGCTTGGGGCGGTTGGATCTGACAGGCAATTTCCTGGCTATCCGGCTCTCACACCTCTTGCTTTCCGATATTCCCGATAACGACAGTGGCCGGTTTTCCAGGAATAGCCTAGGTCTGATTCATGGACGTGATCCGCCTCGTTGTGCTAATCGCTTCCGCCCGAACTACGCGGCCGTGGTAACCTATCCTGGCCGGTGTCTATCTGGATCAGCTTGGCACGCGATACCCAGTTCTTCTAGAAGAGATTTTGAATGGCTGGTGAAATCCGACGGCATCTCCTGAAGCCAGGGGGTCCCGAGCTGAAATGCGTATCGCGTGGCGGGAGAGTTCGAAACGACGGCGGAAAGCTTCGTCTCGTGCCATGTCCCTAGTCATCCCCGCTGCTCATTTGGGTTCGTACTGTAGAGTGTAGACGGCCGTCGCGTGCGCCGGCCGCGTAGGAGTTGAGTTCAGGGGCTACTGCATTGGGAATCAGCCCGTCCTTGATTTTTTACCTTCCTATTGGTTGGCATATATGAGTCTAAATGTATCTCGGGATAATCTGATCTGCCTACCTACACCAGATTCTCATCAGGCCGATTAGCCTTGGATTTGGAATGCCATGGCGAGGGCTCATCATGCCACGATACATGACCTAGCTATCGTACTGCCGAGACGGCAAGATCACTTTGCAGAGCAAGTCTTGCAACTTCCCAGTGTCAATGCATGTTTGGATTGACTGCCGTGTAGCTCACATATATCAGGAATATCAAGAGAACATTCACTACATCACGAATCCACGTGCCCATAGGTAGACATCGAGTCGCAGTACTGTCCGGCCATGCCGACAACGAGCTTCAGCAGCTCCTTCGACTCTGCCTCTTTCAAAAAGGGACTATGACCACACGTGAAGTCAACTATCTCGGCGTCAGGGCCGCCATTCTCGTTGTGCATCGACAACAAAAGTTGTATCTTCTGTGCAAACGACATAGGTTTTGGGGATCTTGAGATCGCAAGGCGCAAACTCCGCCGTGGCTGTGAAGCTGGCATTGCTCTGGTGCATCAGTCCGGCCACGAGCTGCAACTCAACTTAAATCTGCCGCATCGTCGTTGTAGAATACTTCAGGACATTCGCCGGGTTGAGCACCTGCATCTCCCCCTAAAGGTTGGTCCGTCTGCTTATATCTCTGGCAACCGAGAAGACCTCCTCTCCAAGTCTCTACCACTTAGGTCTTGTCTATGCCAGCTGGGTCCCTTATCCTGGCCGAGCGTACAAGCTGAGCGATCGCTGCGGCAAGACGGTAGAAGCGACATAGAGCACTACTTCCTGCCGCCCTTGCACAGCACGCTCCTCCGCGATCTGCTCTTCTGTCGATACTGTTCTCGAGGTGCCCACCGTAGCTGTGGCACATTACGACGGCCTCTTCCCCGGCGTCAAGATGCGGCAGCACAACCTCGTAGATCCGCTTCACGTCGTCCAGGTGCGTCTTGCCCGCAATCGAGTTGCCAATGCCGATGGTGGCATTCGTCGGTGCGTGACCAGTATACCATGGTGCCCCTGATGGTTCGGTCAGCTTCCGGTGGTATAGGGGGTAGTGCAAGCCCCCATGGACGAGAAGAAGGACAGGTTTCGTGCATGGTATCGCAATAACAGGCTGGGAGAAGTGATGCTGTTACGGCCCTCGACTTGCTGACTGCACTCGAAAGGAGTGCCCTTAACATCACCAGTGGCGAAAGTAAGCACATATACGAGGGCCAATGGATGACGCTTCGGTCTTCGAAGTTGGCCCCTACTTTGACGGCCAATGTGATGCTCTCCCTATTCAAAACACCACAGCCAGGGTCTTAAGGTCAACCTTCAACCACAGAGAACCTCAATTTTCCTTTTTGTATGATTGACAAGTAGGGCCAGCCGCAGAAGCATCCAATACCGAAGCATCGTTGGAACTAGGAGCTCCCTGGATCAACACTTGGCTTGTCGCGGGCCTTGTTGAGACGGCATCGCATAGTTAAGATACATCGCCAGTCACCTACTAGCTTGCGACATTGGCCAGGTCATATCACGAATCATGACATACTGTGTGTAAATCAGCTCACCCGCTTCCTTTTTGAAGGTTCAACCATCAATTGTCGGTCGTCCAGTCCCTGTCCTCCAGCCTCATGATGCCTGCTCGACACACTCCTGAGACGCCATATCCCAGCTCGCATCACCGGGCTCACTGTAAGACCACACCGCCGACTACCGTGCTGGGGTCACATAAAAGATAAGGTAGTGAATGATTCGCAGGAGCCAGCCCTTATCATTCGTTGCAGTCACTCTGCATAACCTTTTATTCGCGCACCTCGATGAACCTCGGAATATATATTAGTGCTGCTGCAATGAGCACCCTGGAATCAGCAGTTCGAATGCAATGACCTATATCCATTCCTGTTCAAGTCACAATATATGCACTAGATGTTTGTTAACTTGCTCGGGGGTTGAGCTTTGCTGAGAGTGATGAGGCTTCAGAGTAACACTGAGTGTTCCGGTCTGATGGTACACTTTCGTGGGGACGATGTGGCTGGCGGAACATGGCAGCGAGCTGATCTGGACTACGAATGGCAAGCGCCGACTCGGTCGACACCGAACATGGAAACGTGGCAAACGTCAACTTGACCAACTTACCTGTTTCGGAAAGCCTCGCAACGGCGATATCAATTGGGTTTCCTCGTGCATGTCCCAAGAGCCGTTGAACGAAGGAAGCGCGGCCCCGAAATAGTGGTCGGGTCGGGCTGCCTAAGCGGGAGGCCGTTGCCTAGCAACCGCTGTCGACCCACCTTGCATGTGCAACTTTGCGGCTCTTGCTGTGACCGACTCATTCTTGAAATCGGAAAGCGTTACCTCCTACGTGATAATTGCGACAGCTTGCACTAGTCACAACCCGTCATTTAAGAGGTTGCGGAGGGCACACCAACGCCCAAGATGACATACGGTTCGAGCAGTGAGGAGGACGAGTTTCCGGACGTCGAGGTCATGATCCGGAAGCACAAACAGAAGACCCAAGGAAAGCAGCGCGACGGCAACAAGGAGAACGCACTCAAGGCGCCCAAATCGACAACCGTGGAGAAGTTAGAGAGGAAAGGCAAGGATAAGCAAGGAGGCTCATCTGCGCCAGCGACAGCAGTAAAGGCCACGCCTCTACGACGACGGAAACTCGGACAGGCGGGCCAGACTATAGGCAGCTCACTACTAAAGCCATGGAACGACTCAGAAGACACATCCAACGCGCCCGGCGACGGCATCTCAAAGTTGAAGACATCGCGTGGTGCGCGGTCGCGAGAGGGGAGTGCGGAATCTTCTACTGTTGCTTCAACGAATGACCTGCTGGATCGCGCGCCGGTAAAGGTCCGTCAGACTGGATCTCGCACCGCCTCGAGCAGTATTGAACATGAGGACGATATTGTCGTGGAAGAACGCAAGAAGCCGCGGCGACTGATTACACGAGGAGAACGAAAGGCAATGGACCAGAGCTCCTCGAAAGAGCTCGCAAAGGCTCAAATTCACGTGAGCGAATCTGAGGAAGAGGGAGCTATCGATGACTCCAAGTACGACCTTGGATTCAGTGAGGATGGCATGTCCGACTTCATCATCTCAGCCGACGAGGTCGGAGCGGAAGCCTCAGACTCGGAGTCGGATATTTTCTTGACACCGCCTAAGCGGCGGTCGAGAAGTCCATCTGAGACACTGCGGAAGCCTCGCAGAGTACTATCACCTTCCAAAGACCCGGCCACAACGGCATCCAAACGAACAGATCCCGCGATCAGTCTCGAGAAGCCTAGCAAACCTGCCTCAAAGGAGCATTCCAACGACAATGTCCCGAGAGACAAAGCCAGCACAGCTCCGAAGCCAGCCAGAACCAACAAAGGGGACCTGGAAGATGCCTTCCGGAAGCTCCAGATGTAAGGCCTCTCTCAATTCAACTAGAACTTTCCAGTTCGGTCGGTGGAAGACGCGGTATATGCTAACAGCCTGAACAGCTTCAATGAGGACTCTGACCCGGACGACATGCCCGTCAAGGGCAAGAACCCCATCTTGGAGCCAATGACGCCCAGGAAGACGCTGACGGCCTCGCCGCTCAAAACGCCCAAGATCCCTCTCTCGCCCTGGAAGCCCGAGCACAAGGAGTTCTGGGACCCCGAGGTGAACTTTGCCTGGATCGACAAGCACTCGCCGCCCAAGAAGAGCAGCAGCCCCAAAAAGCTAGACCTAACCGGCGGAGCAAGCACATCAGACTTCAAGGCCGAGCTGAAGCGCAGGTACGGCAACAGCCCCGAGAAGCGGGACGCGAAGAAGGCGTTCGACGCCATCAAGGAGGACCTGGCGCGGAGTTTTCTGCGCGAGCTCGACGAGCGCATCACCGAGGGCCGGCTGGAGAGGCTGACGGAGTGCACGGGCGGTCTGCGGATCGTGTGGTCGAATACGCTGAACTCGACGGCGGGCCGCGCGCACTGGAAGTGCAAGACCATCACCACGACGTCGCGGCAGCCTACCTCCTCCTCCTCCTCTTCCACATCCGCCTCGTCCACCACGACGACCGTCAAGCAGCACCAAGCGCACATCGAGCTCGCCACCAAGGTCCTGACCAACACCCCGGACCTGCTCAACACGGTGGCGCACGAGTTTTGTCATTTGGCCGTGTTCATCCTCGACGGCAAGCCCAAGTCGGCGCACGGGCCCGAGTTCAAGGCCTGGGGCGCGCGCTGCGGCGCCGCGTTCGGCCGCGATCGCGGCATCGAGGTCACTACCAAGCACAGTTATGATATTGAGTACAAGTACATCTGGCGGTGCGACGAATGTGCCGCAGAAGTGCGAAGGCACTCCAAGAGCGTCAATACGAGCCGCCAGCGCTGCGGCGGGTGTCGCGGCGTGCTGGTGCAGGTCAAGCCCGTTCCCCGGGGCGGAGGCAATACTAATACCGGTACGAGTGCGGATGGGAAGAAGGGTGGTGGTGTGGCGGCGGCGGACGGTGTTGGTGGAGGGAAGCCGGCGTCTAGGAAACAGAGCGCGTGGCAGGAGTTCATGGCGTGGGAGATGAAGGAGATCAGTGCCGCGAACAAGGGCATGTCGTTCAAGGACCGGATGGCGGTCATTTCGGCCAGATGGAACGAGCAGCAGATAGGTGGTGGCAAGGAACGGGCTGGCGCGGTGGAGGTTATTGAGATTCGGGATGATGGGGATCGGGATAAGGGGGTGGTGAAGGGGCAGGTTGGGGCTACGTATGACCTGTTCTCGTAGCGAACTGGCGCGAGGGAGTTCTGGACGTGGTTTAACATATTGCTCGTTCAGCCTGCGCAATGCGGTTGGTGTATGATGGTAGAGATACTCTGTATGGATATGGCAGAAGACGCAGAGCTCCGCGGCTTGATCAATGTGACAATGTGACCTATCACGAAGGAAGGATGTGGCGTTTGCGCAACTTGACTTGGTCGCAGGAGTTGATGACTTGATCTCTCAGTTGGTAGATAACACATAGATCCATTGCGAGCATGAGTATCATTCCGAGGTACGGCCTCTAGGTATTCGTAATAATCATCATCAGATAAACCAACGCCAGGACCTCAGTCAGTCCATCCCAGATGCTCGCCTCCCAATGACTTCTCATCTAGCTTGAGGAACAGCCCCTCCTCCTCACGCCTCGTCTGCCCAGTCGAGCAAGCGAGTCATTCCTTAATTCACCTCAGCTCCCCCTCGAAAACCATACCAAACCGCAACCTCAAATCGCCTTAAATAGGCCCCAGTCCTTGACCTTGAACGTCTCCCAGATGCGGGCGGCGTAGTCGACGGCGTCGCCAATCAGCTTGCCCTGCTTGCCCAGCTGCAGGTCGACGTCGTCCTCATCGTACTCGCCGCGGATGTGGGGCACGTTGATGGTGATCAGGATGTCGGTCTCCTCGCGCTCGAGCCGCACCAGCGTCAGGATGATGGCCGTAAAGTCGGGCGAGGCGTTGGAGCGCTCCCGGCTCGAACCTCCGGCCTCTGCTGGGAGTGGAGGCGGCGGCGCTTGCGTCGCGATTAGAGTGAAGGCGGGTATGTCTGGGCTGTTGGGGTGCATCGCATGTTAGCGATCCGATCTATAGTACAAACTTGCGCGACGCAGGGGCAGCAGCATAGCGTCCCATGCGACATGCGAACGTGGTGGGAAGAAGAGCGGCGGGCCAACGTACTCGAGGCGCGAGAACACGGTGGTGGTCGTATTCCAAACCTTGACCCTCTCGATGTCCTCCTCGACGATCTCTTCCAGGTGGGTGGTAAGCGCGTGGCCATTGATCTCGGGGCTGCTTCCGGGCCCGCCCACGCGCTCGTTGATTTCGATTATGATGCTCGTGAAGCCGTCCTTGTCGATGTACACCTCCTGGTTGTCGGGGACTTGTCGTATTTGGCTGACGTCGGCGAAGCTGGTGGGCAGGTCGCAAGTGAGTGCCCCGCCAAAGAGTGTGGTGTTCTTGAATGTCGCTGTCATGGTGGACGTCGCAATCGTAGTACCAGCGATGCTAATGGTCAATCAAATGGCAAAGATCAGAAGGCGATTGGCAAAAGACTCTGGCTGCGAAGGAGTGTATCGATGTTGGCCCTGGAAATACAAATAGGTAGCCCTGTTGCATCAGGTGCGTTCCATGTGTCTGTAGCCTTGCGAAATGGATGCCCGCGGCCCCGCAGCCCCATGGGGTTTGGGCAGCTGTTTTTGGTGGGGCTGGCGATGACGTAACATTGAACTTCCCCAGGGGCTCCTTCTTTGCTACAAACATAAAGTAAGGCATTCTACCTCAGAGCTCGAGCAGTCTGATGATAAGAGGTACTTGAACATCTCTCCAGTCTGTTTATTCCGATAATTCCTTCACTGTCCGTTTCGTCCATTTCGCAGCGCTTGCTCTCAATGCAATATCGGCCGACATCAAGCTTCAGCCAAGGTAATAGCAGGTATCCTGGCAAAGGGAAAGGGACAACCCCGTGGGAACGCCGTCTGACGCTCGCCTCATCATAGCAAGGCGGTCTATCACCTCAGACTAATCAGGAGACACACGTGTGTGAGCACCATGAAGGGCTCTAGTCTGGTTACATCTTAAGCCTTACTGTCGGCCCTGGTGTCACCGGTGTCAACAAAGACTCGTGCTTCACCCTCGATGGATCGAGGATATCATTGAGGCGAAAAACAATCACCGTGTCATGGGGTGTCACGTGTGCGCCTTTCTCCATGACAACTTGCATTGATTATCGAGCAAGTACACCGCAAGTGCTTGGGTCCGTTGATACCTATTTAAGCTGTTCCGAGAACGCCCCAACTAGCTTTACCACCGCTCCTGTCAAGATGTCGAGAGCCTCGGTCAGCATGACTTCTCTCCACAATACCGTCAGTATTCTGAGCAAGTCGTTCCCACCAACTCTCAAGTCGACAGCATTTTGGGCCTTTTCTCGTCCTCTCACTCCGACCCGGAGGACTTGATTAAGATACTCGGGTCTTCAGGTGGCCGCATCCATCCCTCGGGCGTTCTCTCAAAGACCGGATCGAGGGCCAGATAATCTGAGCCCACTCTCTTCTAGGCTTTGAGTAAAACTTGCTGGGCGCGTTTTTCATTGCTCCAGAGTGCGTTGTCCTCAAGGCCGAAAAATGAATTATGAGCTTTCTTCACCCGCTGCTTTCTGGTCTTGAACCGGATGGGTTTGACTTCACCATTAACAGCTGCGATTCGTGCCCTCCCGATGGCCGCAGCTTCTATGACTGCTTTGGCGATTCTTGCACCACTGACGAGATTGCGCCATGAATCACCCTCGACCAAGCTATCTACATCAATCTGCTTTACCGCCTCCAACTCCCGGCCACTACAACAGTTGATGTTAGTAACTCCAATTCAAGAAAATGAAGGAGTCTTCGGCAAGAAGACTCTCCGAGACCCTGCACGGGCTATCATGACCACTTTTCTCTCATGAAGTGTCCGAAAGGGGTCGAAAATGACTCGAATAGTTGCTTACTCTGGCATGCGCACCCATCTCCAAAGTTTCGGGATAGCCCACGATTCCTTTTTGATCATGTCCGCTCGAATGGATGCTGGCCACGCACAAGAAGGTTCGTACAAGCCCGGGACGAAGCCCACTGTGGCACATGAAGTCAGTCTGCCGTTTCCTGTTAATCCAGCAATTCCCTCTAACATTCGCTCCATACCGGCCGTATGGCGCAATGGTCAAATGCGCCTGGCTGTGTTCTCGTTTGTGCGGTGATCGACGAGAACAAGTGGGTTCGAATCCTGCTATGGCCCCCTTCTGACCCGGCTTGTGCGAGTCGACAACCAGGAACGGCTACTGGAACGATGTGTACACCAGAGGACTGAGGTTCACTGGGTCGCTTAGTCACTGGACAGGAGGTTTTTCTGACGAAATCGTGCTTAGGTATTGACTAAAACCATCTGGACACTCCAGATTGGTACCGCTACAGCGAGGATGGCTCGTGCGCGGATCTGAATGTATCTAGACTGACACTTCTACAACCTTGCGATGCATTGGCTCTGGGAGGCGTGGTTTGCCCTGTTAAGGGACTGCACCCACGATAAATACAAATCAATCAATCAATCAATCATTCGCTCCATACCACAGGAGTACCAAGGGACGGACAAATATAGACGTCCTCTCGAAACAGAGTCTACTCACTGACGATGATATCTGCCTCGCGGGGCACAGCCCGTTCTGTCTCCACGACCCTTTCCAATCCTGCCGTGATAGGAAACCACGCAGAACCCCCCGGTTCGTTGACCCAGCCTTTATAGTCTTCGGATCCACAGCACTGCGTGTAAGACCAGTCTCCGAGGTATTTACAATCGACAGTCAGGCTGTGGATGTTCGGCATTGCAATGGGGACGAACGAGCCATCTTGTCCCGGCAATGGAGGGCAGCCGTTCAGCAACGGACCGGACCCAAACATTGCTGCACACATGGCACCTATCCGGATCCTAACGTGGCGCACACGAGGTAGAACAGAGCGTAGGGCCTCGCAAACATGGACCTTTTCCTCCGGGGAGCGAGAATCGATGCCCATAGTATCGATTTCCAGGCTCGTGCAGCTCTCGGGAAGAGCTTCGATCACGTTGATCAACAATCGACGCTGAAGGTGGGCTCCGTTGGTATCTGCGGTGTAGTAGAGAGAAAATGAAGTCAAGTTGGTGAGACGGGGGAGAAGAGTAGCCAGGGCCTTCCCGTTCTCGTCTGGCAGATCGGCGGCGACGCTCCTAGAGTTCGGGTCCCCGAAGCCATTTGCCACTTCTTTCGCCTTGGGGCGGAGCGGGTCAAGTCTCCAGGTCAGCGAACGCACCTGCATGCCGTACTCATGCCGTTGAAACACCTTCATGAATCGAGAAGTCGTCTCCGGGGTCAGTACAATGCAGCTGTGCAGGATGGGCGTAGCCAGGTCTCGCCAGGTCTTGCTGACTAGGAGACATGGGAGGAAACGGCCGGTGGTTGGACTGCCGCATTTTGCCGCCACCAAGATCTGGCGGAAGATTTCGTTTGGTACTGAATCCATCGAAGACTGGCAATATCAGTCGCTAAAGGTAGGTAGGTGTGAAGCGCACAGTCGAAGAGATGTAGACAACGGTTTGCTGGGAAGATACTGAGGGATGAAGTTTTTGCTCCAGGTGAAATCTCACTGTTGGTAGAAGGTTTGTGTGTGTGATGTGGGAAAGAAATGTCGAAGGGGTTTCTGGCTCCTTATGAGCACGTCGGTAGGTCCACCTCGAACAGCCACGCCGATGTGAGCTTTCGGATATACGCTTTCGGTTAGCCATGCATGATTAGAGTTCGGGGGCGTTGTGGCAACTACTGGTGAAGTTTAATATGCGCTCACCGGATTAAGTAGGCCAGTGATGTGCCAGAAGCAGTCCTACGGGGTAGCCAACGGCATCTGGAAGTCCATCGTGGTGGTAGTCCAGAATCTAAAGCCAGTCACACGCCACAACGCCTCTTGGCTCTGATAACGACGAGCCCAATGAGTCACCCGAAATAGACTTTCGGAAAAAGGTCCTCGCCCGTTTGTTCGTTATATGATGTTTGTTATGCTCAAAAATTATTGCATTCCAATGGGGTAGTGGTCCAGCCCGCCCTTTAGGATATCGTCTGTAAGCAGGGGAAACGTCGGTTCGAATCCTGGCCGGGAATGTTTTCTTTTTTGTCTTTTTGGCCCTCCCCACCCATCAAGGTACTCTCTCTCTCCTTTTTGTATTTTCGTATAGAGTTCAGCCACCTTGCGCACTTTCTGCACATGTCTGTCTACCTGTTTTACTTCGCACCCGCGACGGTACAGGATATATATACGAGTTTAGAAGGTTTGTCTGGTAGCCGGGTTGGTACGGCCTAGCGAAATATTCTTACAAAGTATTCTTACAAAGGTATTCTTAGCCACAGCGGTTCGATTCCCCTAGCGGCTGACATTCTTTTCTTCTTTTTTGTCTTCTCTGTTGGGTTTCGCCCTTCTTCCGCCAGAGTGAGTATATGTCATCCACTTGACTATGCCATTCCTATGCATCCATATGTATCCATCACTTTCGTTCGTTGTCAAACTGCATCGCCAACCTTCTCGCTTAACTTATAAGCATGGACAGACAGCGCTTTGTATCAGATGTGCAAGTATGCTAATGTACAGAATCTAACATGACTACAATTACTACTGGATCTGGTTACCTTATATCCAAGTCAGTCAGACTGGCCATTTCCGACGGCGACAGCCTACTGTACAACCTTCACTCAATGTCATGGGAATACGGCAAGGGTCTATCAGACCAGGACGATGGCAGCCTATGGCAATAAGCCCCATCGCTACAGTTCGGCCTGTTCTTGCAGCCCGACGAGTTCCCCGATTTCAACGGGTGCACTCGCATGTCCAGCTCAGACTGGGGCCAATGTCGTATTCAACGCTCGTATCATCGTCAGCCAGCCTAGCCTCTGCATGTGACCGAGACATCTCGTATAAGCTGCTCCTCTAGACATACGTTAGCGACGAGTCGTGAAGGCCGACGTTCATTGGCATTATGATGAACGACATCTGGACACATGGGGGCGTCAGACCGCAACGTAACGGGCGAGATTTGTAACCATGAGGTCAGATATACCCCCAAAAACAGACACTGTCAGTGACAGTTCGCATTTAACCCGCAAACACAGTCTTCTCGGTGGTGAATACGTCTCTTCCGAGATTAGGGATAAACTAGGGAGGGGTTCGGAGTGATCCAAATCGTTCCACGTGTCGTGGTTAACACCCAGATGGCTGTTCGAAGAGAAGAATCACAAGGGTGACTCAGGAATATTCCTGAGACGATGTAGTTGAGGCGGTGTAGCGACTATGATGTTTCATGACCAAGACAGAAAGGGCATACTAGAAATTGTCTCGTTCCAGAGTTACTAGTATTGATTGGAATGACAAAGGCTCACGGATCGAACATGAGCACTCCAGGGCTCCTAAAATGGCTGTGCTGAAGGCATATATAGAAGCGATCAACTCCCTCCTGGACCTCACCACCCGCATCCGAACCACTATCGCCGTCAGCCCTTGAACGCATCTAACTCTTTTACTACGAACCAACCAATCTTCAACTCCCAAACATGGTGCCCGAATCGCGTAATAAAAACTCAGCCGAGGTAAGAACATACATTGAATTCACCAATGCCTCCCTCAACCTACGACAGACCAAACTGACCAATTCCCTCAGCCCGGCGCTCGCCTCACCCACAACAGCATCGTCAATTACCCCCAGCGACCCCTTCGCCACGACGCAGCCACAACAGGGGGCACAACCGCAACAGGGGGCACAGCCGCAACAGGAGAACAGAACCGCTCGACGCTCAGCGCACAGGGCTCATTCATGAGCTGTGAACACAGCTCGATCGGCTGCGGAGTGACGGGAATAGAGGTCTCACTGGTTGTCGCCGTGACTATCTTGGTTGGGGGTCTTGTCAATTGGGCGACTGGGTGAAAAGAACGGCTGGTGATAACCTTCGTAGGTAGTCCGGCAAATACAAGGATCGTGTCTGTTTCTTCTAGATAATAAACAGTAAGGGGTGTATCAAGGTAGTGGACAATCATGATACAGCCAGTAACCTACAGCTCGTAAGCCGCATTGGGAAGATCAAGACGACACGCTACGGAGATTCCTGTAGACAATGGTCCATGATGAGTGGCGTAAGACTCGCCGAACACTAGGCTGATCTTGCTTTTGCTCCGAGTATTCTCTACGGTTGATATGATGCCGTTTCGTTATAGATTATGCTGGCCATAAGATTACGGTACGGTACTTTTCATGGAGCAGGTGGCATATCGAGGGCCTTCGATAACGTCCATCATATTTGTACGCGAATGGTACTCTCCCTTGGTACAGTTCATTGCCCCAAAACACTCCAGCAGTGTTTCCTCCCAAGGCAACCGAAGCCCGCAGTACGCCACTAACGCCGGAGCCAAATCTCATGAAATAGGCTGCGCAGTATACACTGCGCATATAATTGGAATACATTAAACCCGCTGTACTACTGAATGGGAGTAAATGGATATTAGAGGATGGGTGAGGCCTTCTCATACTAACCCCAAACAACACAACCTGCACGACCTACCGGCAAGTGTTCAACTTGCCACATGACCACTCATTGACCGATGCAGGCCGACCGAACTGATAATACGAGCTCAGCGTCGGATATCAATGCTCGCGCGCGACGAATCGAGCGAGGGCCGCAGCGAGCTGCTCGAGCTCCTTCGTCTGCGCGCGCGCTGCTCATTCGGGTCCGACGGGTTCAGACCCGTGGACTTGGCGAATAAGTTGAGAATATCTGTCAATGTGACAACGCCACTCAGGCGGCCTGATAGGTGGGACCCCGAGAGCGAGGAGGCTGGGACGGAGGGAAAGTGAGGTCCGGTGGACGATTGCGCAGCTGACGGTGTGTTGGGCATGAAGACGGTGGGACCGAGCGAAGGCGTACTCGGCGCGGATGGCGAGGGGGAAGCCGACTCGACTACCCACATCCTGTGAGAGCGGGTAGCCACGAGCTTGGCCACAGTGTGCGCGAGCGTCGAATAGGGGTTGACATAGAATACCGGGAATGAATCTTTGCCATTTTCCGTGCCGCGTTCAGTCAGAATAACGGAAATGAAGTGCATGCAAGTGTTCTGCAGGAGTGGGAGGCTTGTGGAGCTGGTCAGCAGTTTGACGTCTGCCGTCGAAATATTGCCGACAACGTTCAGGCCGTTGTCGACAACGGCTACACTCGTCAGCCCCTCCTGGCTCATCAGGTTGAGGGCTTCTGTCAGGGGACTGTCGGCACTGCAAAGGAGAATCAGCAATGACCATGCGCTAATGCGGTGTCGCAACCTACTTGACAGCTATTATCTGTTGAGAACCGACCCCCAACTCACGCATGGTGCAACTGTATAGCTCATCGACGGCTCGAAAGTGGCCGCCCTCATTCCAGAAGAATTCCATGAGCTTCAGCTGACTTAGTATGCCAACAACTTCTCCACTGTGGTTCGTGACCAGGATCCGATGTATGCCGCTACCAAACGCTTCGATCGCGCTGAACAGATTCTGGTCTCCGGGGAGAGTGACAAGCGATTCCTTGCGGCATATAGGTTGGATATCTCGAAGCGGAATGCTGACCCGGTCCTGGGCCTTCTTGGCCAAGACGTCGTACAGCTCGACAAGATCCTCGCTTGGGTGTGCCAGGCCGACGACGACTAGTATATAGGCGTTCAGATCGCTGTAATCGAAAGTCGACACGGGTTTGGTGCTCGTGGCATCTTCGCGAATCAGGACTACGTTGCTCGAGGTGTGCTTGACGAGTGCCTGTAGCAATGATGAGTCAAACGCTCAAACACCAACGATGGGCTCAGCGAACCATTGAAGCATCCTCGACGCTCGTGTCCATCTCTACCCACTTGACATCGTCCTTCGCGACAAGCTCCCCGATGGCGACATCTCGCCAGTCTCGGCCGGCGAAGCGAGGGTTGTGGTGTTTCTGGTTGGGCGGATTGTTCAGTAGATCTTGAATGGCGGATTGCGTGAAGGAAGGGTGTCGCTGGGCGCGTGGAGAGGGTGGCAAGCCGCGCAGGTTCTCAGCGAAGCTTGAGCGATGGCTATGGCCGGACTTGTGCAGGCTCGAGGAGGAGGGCGTTCGTTGAGGAGCGGCGGGCGAGATGGCGCTGTCCTTGGCGTCCTTGGTATCCCGGTACGAGGCGGGGTGCTCCATGGTGGGATATATCCTTGCAGTGACGGATGGCGCGACAGACGGGAGGGCAACGCAAATAGGGAGGGACCTAGATATCTACCAGAGATTGCGACGGTGGTGTATCGTGCGGTGGCTGTGGTGAGTGTTGTTTGCGATCGAGGTGTCAGCGATTTGAGTTGTGTAGCTGGACGGGAGCTGTGCTGTGCTGCGGTACCGGCGGCGGTAGCTGAGCTTGCAGGCTTGTCACGCTTGTGAAGATAAGGTATGAAGCGGCATGTGGGGTCAACTGGTTGTGGGGATGAAGCTGTCAACTTGTCCAAGCGGGAGTCAACAACAAGTCATGATGAGATGGTCCTAGTAGAGCTCCTCCTTCCTGATTCTGTTGTGAGGATATGCCGTGAGGCTGTGGAATCGAGGTGAAAGGAGGGATTAACTTATAAACATAAGGGGCAAGGGGAAACGATCCTAGTACGGGGTAACTGATGCAGTATGCATCTTGGATCATGTACATGTAGGTCAGGCGTATGCACATGTAGATACATATGTCTGTGATACCAATGAGAGCCTTTATATGTATACCACCATCTCCACCACCGGTGCCGTCACGGCGTCACCATCTGTCATTCCATTTGATCCAGTCGGTCTGCGCAAGTCACTCGGCTAGGAGCCAGAGATGGAGGGGTGAACTCACGCGTTATTGTTCACCATGCGATATGTCTACAATACGATTGTTGAGTTGATTGCACTTGCAATCTGACATATCGCAAGACTGGGACGGAACGATAGTGAACAGAGACCTGAAGACCCTGAAGAGAACACAAGGTGCTGGATCTGTCGAGACTAACAGGCCCATGACCTTCGACTTGCGTACAACGTTGATGTCGGCGGCTTGGTGCTGGTTTGCCATTCCTCTGGCATCCAAGCCCAATAAATATGACAGACGAAACATGACTTCCATGTAGAATCGGAGGCAGTAACCCAAATGGGTGGTAATTCCTCGTATACCACATGTCAAGATGCAGGGTCTGATTGCCGTATCCGAGGTAGAACAGACTCTGAGAGAACATAGAGAACATAATCGACAGGAATGCCCAAACAACAAACACCCTCAATATGCATTGTAGGAGATAGTCAGCGAAGGTCACCCAATAGATGTACGGAAGTCTGCCCCTCCACGACGCACGGACCAGGTTAGGCTCAACAAGCATAGCATATCCAGATTAATTATTTTTTAATTCCTGCCCGTCGAGAAAAAAAGGGCAGCGATAGACGTGGTGGTCGGCCCCCCTCTTTCGCGACTGTCCCCTCCACGCCAGACGACACCGACTCCGATACAGCAACAAAACGACATCCCTAGCCGCCACCACGCCTCACCACGCCCGCCGCCGCCTTTCGCCCTGGAATGCCACCGGCCACTGCTGCTTTAGAAGTTAGAACCCGCCGGCATTGACTAGGTACTCTGGCCTGCCGCGTGCTGTCTGCTTCCAAGTTGCATTTCTAGTCGCGTCTCAGCCCCGCGGGGCACACACCACCACCACCACTACGAACACCACGAACACCTGATACCTAATCCGCCTTCGGTCTTCCGAACCTGCCCTCCTCCTCCCGTCCGTATACGCGATACCGACCGCCAACATGTCGGTGCTGCCCCAGGAGATCCATGCCGAGCTGGCCCAGCTCTTGCAAGCCCTGCAGTCCCCCGACAACTCCGTCAGATCTCAGGCCGAAGACCATCTACAGAACAATTGGACCAACACGAGACCTGACGTCCTGTTGATGGGCCTGGCCGAGCAGATCGCCGGTTCCACTGATGCCTCGGTATGTATCTCACTCAACCTCTACCTGCTGTTGCGAATGCGACCAATGCTGACCGCTACCTGCCGCCGCACAGCTTCGTTCCTTTGCCGCCGTCATATTCCGTCGCATAGCCTCCAAGACGCGCAAGACAGATAAGGGTGACAATGCCGAAATGTTCGTTTCTCTGCCTGTCGAACAGGCAACAGTCATTCGCCAGAAGCTCCTCGAGACCTTAGCAACCGAGTCCGATCGCCTGGTCAGGAATAAGATTGGCGATGCCGTGGCAGACGTTGCCCGGCAATACTCAGAGAACAGTTAGTACAGCCATTTCTGCCTACTTGCACAGCAACCTGCGTTGGTCATATAATACTCCATACTCGCATTGACGTCCTCGGCCACCGCGCTCATCCCCTTCCCACACGAGGTGTCGTGCAGCTACTGCTATAGCACCAACAAAAGAGCACAACAAAAGAGAAAAGCCAGTACTAACTTGAGATGGCAGACGAGCAGTGGCCCGAGATCCTTGCCGGGCTATTCCAACTGAGCACCTCCTCCGACGCGGGTCAGCGCGAGACTGCCTATCGCGTCTTTGCCACCACGCCCGGTATAATAGAGAAGCAGCACGAGGGCGCAGTCATGGAGGCTTTTAACCGAGGCTTCAAGGACAGCTCGGTCGCTGTCCAGCTGGCCGCCATGGAGGCCTTTGCTTCCTTCTTCCGGGGTCTCACCAAGAAGAGCCTACCCAAGTACTTCTCCCTGTTGCCCGATGTCCTCAACATACTCCCCCCCATCAAAGACTCCCACAACTCCGAAGACCTTGGCAAGGCCCTCCAGGCCCTCATCGAGCTGGCCGAGACGTCGCCCAAGATGTTCAAGCCCCTATTCCACAACCTCGTCGTATTCAGCGTCGGCGTCATCCAGGACAAGGACCTGAGTGACACCTGTCGCCAGAACGCCCTCGAACTGATGGCCACCTTCGCCGACTACGCCCCCTCCATGTGCAAAAAGGACGCATCTTACACCAACGACATGATCACCCAATGTCTGAGTCTGATGACAGACCTCGGCGAGGATGATGATGATGCAGCCGACTGGCTGGATTCGGACGATCTCGACCAGGAAGAAAGTGACCTCAACCACGTCGCCGGAGAGCAGTGTATGGATCGGTTAGCCAACAAGCTCGGTGGCGAGACCATCTTGGCCCCAACCTTTCACTGGCTTCCTAGGATGATGACGTCTATGGCCTGGAAGGACCGGCACGCCGCACTGATGGCCATCTCAGCCATCTCTGAAGGTTGCCGGGAACTGATGATCAAGGAGCTTAGTCAGGTCCTTGAGCTTGTTGTTCCCGCCCTGAAGGACGTCCATCCCCGAGTACGCTGGGCCGGATGTCAAGCTCTCGGCCAGATGAGCACTGACTTTGCGCCTACCATGCAAAAGGATCACTACGACACAATTCTGAAGGCCATCGTGCCTGTACTGGACTCCCCCGAGGGCCGCGTCAAGGCTCACGCTGCTGCTGCCCTGGTGAACTTCTGCGAAGAGGCAGAGAAGAGCACATTGGAACCATACCTCGATGATCTCCTATCCCACTTATTTCAGCTTCTCCAGAACGACAAGCGGTACGTCCAGGAACAGGCGCTTTCGACTATCGCCACTATTGCCGATGCCGCCGAGGCTGCCTTCTCTAAATATTACGATACCCTCATGCCCTTACTAGTCAGTGTCCTACAACGCGAGAATGAGAAGGAGTTCCGACTACTCCGCTCCAAGGCCATGGAATGTGCTACTCTGATAGCACTGGCCGTCGGCAAGGAACGTCTCGGGAATGATGCTATGACTCTGGTGAATCTCCTCTCCAACATCCAGTCCAACATTACCGATACCGACGACCCTCAATCGCAATATCTCATGCACTGTTGGGGTCGTATGTGTCGGGTACTTGGAGCCGATTTCCTGGGGTTCCTGCCGAACGTGATGCCACCCCTGGTCGAGTTGGCTAGTGCCAAGGCAGATATCCAGCTTCTGGATACTGATGATGAGGTGGAACAATACCAGCAAGAAGACGGGTGGGAGCTGGTGCCGCTCAAGGGAAAGATGATCGGTATCAGGACCAGCACCATGGATGATAAACACATGGCGATTGAGTTGCTCGTCGTTTATGCACAGACGCTGGAGGGCAACTTTGCCCCCTATGTCGCCGAAATTATGGAGAAGATCGCCATCCCTGGACTCGCATTCTTCTTCCATGATCCGGTCCGCTTCATCTCGGCGAAGCTAGTGCCTCAGCTGCTCAGCTCGTACAAAAAGGCCTACGGTCCGGTCTCCAATGAGCTCCGGGGTCTGTGGGCTGGGACAGTGGATAAGCTGCTTGAGGTCCTGACGGCGGAGCCCGCTATCGATGCGCTTGCCGAGATGTACCAATGTTTCTACGAGTCTGTCGAGGTCGTTGGCAAAGATTGTCTCAGCCAGCAACATATGGGCAAGTTCATGGACGGAGTCCTTTCCGCGATTGAAGATTACAAGGACCGCGTTGCCCAGCGTGACGAAGACAAAGAAGGTGTCACGGCCGAGGATGCCGAGGATGAAGCCGAAGAGCTCATGCTTGCCATTGAGGACGATCAGACGCTTCTCTCCGACATGAACAAGGCCTTCCACTCCATCTTTAAGAACCACGGCGCCGTCTTCCTCCAGCCGTGGGAGCGTCTCATGGGAACCTATCAAGAATTCCTCACCTCGTCAGATCCAACACAGCGCCAGTGGGGTTTGTGTATAATGGATGATGTGCTGGAGTATTGCGGACCGGAAAGTGTTCGTTATGCTCAGTCAATCAGCGGCGCTCTTCTGGAAGGTTGCAAGGACCCGTCGGCTGCTATTAGGCAAGCCGCTGCGTAAGTAATGGCCCTCTACCTTCATTGACTGACTCATGCTAATCACCCATTCGTCGACGAATGCATGACTTCCACGGTCTCAGACTTTGCTAACATGTTCTCGTAGATATGGAATTGGTGTGGCTGCTCATCACGGCGGAGCCCCTTGGTCTCAGTTCCTTGCGGAGTCAATACCGTACCTTTTTCAAGTCACCCAGATCCCGGATGCTCGCGGTGAAGATGCCGTCTATGCAACTGGTAAGTATCTATAGTAGCTTTTGTCGTTTCTCAGGGGCGGCACGATCATGTGCGTCAGCTAACGCAACTTCAGAGAATGCTTGCGCAGCTATTGCCAAGATCCTTCACTTCAACAAGCAAAGTGTGCAGGACACGCAGGCACTTTCTACGCAGTGGCAAGTGACCTTTGACTCAAACCTTATAGAGAACCTCAGCTAATCGGAACCCCACAGGATCAACACGCTGCCTGTCACTAATGACGAGGAGGCAGCACCATACGCGTATGGCTATCTCGTAGAGTTGATTGAGCAGTGAGTAGATCTTCGGCCTCCCGTTACACTTGAATCTACGTCTTGCAATACTGATCGCTCCCCTTCCTCCAGGCAAAACCCTGCTGTGACGAGCCAGGCCGACAAGGTGTTCGTCTACGTTGGACAGGCTCTGGAGGCTGAGATGCTACATGGTCAACTGGGCGGCCGTGTTGCAAGAGCAATACAAATACTGCTCCAATCCGCAGGCGTTGACCCGACGCCGCTGCTCCAACAACACTTCTCACCTGAAGGCCAGCAGACCATCAGGCGCCATTTCTCATAGAATGAGAAGTTGAAACGACACCGCGCGACCTCCATCGACGGGCGAACGACCGAGCCTCACCAAGGGGCACCATCGCTTGTCAGATGGTCTTGTCAGAAGGGTTTGATCGCAACGGCATGGGTTCAGGAAGAACAAGCCGACGAGAGCATAAACTACCCCTACTGGAACGACGCATATGCCTCACAGCCTGGACACGACATCTGTTCGGATCTTGCTTTGTCTTCGGAGAAAATCTTACCCTCGGCATGGATGGAGTGACGGATTTACGTGGGCATTTGGGCCTACCGGAGCACTAGCTGTTTTTTAGGAGCAGCAGTCATCAAGTGGCTGTTGACCTCATGTCCTTAGATAGAGACCACGTATCAAGACGTGTCCATGCTTTTCCTCACCAGTGAAAATGAAGAGCAAATACGACTGTGTAAGGAAAGTTCTGTGTTTATGTCAGTGTGATTGCGTGCATGTTGGCTATTAACTAAGCCTTGGCATACTAATAACTGAAATCATTGCTCAGCCGCTTTATGGACTTGATTATGCTCACGGTGAGCCATTCGTCCCTGATCCCTTCGTCTCTCCCGGCCCGCTTGCATTACGCATCTTCACACTCTCATCTGTCTCCTGCAGAAGCGCATCTTCGTGTTCAACCGGATAGAATCGATAGCTCCGAAACTCGGCATTCTTCCACCACCCTTTCGCCTGACTCCCGTCCTCGTTCAGATCGCCCGTCACAAAGTGCAAAAAATCACCATGCGACACGACCACGACCTCCTGCTCGTCACGGTCCCGCAAGAATCTCCGGAGCTCCAGCGCGCGCTTCTCCAGCGCATTGCCGTCGGGTGCCCATCTCCCCTCCTTGGAGTCGTAGTCGACGTACGTGTCCTGGCACCTCTGGAAATCGACGACGCTGCCGTACTCCTCGGTGGGCGCCCGATGTCGCTGGGCGTGGTGGCCGGCTTGTCGGCGGCCTCCTGGGCGAGCGGGAGCGCGAGGATGCGGCGCTTGCCGGACTGCAGGTAGGGCTCCATGCCGACGAGGGCCGTCTGGACGGCGCGCCGGATCGGGCTGGCACAGACTAGGTCGACGCGGTCGAAGAAGGGGAATATGGTCGAGAGGTGGGCGCATTGCGAGCGGCCTTGAGGGGTCAGGTCCGGGTCGGGAATATTCTCGTTCTCCTCGGAGTTGTGGTACCCTTCTGCGTGCCTTATGGAATGGACGGCTCTGGGTGCCATGGTGGAATTTCCGAGAATTTCCGAAAATTTCCGGAATTTCTAGAAACCCGATTATTTAAAGCCACGTGCAACGGGTTCGACGAGCGTTTATTGATGAGCGCATAAGAATGCTGAAAGCGTCTGCGAATAGAAACATATACTCGCCCAGACTCTTTAGCAAAGACGTCATCTCAATGTTGCTCACGGCACAGCTCAAACTTACATTGTTCCGGACCCATTGTGCTGTACTAGAGCAGAAACCTGAAGGCGCTGAAGGCTATGAATAATGAGAGTAGGAGGACAAGCACGTATCAAAGGCGCCCTCACGGAGACAAATGACAAACTGTACCTATGCGAGCCAAGGCTGGAAAGCAGGAAGTCGTCGATGGCCTATGTTAGGGGCAGACGGATCAACCCCATAACTGTACCCCGACCGACTCCAGCGCTACCCGCCTTGACTAGGTAATAACGTGGCCGTCGTATCCGACAGGGAGTCGTCCGAGTCATGACCCGAGGCCTAGACGTCCTCGGCGCACATCCTCTGCCGGACGCCTCCACGCCCGTCTTTGCGTGCGGCGAAAAGTGCGTGGTGGGAACGACTCCGTCGGCCTCGGCAGTCTTCTACCGAGGTACCATCCCCCCATAGAAGTCGGCCACCCCCACTAGTCGGCCAGCCAAATTGTGGGGTCACCACCAAAACACCCCCTTATTCACCCACCCACGAATGAAGCTATTCAGATCGGAGATTTATGGAAATATTATCATTCGAAAGCGCTGAAGCTGTTTACTCGTACAATCTTACGGGCGTCCAAATGGCTCGCCCCGAACGGGTGTGCCTAGGCTCCTGTACAGCCTCCAAAACCTCCTCTTCAGCCGAGTCTTCGTCCTCGTCCTCTGAATCCTCTGAATTCACAACTACAACTTCTGCTTCACCCGCAAGGGCACCAGGGGTGATAGTACCACCCGTAGTTAGTATCTGCGTGACTGTTCTGAATTTCCTGTTAGGATTAGGGACCTTCTTCCGCTTCTTAGGCCGTGCCCGCTCCAGTTCAGCCTCCAAAGCCTTGATCTTCCTATCCTTAATCACAAGCTCGGTCTCCTTAGCCTCGAACGCGTTCGCTATCTTCCTATACTTCAGCCTGGTTCCTGGAGATCGTTTTTTGCCAAAATCCATAATCTGCCGGCTCGTAGTAGGCGTCCGCTGGTCCTCTGGTTCAGAGCTTCCAGGAGTATCAAGCTCAGGGGTCTTCCTCTTATCTTTTTGTATCTCTGGGTGTTTTAAGCACTTTCTACGGCTGATAGGATAACATCCAGTGACTTTGAAGCCAGAGAGGATGTTTTGTTTCGTGAAGGCGGCAGTTCTGGCTTTGCTATAGCACCGGATGAAGTTGATCTTGTCAACAGGCGAGGCATCCGTCAAGGAATTCAGCTCAGAGAGGAATTTCTGGTAGTATGCCTTCAGGGCATTATAGGGACCGTTATCCAGGGGTTGTATGCCGTGACTAGTATGTGCAGGAAAGAAACAGAGCAATATGTTGTTGAGAAAACATATAGTCATGAATTCGTCCTATTAATACGCGTTAGACTATATTAAATCGGGAAAAATGAAAGAAAGTCCATTTAAAATAAGGAAAAATCGTATATGTACGGAGGTGTGGCTCTTGTGGCCATCCAGTATTAAGAGGATAGACTCAGACTGGTCTCCTCCTCGTTCTTCGTTTGCCTGTGGGAGGAAAACATCTTCTAGCCACTTGCAGGCTATAGTATTCAAAATCCAGCCGTTCTCTGAGCATGTATAGTACCAATCTGCGGTCTTTTTAAACTCGTCGATGAACCACTGCACTTGGAGGTCCTTCCCCTTGAAGATAATACCTGGTTTGAGGATTTTTCCAGTTGCTGAGATGGTCTCGATAAAGGAGGTCCAGCTACGGCCCTGTGGGCTCTTAAGGAAGGCTTTATTAGTAGCAGAACTACCTATAACTAGGGAATCAATACCTGTGAATCTAATGAGATTTTTTCTGGAATTAAAGGGGTAGATATAGCTACCAAAACCCGCCATAATGCCGCCCTTATTGACGTTATAGGTGTTTTTTGGCTTCACCCAGCCGTAATCTTCGAGAATTTCGAAGAACCAGTTAACTGACTTAGGCGTGAACCCCTTGAAGCGTGCTGCTTCCATCCTTTTGCCGACTTTCGTCTTGATTTCGGGGTTGCAGCGCTTGAAGGCTGCCGTGAAGGTGTCTCCTAGGGGGCCCTCATCTCCCTTCTTCTTCAACAGCTTCTTGACGATCTCACGAACCAGGGAGTGCAAAGGAGCTAGGCCGAGATTTTCCTGTAGTAAAATCCACTTGACTATAGTCTTTTCCTGGGCAGGGGATAGTCTCTGTTGCTGTGTGTGGGCTTCGGTTCTGGTAGCCTTGCCGTTGAGTCGATCAGACAGCGTTTGGTGCGGAATACCGTGTTTTTGACCGGCTTTTCGCACAGATAGGCCCTTATCTGTGATATCTAAGATCGCCGAAGCCATCTGATCCTCCGTATACAAATAGGGAGGCATTTTGGGCGACTATACGATGCTGCGGTGCATATAGAACGAGGCTTTAGGAGAGCCGTGAAAATCTCTATTTAGGGTACCAAAGGCGGGGTAATAGCTCCTCGATCACATAAGCCGGGAGGGGTAAATTTAGTATTGGGGAAAACCTCAAGATCAGGGCTATCTAGAGCACTAAGTACATTGTGAATAGCTTCAATATCAGGCTGAATCTGTATAACTGAACATGTGGGAGTTTTGGTGGTGATAGTGGGGTTTGCCTGGCCGACTAGTGGGGGTGGCCGACTTCTATGGGGGGATGGTAGCTCGAAGCGCTGTTAGCGTTTTGAACCATCCGGCTTCTCATGCCTACTGCAGGTCTGTTCCTCTCTATCCAGCAGACAGTGATATCCACTACTCGAGTCTTGTTTGCTGGACAGTGCGGCGGTGCGATGTGCCATGACATCGGTCATCCAAAGGTTTGACATCTTCCAGATTGTGCGGACCACGAGAGCCATTGTCATCATGCCACTATCGCGCTCGAGATGAAACCCAGTACTCAGAGCGAGTGACTACTAACCGGGAGTTTAAGCACCAAGTCAGATGACAAGTCTCCATGTTACATAGCTAACATGATGTCGCGTTTCCCACGCAACTCAGCTTGCCCCTTTCCACCAAGGCTAGTTTCATCGCCCCTGATTCAACTCCCGTCTTCCATCTCGGACAGACCTCGGTTATCAAGCGATTGAGCCTTCTGCCCTGGGATTATGGCTCTGGTGCCTGTTCACTCATACGGCGTCGTAGATGGGAATGGGGTCTGAAAGGGGCTGATAGGGCCCGTGGATCTTGACATTGATTCCACCGCTTCACCTCCACGTTTCAATATCTACCGGGCTGGCGCATGCAGTGAAATGGTATTGCATCATGAATGTGTCGGTGACAGGTGAGCCTTCGGGAGCATAGTCATACCTGCTTGGTGAGTAGGCATTGATGGTCACTCGACGACACTGAGAGTATACACATCGAATCGAAGCCCTCCATACGGAACTCGCACGCCTGTTCCTTTGCCGCTATGCTTCAAATACTTCACTGTGTAAGGCGCGGCACAACATAGTCTGCATCACGAGGTACACCATCCTTAAATCCCATAGTAGTCACTAAGGCTATGTTATATCTCCGTATTTGTGCTAATCAGAGGGCTTTCACGGAATTACGGGCGCCGGGCTAAGCTGGATCAGATCCCGCTCGTCATGTGCCTTATAATAGTAAGTAAATGTTTAAGGTTAAATTAGGTGGTAGGTTATCGGCTGACACATATTAATCTGGTTATTTTTTAAACATTGTGAGATTCTAGAAGGGTCACAAGCCTTGGGGGTGCGAGTGGTTGCTGCAAATGTTGTTGTCATTCTCAAGTATGCTTGGCAGGGCTAATGTACAGCTAAATACTATACTGCACCATGCCAGGGTGGATCCACTGTTCCCTTGACGGCCCCCTAGTGGGTACTGCACCTTAGGGCACCATATCTGGGATCCAACATCTGACACGCCCTCTTGCCCAAAAGGTGCAATTGCACTCTGAAATCAGCAAAATCACGGTCTATCTATCTATCTGGGATCACGGCAGGCGTGCTATAGCACTCCAAGCCAATAATCTGGTGATCCATATGTCTATCTACTCGAAGTCCTCCAAGCCTAATAGCCGTATGAACTCCTTGTGGTTCGCCCCTAAGAGCGCTTTGGTAAATCCATCAGCTGGATTTTCCTCGCTTCTGATATACTGCGCCTTGATATAGCCAGCATCAGCTTCTTGGCGAGCGTAATAATATGCAATATGGATGTGGCGCTTCTGTTTTGATATTTGTGATTCCTTTATCCACGCAATTGCGCCATTATTATCTTTTAATAAGGTAGTCGGCCCTCTAGCATCAGGTTGAGCTGTGTGAGGAAGCTCTTGATCCACGACGCATCTCCTGCTGCCTTTGAAAGAGCGATGTATTCAGCCTTAGAGGTGTTTTTCGCTACCACTGTCTGTAGTTTTGAATGCCGCAGGATGGGAGCGCCAGAGAGAAAGAATACAAAGCCTGTAACTGATCTGCCGGTATCTGGGCAGGTCCCAAAGCTCGAGTCCACGGCTCCATAAAGCCCCAGCTTATTAAAATGACGATAAGGATAATCCTTTGCCAATCGCCTATATCGTATAGCTTTCTTCCCAGTCCCGTTCATGTATTTGACAACCCTCTTAAGGGCCTGATAGTGGCTTGGGGACGTGTAACTCATAAATCGCGCCCAGGTCGAAGCCGCAAAAGCTAGGTCAGGGCACGCAATCCACGCTAAAAAGATGAACTGGCCAATTGCAGAGGCGTAATCATAGATTTCATCTGTAAAGGCCTCTCTAGTGTGTTTTGTGGCTTCTTTAGCCGTTATAGGATCATGAGGAGAGATCACATAGTTGGTGTGCTATACACCCAGCTTCTCTGTGACCTTTGTGACATAC